AAGAGACAATATTGCAACGCACAGCCGAACTATGGCAATCAGGAGAAACAGTTGTCGAGCTTGTATCGGCACGCCATCTCTTGCTGCCACCACATGACCCTACCATGCGCGCAATCACACAAAGGACAGGAGACCGGCTTCACATTTTCATTCTGATCAGCCTGGACCTTGTTGGGGACGAGTGGGTTGTGAACATTCGTCGCAATTGCCGAGCCATCGCTGAGACTCTCGTTCAAGTTACGGCGGAAAGCCGACTGCAGCTTTCTCGCGATCATGCAATGCTGGCAGAGCTCTTGGTAGCCCAGCATCATGAAAGTGATGCACTTGCGGTTCCTGAAGGCATCAAGCGCCAGCTCGAAAGCTCTTCGTCTGAAAGGAAGCGGGTGATCGCAAACGCTCAAAAGACAATGCTCCGCCATCTGCTCCTGGGAATGGACCCTGAGAGGGAATGGGATCTCATGCCCCGGCACGTCCATGCCTTCTTGTTAGAAAGAGCATGCGGCCAACCGACTCGTCTTTCTGCAGCCGATGTGGAGTGGATTCGTTCCCGAGCTGGCCAAACCGACGCAGTGGAGCTTCACTGTCTCATTGCGAGGTATGGTTTGAGTACTTCCCTAGCGGTACTTGTAGGCCAGTACGCGGGAGCCATCGCTGCCCATGATGAGGACTTTGGACCCAGGTCAGATTTCCGAGACTCCAGCTATGATCAACTAATTACCACGGTGACATCCGAGGTCGAGCCCAAGAACAAGGGCCTTATCGAGTTTATCCGAGTCACAGTTATGAGGTTTCTTCAGAAGATTCAAACCTGTATCAAGTTCACTGTGCTCTCCTTGGTCGCAGATCCCGAGTATCAACGAGAATTGAACTATATCCTTCGTGGGCAGTCGCTGGTCTTCTCGTGGCCCATCACATGGATTTTGACTGCTATTTGGTCTTTCTGCAAGGCCTTGCAGGGCCTTATCCTCCCCCTTGTTCTGGTATGTCGTCAGTTTCCTATCCCCGATCTGAGCTAACCTTCCGCAGTTACATGGTCGAGACAAGGTTTCTGCACTGTATAAGAACATGAAAGGACAGAAGACGGTGCTGGAAAAGAACCGTATCGTCCTTGAAAGTTTGAACGGTCTCTTGACTTGTTTCATGCATATCGAGACAGACGGTTGTTCTCGACTTTACCAATACTCCGGTCGCCACGAGCAAGAACCAGATCAGCGGCAGAGTCTGGTGGCCATCAACACATACACTGATAAGCTCATCCTTTGCAGTCGGGAAGAGTACGATGCCAAGGGAACGCTGCGTAACGAGTTCGTCTATGATTATCCTGAGACGTCCCGGGCAAAGCTCCCCATGCAGCGGCAGTGCCTTGCTGGCGAGTTGGAGGGACAAGTAGTCCAGTACGATCAGCGAGGATACATTACCACCGGGTCCGCCATGAGAGGCGTCAATCCCGTTCAGTTCCAGTACTGGTACCGCAAGAATGCCAAGTTCGACGACGAGTTGCTTCGTGCCGAGTATGTCTTTCCGCATATCAAAATCAAGGTCGCCTGGAGTATGCCGCCACCCACGCGTCCGGAGCGCCTCGACAAATGGATCCCCTATCCGCGGGTCACTGAGGCTGTGTTCATTCAAGACGGCGATGTCTATAATGCTCAGTGGACATATGATCACAAGTTCCATCCGATCATTGCGACTACTCTCAACGGCGAACACATACCCACGCCGCCCATGATCTGTGACGACTGGTTCCATGTCCTCGAAAAGCCAACGGGGTGTAGCTTCTTGCACGACAATCCGCTCGTCTCGTTCTCTTCAACCAAAACGAACATTATTGCCCGTCATCTGAGACTGAATATCAAGCAATATCCGATTCCAACCTCGCGTGCTCGGACACATCTCTGGAAGTCTTGGAAAGCGTCCAAAGAGTTTGATGCGGTTACTGCCCGGTGGTTAGATGAGATTCTCCTTCGATCAGATCGTATTCTCCGTCCGTACTGGAGGCGGCGTGACTGGGGTCGCCTGGATTCAGCAGCAGACTATCTCGATGCCCAGGTAGACACCATTCTCGCTCGTGTCGACATTGATCCGGAAATCAGTTCATGGACTCAACTGGCCTTTAAGATCAGCGACCTGTACAGTTTCGGCCAAGGAGGTGACGCAAGGATCAATACACGCACGCTGTCAACACAGCTGCAAGATACTGACAGCGAACTGCATGTTTTAGCGATGGACACTGGGACTTGGCCGAATGAGCCAGGTGGTGTCTCTGCATGCCGACGGGACATGGTCAACGATCTGAAGCATATCCGGTGGCACATCCTCGCTGAGGCGGCGAACGATTTTGGCGTCCCCAAGTTCCAGATTGAGCGTAATGTGCAGTCGCTGACTGTCCTGCCGCAATGGGGTCTAGACTTCCTTAACCCGACACACGGTGTTTTCCAAAATTTCTTGGACTCCGCAGTGGTCGAGAAGTCATACGACACCACCGTTGCAGATATCCGACGCAACTTCCTCCCCATTCTATCCAGCATAGTTCGGTGTTCCCGAGCCGTGCAGCTCACGCCATCACATATCGAGGAAGCAACGCGTGCCCTAGTGGACTTGAACACATACTTTGAGTCGTCTCGCAGTTGGAACGACGTCTGGATGAGTGATACTGTCAAACAGGCGTGGAGAGAGATGTGGCTCAGCGAAGACACGCCTGGCGCTGTTCCTGTTTCACAATGGTTGAATTCCGAAAGACCCACGCTCCTGCAGCTTGACTCGGCATTGGACATGTGGCACCGCTGTAAGTTCTTATTCCTTCCTGGTCAGCGCTGTATTCATGATCACTGACTGCCGTAGACCTCTTCATCTTCTCCATCCCCGTTCCCGACAAGATTCCCGATGTTTTCCAGGTTTCACACCATTTCACGGGCGCTACATACGGTGTCCTGTGCAAGGTAAAGCGTCAATGCGCCTTACATGTCTGGGACCATTGCGTCTCGTTCCGTGAGATGACCACATTCTTGTCGTCCGCTGTGTCCTTCGATTCGACTTTCGTCAATAGCAGTCTGATTGGCTTAGGACATCTTTCGTGCGTTCTGATCCAGCACCACGCAGATGTCGTTCTTCCATGCGCCGAATACTTCAATCCAGGATGGGAAATTGAACTAGGAACCTGCGAAGGCGCCCTCCAACATCGCCGGACCTTCCGCCGAAAGATTGACCCGGTTGTGAACGGAATCACCAACATGGACAAATACAAGCCAATTGAGACCATCAAGACTGCTACCCCGACAGTAGTCATGTTGTCACATATTCGGTGTGTGATTCGAGACTTGAATTCGCCGGATTAAGTTAGCTAACTTCTTTCGCAGATATGTCAAAGACATCAAGACAGCGATCATGGCAACTGACCTCATTGTCAATATTTGGGGCTTCAAGGATTATCGGCTGCACATCTACGGGGACATGGAGCGTGCGCCGGCCTACGCTTCGGAATGTCAGGAGATCATCGCCTCCAAGGGCCTGCGTGAGCACGTTGTCCTGAAGGGGTTGGGAAATCCATCCGTTGTCCTTCAAGACGCTGTAAGTTATATTCCGCCTTTCCTTTTACCGGCGATGTGGCTAATCCGATACAGTGGTTGTTCATGAACTCGTCCATTTCTGAAGGTCTCCCATTAGCCATGGGCGAGGCCGCGTTGACTGGTGTCCCTGTGGTGTGCACAGATGTTGGTGCATCGTTTTGTGTGGTCACCGACCGCGCCACGGGTAAGAAGTTCAGCGAAGTGGTTGCGCCCAACGATGCTATATCCCTGGCCAGCGCTCAAATCAGGGTGCTGGCCTTACTGGGCCAATGGAGCGCTTTTGCCGAGGACGAGGAGGGCTATGTGCCCCCCAGTTTATCGCTGCACCCTTCGCGTGAAGAGGTAGAACAGATCACACGGCGTATGTACGAAAAGGCCGAGCAGCGTCGCAAACTTGGCATGCTGGGTCGGTCGAACGTCTACAACAATTTCTCGAGTGATCGGTACCTCCGGGAACATGAACAAATGCTCTGGCTGGGCAAGTACCAGAGCCGCAGCTACGTTGCTCGAGGCCCTGGTTCGTCGAGTAACTCCAGCGGGTTTTTCAAAGAGAAGTGGAAGTCGTCTATTCTGATCGAGCAAACCGAGGAGCTTCTGACCCCAAACTCGGACACGTGGTGGACTCCCTTCCGTCCGACGTTGAAGCGAGGAAGTCGTTATGGGGGCGCCATCGAAGGAACGTCGGGAACCCAGACACCGGTTTGACCTGGTATAATTTTAATGTATAATCATCTGTTTCTTGAATACTTGCCAGCGATGTATATTGCATATAACGCCTATATGATTTTCTATGTTGGAAATGATTATGAGTTAATAACTAGCCCTCGCGATTGAGACCGTATATATAACTGGAGCAGTTTCCACCATGCTTGCTATAATTCCGATCATCCCGCTGTCGTTAATCACTTGCAGCCTGAAGGCTTTAGATTGTGCAGTATAAATTGCTGGACACATACCTTGCTATAGGCTAACTTTCATAGACGGATTTGTGTGGCCAGAAATTTGGATGTTGTCAAGGTCGCCGGCCATTGTTGTTATCGTGACTGGTTGGTTAGGCAGTAGCTGTTCGGCATGGGACACATGTGGAGCCTTCAGCCTGAGGAAAACAATGGATGGCCAAGCCATCAAAATCAAACGTAAATAAGCAAAATCTTGCGTCAGATATCAAGGAGTCGTTCCTTAGGGCAGTAAAGGATCCTAGAGTTCAATAATAACTTACTTTCCTGACAGTTGTATCTGCAGTGTCTAGGCCCCTTGATTCTTATTGTTAAAATGCCGACTTCATACATTCTATATGTTGAAGGCGAAGAAAATATAATGCATGATACTGCTAGATGGCAAGCATTCACAACCATATTGCTCGAATCTATTTGCTCCAGAAGTAGAGTACACAGCAAACCTCTACCACAAGATCTGAAGTAGATAATAACCACTTCATGATTCTCCTCTCAACACAGCCCGAACAGCCTCGACATCAGCTTTGCTCATGCCAATCACATCCATCGCAAACCTCTCCATTCCGCCATATTTCACCTGGACAGCCTCCAGAAACGCCGTCATGTACGAAGCCTTAATAGCACTAAACTCCTTGAAACCTGCGGCTCCCGGAGCGCACTCAGGCCATGCCTGTTGCAATGTGCGCAGAAGATACTCTTTCTCTGTCTCAATGCCGACTCTTGTCAAGGCGTAATCCCTCACAATAAGTTCGTTCGGAACACCTGCAAGGCCCAGCAGCAGTGCCGAAGTAACGCTGGTACGGTCTTTACCCGCTAAAATTGTGCGAGTGCTAATCAGTAACGTCTTGCGTACTGGTGGGGCCTAGTGACCTGGTTCAACATACCATGACAATGAAAAAGTATAGCTTTCTTCTCCCCTGCAGATCCAGCGTTCAATTCGTCGCGGATATAGGTTAGTAGACCCTTGAAGATTGGTACATGGGACTCCAGGATATACAAATACATATCCCTATACGCATCGTTGCCGTTATTAGCGGTAAAGTCGCTCAGGTTGACTGGTGGGGGTGTCCCTATCTGGGGCTGCCAGAAATGCTTCACCTGCTCATGTAACTGTGGAGGGGGGAAGAGTAATCTTTCCCTGTGACTTCGAAGATCGAAAATAGCACCCAGCGATAACTCTGACATGAGCTGGGTTTTTCCGACTTCTGTGACATTGGAGAGGAGTCCAGAGCGGTAGACTAGGCCGGGCTGGATTCCCGGGTGGCCGCTCTGACCTAAATCGCGGATATTGAACACCCCTTCAACAATCCGGAACGGTGGCTCGCTAAGAACACGAGCGAGGGCATCCGACGGAATAGGCTGGTCGATCTCAAGGTCTATGAAATCTGCCAGCTCAAGACCGGAAGCGACGGGGCTCGCGGTGATGGTACCCATGCTTTGATGACTAGGTATATTTACTGGCCCACTGCTAGGAATGATGCTCGGCTGAATTCTGTCAAAATCACGGCGTATACGTCTCTGCAGAGAGAATGGTGACTTCTATAAGGACCAGGATTGATGACTCATGGCTCCTTAAACGAGAGCTTCAATCCACATCACCACGTCAGGATGTCTTAGCCAAGGCTTCATCTCGTATCCGTCAACCTATAGGATCATTGAGGGGCCAGGGTCTTTCGTGATGCTATTTATGGTGGTATCGGAATTCGGCACACTCAGTTCCTCAGATCTGTTGCAGGAGTATAGACCCCATGGAATGCCCCGGATTTAACCAAGTGCCACTTAACTGGCTGACCAGGGGTGAAGCAAGAACGAGATGCGCAGGCTGCGGGCCTAAGGTCACCTTGGAAGCAATCCACGCTCTAAAAGAGGGAATCACTCAATTCCACAGATGGAACATCTTCCTGAAGGTCCTGGTAAAAAAAAGATCCCTTGTAGAATAGTCGTGAAGGGACATTCGTGACGAATTCTCCAGCTCTGGCACATGTTGCCCATTGGCGTGCGGGAAATGTCTTGAGCATGACGACGCAGGGGCCAACAATCCCTGTAGAAGCTGTAACGTTTGTTGTAGACTCCTGCCAAATTGGACCAACAGCTGACAACAAGCTGCGTAGGAGTCCGCGGCAGATCCACTCGAGTTTTCCATGTCTCCAGCTTGGCCAATCGCGACAAAGTTTAGCCTTCAGATTGCAAATTCCTAGATACGAGAAGAGCAGAATGAACGATCCGGGGTCCTCGAATATACGACGTTGGGTAAAAGACGGAGTGCCTCCTTAAATCATGTTCAAATCTTAATTCGGTTTTGGACTTCGCGAGACAAGGGCCAGGAGGGATAGCGTAACAGGACAACGCAAGTTGGTAGCGCGTTGTGCAGAAGTATTTATGCCGAAAATCAGCTGGACCGGATTTCTGCCGACTTACTCTGCCTATTGTTGAGCATGTGAAAGAAGTTGGGCTGAGTCGAGCTGGGACCTCGTTCCGGGTCCCCAAGGACCTGCTTTATTGTAAACCACACTTGAATTATAGTTGTAGTTGTACTCTCTTCACTGAGATCTAGCGAGATCTAGCTGTTTCTCATGGACTGAAACCGCTAAGAAATGTTCTCGCAGGTTTCCCAAGTTTGTCTCGCTAGATCGCGTGCGCGGTGCAGACACAGCAATTTAAAGCATATTTGCGGTGATCTGGGAGGCTTCCCAAAGACCGCGGCGCTTTTAAATGGAGATGTGCGAGATGATGCTCCGCCAGCAAGAAGTAGCCAGTAGGAGTGGTACTCAAGCTTGCGCTGAAACTTACAAAGGTCAAATCAGAATGTTGGAGATGCCATAGATGTGTTAGACTTTGAACGGCAACAGCCGCTGAGGCTGAACATACATTATGACGACTCTCTTTGTTTAATCATTCAGGGTTGACTGGTCGCCTATGTCAGGAGGGACACACGTAGTTAAGCTAATCTTCCCAGATGCTAGTTGCTCACAACTATGCGGCCAGACTGGGATAAACACTGTATGACTCCGGCGAGAAAACTAGCCTCTGCTCTTGTCGTAGACTCTCCGGATCAACATAAATTTTCAACCCCATGCTCTCCTTGCCTAAGTAGTAAACTCTGAAAACGACATAGATCTCTGGCTCTTCCAGTCCGGCGTTAATATCAGTCCACATTGTCTGCATCTATGGGTTGACCGTTAGTAAAAACTATTGCAACAGGGCACGATCGAGGACGCAGGGCCCCGTAACTTACTCGTCTGAACTGGCTTTTGCTCATGAAAAAAGGATTGTCGCACTCCCCAGTCGTCGTCTTCACTTCTATGTAGTACGTCGGATTTGAACCATGCCACCGTGCGTGAGGCAAATAGCCAGCGTCAATCAAGGTGGTTGTTAAGACTGAGTTCGTGTCGCGGTAGACTACGTCTGCAGTCTCTAAACCATACCAGGGTGCAAGGTCGTGGTAGTCGGGATGGACGGAGATATGCTTGCGAATGGTGCTGCGCCAGTTGTCACGGCTAAACTCTGGAAGGTCTGACGACGACAAGAGCTCAAATACCTAGAATATTACGAATTAGCTACTTCGGCTTGCAACGGAAGGGATGTAGAAGGCTGTCTGACAAATAACTCTCCGGCAGCACCGATTTTGATATCGTGTGCAAGTTGATTCTCAGATCGGACCCCGAAGGTCGATTCATGTGAAGTATTTGCACCACTCCCCACTGTGTTCATTGGGCGTTGCAAAACTTCAGAAAGTGTGAGCGGACGAGCCAGTCTGATGACTTTGTCTAGAAGCTGAATGTACGGATGATGCTCGGCGAAAGGCCTGGGGACTCTGTCCGGGGATGGCCAGTCGGGATAAGGAACAGTGAATGGCCGCGGGGGTGGAGCTGACGCCCTGTTGTGAGTGACTATTGTCCTCGGTAGCTCTCCTGCGCCTTCAGGGCTTGAGCGTGGTGTATCTTGCGGTGTGTACATACCCTCCCCACTCTCCTGAGCCTCGTCCGATCCAGAGAAAACGTCGCCTCCTTCAATAGAACCGTCTGAGATTGTCGTGTCTGTAGGTTCAGATTCAGGTTGTAGAGCGATGTCGGGAGAGATCCGAACAATCCCATGGCTATCTAGACATTCATCAATCAAGTCACCCGGAGTGAAGAAAACCGATGCGAAAGTCAATGATACTGTGGAGTCCATCTTAAGTCCAAAATAACGTCCCAGGCTTTGGGGAAGCTCTTTGTTGTAGCAGCGTCGACGGTCACTGTGGTCTCTGGGAATGTAAATGTGTAACACATCATTAATCTCCTCGATATGCACCAACCCCGTATCACTCTGTACTCTCGCCGTAACTTCGTTTAACTGAAGGACAAGCGTTTTTTTAAAGCCGGCGCTTTCATAAACAAGGGCATTTTGCAGTTGCCGGAGCCTCTGGCCAACAGTTTCCTGGCCTTCCTCACTGTAATGTAGGATGCAGCTATAGCTTTTTTAGCAAGCGTCTCGGGCAACTCCGGCTACCAAACTTACCGGTAAAAGTGTGTCGCCTTTTTGCGGAACTCCCGTGTTTCCCTGGAGCAGTGCTCGTGGGATGGCTGATCGACATCAGTCTGCTCCAGGACTGCCTTTGACATGTATCGGCTCTCCAGACCGATACGTTCCAGGAGGTGGCGCAAGCGCCAGCCTTCTTCAAGAGAGAAGTCCAGAATGGGAACTTTGTCCCGAAAAGCAGAAAGATATTGAACCCGGTCCGCAATGAAAAATGTATCAGTGAGTTTTAATATCTCCACGGTGCCATTGGGCATTGCTACCGGCAAAAATCTAAGGTGTGCAAGACCCCTGAGCTGATCTGACCCTGGTCGCAGCGCATCGAGGTTATAGATGGCAGTTTTGACCGCACCAATATCCACAACCTCATTAGATGCTAACTTCTTGAGTTGCTCTAAGTAAGTCGCTGCTGTCGGAGTTTGCACATTCAGAGGACCGCGGAAGAAGCTCTCCAGCTCGAGGTATACAGTGCTGATGCCATACTGTACTCCAATTTTTGGAGCGTCTGCCCATACACAGGATTCAGGCGTCACCCAAGATTGTTCTGTCGGAAGATAGACCAGTTTCTCTTCAATGAATTTGCTCCTAGGATTCAATTAGCCCCGTACCGTCTTTCATGTCACATGCATAACTCGTACAGTATCATAGCGCCATCATCAGGTTTCTGTATATTCTGCGAGATACACTTGTAAATCGTCTTCAGGTCGTCCAGATCCACGTCCGCGTTGTCTTTGCGCCACTGAAGCTCCTCGAGATATGTGCCGACGTCCGCATCACGAACGGAGAGTATATCCTTAAACAAACATGCCACATGTGGGTCGTTCGAGTATTCCGGGTGAGTAGCAAGAGGGTGCTTCGTCCGAAGAGAGGGATGTCCGTTCCAGACACACTCTGAGAGAAATGCTAACTCTAGAATCCCCCCTGGACGTGCGGGAATGCAGGTAGCTTTCCACTCTATGAAAATTCTGCATGGAGCTGGTTAATATTGGTAATCTCAGCGGTTGAGGAAAATACTTACTCCCGCAATCCAATGGGATCATCGGGAAACCGAATGAAGAGCTCCTTATACATCCTGAAGAAGGCGGCCTGTGTCTGGATGTTATCAGCGGCTTTTTCTTCTAGGCGGCAGAAAATTTCCAGAAAAAAGTAAATATCTGCCTCTAGGTTCACCCTAAATGAGGCTAAGAACTCCCATCCATCGATACCATCGGTTGCTAAGTTAGCAGGAATATCTATGAATTTACTGAAAATCTCCTCGACACCTGCATCGGAACATAACCGCTGCATCTCCTTGGATGGATAATAAGTCCATTCTAGAACGGTCTGGGAGTGATTCCGACAAGGAACTCGCATTTCCTTCAAGGCCTCGATCACGCGCGGAGTAAGATCTGACTGCAGGCTGCTCCAGCATGTTTTCAATATTCCTATCAGGATTATGGGGCGATATTTCGCCATGTGCTGACACAGCGTGGATAATCCATCTGTCCGGGGACTTTTTAGCCTTGGGATGCGGCGAACCAATGCCACTTCTTCCAGCCACTGCTCCCAGGTGCGCCCATTACTGACGGTCCCGGGTGGCACAGCCTCAATATATGCGTGGTGGATAAGATGCATTTCAAAGGGAGGATAACTCTCCTGGCTGACCCCGCACAGCAATTCCTGAGCGAGGTGCTTCGTGCCATATTCTCCTAGGGTCTCGAAGTATAAGTCATCCTTGATAATTTCGGCACCGAAAGTGACAAAAGCGCGGTAAATTCGTTTCCCGGTCTTGTCCATGATGAAGATGCGATTGTCTAACGCTTCCTCTTTCCCCAGGGTCCTGAAGAGGTACGTCAAGTGGCTGACTGATTTCTCCAGCGTGACCCCATGGGGTACATCGTACAGCTTCAGAATAGACCTCACTACTCTCTTTGGCTCGCAACGTGCTACTCCCAACGTCTCGAAAAGTTCCCGTCTTGCTTTGTTTTCCAGCACGCTCCGTTGAACGATTCGTATGTCGTTCAGGCCCTCGGGTATAGGAATTCCTCTCTCATCATCTGGGAAATAGACTGCAGAAGACCGAGGTGATAACAGTGACCCGTCCGAAGTGGGGATGAGGGCCATTTTTCTTATGCGCTCAGTCAGAGAAGAGCGCCCCGGCTGCCGTTTTAGAGCGCGCAGAAGCAGAGTTGCAATTTTGGTATGCCAATCATCATCTAAACTCGAATCTAGAAACCTTGGTGATGAGCCCTCAAGGTATGGTTCCAAACGATCTAAGATGGATTCATAGGACAGATTCTTCACACCAAGATCGGTCAAATTCTCAGCATGTTTAGTCCAAATATATGACTGCGCCAGGTAAACCTCAGGCTCGATATCGTCCAACAAAGGCTGGCCATAATGATCGCAGTGCTGTGATGACAGGTGTTGAAGCTGCCTGGGGTATTTCAAAACACCTCTTCGGGAAATTAGAATTCTGGATTCCTTTAGGCGGTCGAAAATCATCTCTCGAAGATCAGCCCAGAAGGAGTCGTGAATGTACATCCCCTGAAGATACTGTAGCCATTCATATCTGAGCGACGTATGCTTACAAAAGTAGGTGACGGCTTGGAGGAACAAATGGCTAATACCGTCACGGATAGCATAGTTTCTATCGCAACGATGGACCCCTTGTCGATTGGCTTGGGTGATAAAGTCCGATTGGATGAGAAACTATTTGGATATTAGCGGACTGTCTTTGATCAGAGTCCCGAGCAAGAAACAAAATTACTCACATTGAATCCCTCATGACGCATCGGGAGGAAGGAATACACATACTGGGCCTGAATGAGAGGACTAAAGTCCTCCTTTACTGGGAACGCTAGGATTAGGTCAACCTCGGGTTGCCCAGGGCGACTGGGATGCTGTGGAAGATTGGAAAGGGTGGTCGTTTCAAGATGGTAAAATTTCTTCTGTTGTTCGCCATTCGTCTCCTTGGTAAGCGTGACCAAGCGCTTTGACAAGTCCTTCTGGCGCCTGAAGGATATCTGTGACTGCAAAGGTAGGATCTCAATCGTGAGCCTCCGCAGTTTACGGAGAAAGAGCAGCATCGTGTCCGGGATCTCCCTCAGCTCCGAAGCGCGACGCTCGAAGTCGCCGATATGTGTAAGAAAGAGTGTTATTCGGGTGTTCACACCAGGGGGTAGATCCCGAGGCTTCTCGTTGAACGGGGTGATCATGCCTAATCCACTCTCCCCATGGCGGTGCTCAAAGAAGAAGCAAAAGGGCCCTGACTGGATAGATACTCTGTATGCAACCTTGAATACAGATTTGAAGCCGATGCCTTTGTGGCCGATATAGCCGCCCGTTTGTTTCTTTGAACTCCGGTGAATGCTGCATATGGCCCGCACGTCATTCTCAGTAAAACCGTCCTCGTTGGAGTCCACAGTTATATGATCTTTATGTAGAGTGAGATGGAGAAATGGCTCCTCCGCTTGACTAGCAGCATGGTGATAACAATTATCTTCCGCGTTTTGGATAAGCTCGAAGATGAACCTTGTGTCCGCGTCGTACAGGTCTTCTGCCACGTGTACAATCGAACTTCCAGCGATAGTCTGCAGATTCTTGAAGGCCTTCAATGCCTCTTGGGGCAGTGCTTTCTGAACCTCGAGAGAGAAGCCACCGTTTGTCACCCGGATGTCGTCTACAATCGCTTGCGCCTGCTCAATGGACAATGGTGCCATCGGGGAGTTGAGGATGTAAGGTGAAACAACAACGGTCTACTGAGTAATAATGGTTCCCTTTTGCAAGTTTTAGTTGCGTGGATGCAGGTTTGTATCGCAGCTCTTTTGATCGAGACACACGGCGAGCTGAAACGTTGAAATACAACAGGAGCCATCCTGTGACCCTAACAGCCACTGGGCCTCTCGCCCGCTCTGGTGAACTAGTGCTCTTCCTCCCCACAGAATCCGCCTTGGCGGCGGCGAAGGTGGTATGCGGCGCAGGCAACTTGCATTTCCTTCCACAGCTACGTGTTACATACCAGACTAAATCGACCGGGTTCATTTCTAAAGGGTATTCTATAGCATAAATGATTGGACAAGAAGGCGGCATATTCCGTTCGCCTATAGAACCGCTGAATGAGTAGCCCAATCATATTAATCTGAAGAGACGCAATAATACTAGGCGCGGTCTTCGCGGCAGGCTAATAATAGATAGTAGGACATCCTAAGGATTATTTCTCATGCAGTACCACAACTGCTGGAGACCATATCTTGTGCTGGGTGTAGTGCTCGGCATTCTCGGAACCAAAGGCTAGGATGGCTGGCTGAACACAAAGAAGTATCCTTTTCCCGTCCAGCCTCGTATCATCTTCGTCGAGAAGATGGAGCCGATGGGCAAGCATCATTGGGTTTGAAACTGTAAACGGTGGGAGCCCTCGCAGGCTTTGACAGGTCATGAAAGCCCGTTGAGTCCAGAGGGAGAGCGCCAGCTGTGCCGCCCCATCATACAATGACTGGAGCTCCTGAGCCCGCTTGTTGACAGCGTCATTATCTCCAACCTTACGAAGAAGAGTGCGAGCGGGACTGGTCAGGAATCCGGTTACAAGCCCCCTCACTAGCTTCTTGGTCATGTCCTGCAAAAAGGTGGAGAGATTTTGTAGTGTCTGTGACCGCCAAATATGCGCTTTTTGTTCATCAGCTGTTTAGCCAGTTCCTGTTAGCTTCCATCAGCGGCTATAGGATGGATATATCCTACGTACCATTGAGCATGATGTAGTATATCCTTTTAAAGTACCCTGCTGCAGAGATTGTGTGATCACCGTCGATCCCTGGGAACGCAAAAAAGGGATCTGTAAACATTCTTCCGAACAAGTCCTTCGCTAACAAGGCGTGCAAGAGAACCATTGGAATTTTATTCCGTGGGATGGAGATCTCCCTCATCAATGAGTTCCAATCCGGTTGGGAGCAGTATTCAGTCAATTGGTGGATAACCATATCCTTCTCGATTTCGGTGACGTCCTCAAAATCTGCAAAGGAATTCAAACAGTGTTTTCGGGCCCACGACCGTATGCTCTCTGTCAATTTAGACAGCTCATTCCTAATCGTCTGGTCTTCCTTAGGGATGTATCCATTGTTTGCTACCATTAACTGGAGAGCATTTTCTTGCCGTGCAACAACTATGTCCTCCAACTTTCGGTGCTTATCCTGTATCTGAGCTAGGTTGTTTCGGAGTTCCCAAATGACCGCATCCCGGTGGCACAATTCAGCCTCTTGCTCGTTAATACGTGCCCTGTACGTGGTTAACTCATCCTCCAGGCGTTGGATCGCAGCATTGCTTTTCTGAAACAATTGGCTGTGTTCCGCATCCATGTGGTCAATTTGAGCCCTCAGCTGGCGTGTTTGAAGGTGGTATTCCGCATCCCTTGGATGGGTTTCATCTTCCAAGTCATCACCATCTTCATTCAGCGTGGCTGGGGACAACGGAACCTCGTGAGCAGGCTGGGGCAAGTCGTTGTGTTCAGGACTTAGTTGCTCAGTAGAAGCTGGTAACGGATCTTTCGGTGGACCTGATCCCCACGGCGGCAAAACCTGGCTTATCTGCCCTGTAATCAACAACAATCCTGTACTGAGTGGCTAGTCGCTAGCCCACCTTCCTCATAAAATTTGACATTCCAGAGTTACTTCCCCCTTTCTGAGAAGTAGGCGTTGAATGGTGATCCTTCCCAATATCGCGTTCTCTCGGAGAGACGTCCCTATTATGAACTCGTCGCGGGCCCTGGGTAGGTACCTGTACAATGAGTGAGTGAGCTTGTGAAAGTTGAGCGAGTGAGAAGTATTGTATCTCACCCTTCGCCGGGTTCGTCTATTTGCGGGGACTCCCCTGCCCTCCGTCGTGTTACCGGTCTCGTCCATTTTCAAACGTTTATCCCTTAAAAGAACCGGCTTGACCGTAAAGTCTGGTTGTGATTCTTCTTGAGAGACTTTGCAAAGAGTATCTTGTGCAGGATCTTGGGGAATTGTATCCCAAGGAATACGCTGAGTTGTCTGGAACATTGGTTGCAGGACTTCCTCGACTGTGCATGCTCATGGCCGGCGCTAAGACGGTGCGACCATCCGCTCAGCCACCGGGATCGCTCTAAACAATTGGCGCCCACTGTCTACGCCTGTCTCCTGCCCAAAATAGTAAAGTGTTACCTGCAGTTATGCATGGGTCGCAGACTAGAATTCGATAATACGCGAGGGATGGTAAGAGGGGGAGAGGGACTTCCCCATTTCCCACTTTAGCAACGAGGAGCTCTTTTTCATCGCCTATTCCAACCTTCACTCTGAGCTGAAGCATTAAGATGTCCTATGATAGTGCAGTCTTTAGCAAGCTTAGGTCGCTTGCCCTCGACTCCAAGCACAAGATAATCGTGGGGGTCGACTATGGCACCACGTTTACAGGTAACATTATTATTACAATCTGCCTCTACCGAAGAAATAACTAACAAAGGGCCGCAAAGGAGCGAGCTACGTGAGCTCCAGAGGAAGCGGTCTAAGCGATATCATACTTATTAGCACCTGGCCTGGTCCCTCGAGGGATACAGAGACCGTCTTCAAGGCGCCGTCCCGAATTGCATATGCCGCTGAGAATTCACGTGTTACAACGAATCGCTGGGGTTACCAGGTCGAGCCTGGGATGTTATCATACTCATGGACAAAATTGCTGCTGGACCAGGGCACCCCCCTAACTCAATATGACGATAGTACCCTTGAAACTGCTTCCCAGACTGGCATTCTGAAACTGCCAGAAGGGAAAGCAGCGGTTGATGTCGTTGCTGACTATTTATCCGAAGTTTACCAGCATATACTCAAAACTATCTCCAAAAATATCACAGAGGCAGACCTTCACATCACCCCACTCGAGTTTTGGTTCACTGTCCCTGCCATTTGGTCTGATCGAGCACTGGATGCTACAAGGACCGCTGCTCAACGAGCTGGATTTGGGGAAAGTTCCTTGCGGCCAATGGATCAGATATTTCTGATCAGCGAGCCGGAAGCAGCGGCGGTCACAGCGTTGAAGAAGTACACAACCAGCAGTATGGGAGGAAATGTCAAGGTCAGTGCCAGTCCTGCTTGTTACTGGCTCGAGATTCGTGTCTCATTACCGGTATCAGGCCGGAGATGGAGTTCTTGTCTGCGACTGTGGCGGTGGCACTGTGGTAAGGACCGTTGATGGAGGCCGTTGAATGACTCAGATGCTCATTTGTCAGGACATTACTACATATTTGGTCTTGGAGGTCTTTCCAACACTGAAGTTCGAGGAACTGTGCACAGGAATCGGTATACCCCCTCTATTAGCGTTTTTGGTCTCTGCAGGTCTATCTCTAAATGAACTTTAGGAGGCAAGTGCGGGTCGACTGCGGTCGACCGCAACTTCTACAAGCTGATGTCGGACCGTTTCGGTGATGCATTCGACAACTTACCCACGAAACGGAAGAGCCCTGGCAGTGAATTTATGAAAAAATTTGAGATCATCAAGAGAGACTTTGGAAATTCTGACGAGGAGACAACTTTCGAGTTGCCTCTGAATATGAATGTGGCTAATCCAGATCCAGAATTCTTCGATGAAGAGGAGCGATTAGTCCTTCTTTCCAGGTTCAGAACCCTTACTCACCTCGATCAATGTGCTGCTGACTCGCCTTAGTGCTGACCTGCATTCCATCTTTGATCCTGTCATAGAGAAAATTGTCAGCCTGGTCCGACAGCAGATCGCTGATGCTACAAAGGAGACTGGCAAAGATATCATTAATGTGTGCTTTAATGACCGATTTCTTCACACTGCCCTTGCGCAACTACACAGCCACTCCTCGGCTTTGCATCCATGAATATCCCTCAGTTCAATTTCCATTGATTTGATAATATAGGTACTAACGAAGAATAGAGAATAGTTTTGGTTGGCGGATTTGGCGACTCCGAGTATCTTCGCAAGGCCTTCAGATCCTCGTTTGGGTCTACGGGCAAGATCACTATCACAGTCCCTGATAGTCCGTAAGCATTGACCTCTTTCATAAAATGATGTCCTCCATGGCACCTAAATCGTTAAATAATCTAGACAAGCTGCCATTGTCCAAGGAGCCGCACTACGTGGTTTGGAGGGTCTTCAATCAACAACGAAGCGATGCCGTCGACACTACGGCTTCATGTGGGGCATTCCCTTCCGTGCTGGAATCGACAGTGAACTTAACGCCTACTATGATTCTTATACTGGCAATAAAATGGTGTCTGGCATCATGAAATGGATGATTGCTAAGGTGGGTGCTCTTCAATCGGCCCTATTGTATCTCAGTCTGCGGAACGTGCTCATATAGTCATTGAATAGGGAGCCACATACACGAGTAATTACACGAACACGGTATCAGTATACTGGCCGCACGATGAAAATTCGACGCTGAGGAAATTCGACACATTTTACGCATGCGATCAGGAGGAAGCTCCGGAGCGGCGGGAAGACAAAGGTGGGTCTCATAGATTTCCGAAGCGTATCCTCCCATCTAACGTGAGCACAGCTGTGTATACGGTTGGCGACATCGTTGTGGACTTTTCCAATGTGGACTTGGCGACATTTCCCTCGAAAGTGATCAAGGACGAGCGAGTATATAAACTCGACTATGAGCTTAAAGTCACCGTTGGTGCGCGTGAGGGTGTGCTCAAGTTCGAAGCCCTTAGCCAGGGGCAGACTATTGGTCAGACAAGCATCAATTTTAGCGCAGCCAAGTATTATTGATTGCACATCCATGACATATGGTGTTTGTATTTTAAGAATCAGGAAATTATATCAACTAGCCTCTCATTCGCGTCGTCAGTAGGCTAGGTTCAAGGAGCGGCTCGCATCTTGCCGAGGTGGAAACAGGTTGTAAGTAGCCTCAAATATGGTCAGTTTTCAGCGTTGATTCCACATGTACTGCGTTTTCTATTTGTAAAGCGTTGACGACAGCGGGCCATATGTCCTAGTGACCTGAGCAAAGGACAAGATGTCGTGGGCACGGCCGAGGCTCTCGGCAATTACACAGGAGCGTTTAATTTGGAAGTTCCAGCAGCGTCATTTTCTTTAGGATATTCAGTTTCCATATTCCAGTAGCGTCCGGGTCAAACAACATAGATAAGAGCCTGGATATCCTTTGACTAGCCACTGGCTGTTTTGCTGTCAACCACTGGAAAACTCTCCCGAGTCATCGTAGGTCAAAATCACGGTATCAGTATGAACAGAGCAAAACAGTTGCGAGTATTTATAATCATTCTCTGTCCATCTGGATAGACTACTGAGAGAAAGGATTGTAACTACACCGAATTACCGCATGATAGCAAGCTTTCGTGAATGGGTTTCAGTATCGTAGGAGCAGTGGTATGCTTAGAATTAGCCAACTTAATCTTAGGAGTGCATAAGATGCTCCTAGAAGCTCAGCTTGCTCTCCTAGGAAGATCACTCTTCCTGGGAACAATCAAGCGGTTTACTGGACTGCCGGTCATGTACCACATTTTCTCTAATACTACTCAGCCTTCCTTCTGGCATTTTTCAGGGAGAATAGGATAGGGTCAGTGAAAGATTGCTCACAGCAGTACATTTGTAACTCAGGGCTCCTGCCTAGTGGTCATGAAAACCATTGATTCCATGTAGGGTTGGCCTTTTACTTATTCCTTCTGTTCTGGCTCTTGCTACTCATACATATGGGAATATATAATGCCTTGTTTTGCGCTCCTTACCGCGCTCTTTGATGCCAATGTCTACGCTGCATTATCTGGATCTTCTCAGGATTTTGGTATAAATCTATAATGGTCTATGATTCAGGTATAGAGGATAGGGTACCAGGACGTGGAGCATTCCCCACATGCTCATGGAATAGAGGAGGGCTATCTTGCGTTACGAGGGCAAACAAATGGCAAAGACAGAGAGAGAAATATGGAACATTTCAGTTTATCTATTTATTTTCTGCTCGTTTCAATTTCATGACTAAAGAAAGCAAAATATAAACCCATTCCCTGTCACTATTGTGATAGTCCTAGTTTAGTGAGCGGAGAATATTCAAAGGTGTTATCCAGGGGTTCAACTTGACGTTCTTGGAACTCAATACCTTGCTGGAAACAGATTTGGTGTATTTGACCCTCAAATCTTGCTTTTGTACCCCGAGAGATGAAATTAACGGACCGGCGACTTCTACTGTTGAAGGATTTGAGATTACTCTGTTGGTTTCTCCACGGTGGGAAACAAGTCATCAGTAACAATGTCGTACACGGGAGGGGTGATAAGGGCCTCGAAGCCTTGTTCATGGTAGTTAATCACACTGGGATGTAACGGGAAATAGAAGCTAGAAGCCTGTCTGATCTTAGGTATTGGGAGTGTTATAAAGTAACAGATACTATATCATCAACCATTCCAAAGCCAAATCATAACTATGAATCAATCATAACCTGCGCCAATTTCTCAAGTAAAGACGTTTCCTTCTCTGAAACCATGTCCACCGCAGCCTGTATCGAATTGTTCGTAGCCGCCGCCGCCGCCCGCAAGAAAATCGGTGGTGATGATGCATGCGGTGCTTCTGGGCCCTGCTGATGCTGATATTCGGGCATCAAGAGACTAATAGCATCACGCAGCTGATGAACCATGCTAGAAATCATATAAGCACCCACAGAGGTGCTCATGGCCGGCTGGGATGCAAGATTGAAGGTACCCAGGCTAACGAGGGCCAGACTCCCGGCGCGGGTCTTGAGATTATCCACAGCAAGGTCCAGCAGCTGCAGGGCGTATGCGTACGATGTCGCGATTTGTAATACGGTGATGTAGTTTATTCTCAGTGGGTCGATCGGCCCTCCTTCTCTTTGAGTTGGCTCGCCAATGCCGTCGCAGGGATCAGGATGTCCGGCATTGACGCTGGCTGGGGTGAATGGTGGTCCTGTCCCAGTCCCACTACTACTTGCAGTACTGTAGTCTGAACCGGAGCGACGGGCTGGGACAGGGAGCAGCTCTAACAGCTCTTTGCAGACCATCATGACTTCGTCAAGGGCCGGCTGGTGCCCTGTGGGCGATCCGCTCGCGTCTGTTAACAGATTGCTCAGGTGGAACTGCAGCCGTAGGAGCTCGTCTGCGCCGGTAGTCTTAACAATAGGGACCGTCCCCTTTTCTGACGTCTCCAGGTCAAAATCAGAGAAATTAGGAACCCCCTTGTATCGCTGTCGCAGACTCTCCAGTTGATGATATTCTTGGTGGGCGTGTCCATGTCCACGTTCCTGTCCCTCTCCGCCCGTTGGATCGTCATGAACCGGGTGCGCAAAGTCCGGGGAATACAGCCCTAGGTCCCAGTTCATATTGTCGCCAGGTATCACTGGTCACACTCTTTAGCTTTTCGGTTCCTGCATGCAGGGTCGGCGGGTGTATATACCTTACCTGCGGGGAGAAGAACAGGATCTAGAAGCCCTAACACTGGGTCGAGATTCCCGGGACTACCAGGTCCAGAACCACTACCAGGGCCACTTCCAGGACCGGCACCGCCAGATCTATCGTGTGCTGCAGAAGCTAGATCACCATGATCAACAGGAAGCGGCACTGCAGTAGCACCACGCTGATTCCCAGCCTGGACAGCCCGTCGTTTAGAGTGTCTGTCGGAGGAGCCTCCTTTCTGATTCTCAGACACTGGCCGCGACACACGCGGACGGCCCATGCGCGCACTAGTGTTATACACGCAGTCTATATCGAGTCTCTCACACCGGTCGCACCGACTCTCAGGCCCACCGGTGCGAGTGCATCGGTTCTTGAGTTCGTGGCAGCGGTCGCATGCCGCGCGGAGCTTTCGTTGGCCGTTCATCATCTTCTTAACTGGAATAAACATCCGCTTGGTGGATGAATTAAGTGCTTGGGAAATCGGCTCATCAAATGGCGCAAAGGCCCGGGCCGTTGACCCGTTCCTCTCTTTCGCTTTTGTATTTAAGTTAAGAGTACTCCGCGCCTTGATCATTACGGCGGACTATTTGTCCAATAGGCGAATAGAATAAGCCCGCCTTTGTGTCCAATCATTGGTTGATTTAGTCTGGTATATAACACATAGCTGGAAGGAAATGCAAGTTACCTGCGCCGCATACCAAGGTAGATTCTAAGGGAGAGGAGGAGCACTAGTTCGCCAGAGTAAGCAAGAGACCCAGAGGCTGTTAGGGTCACAGGATGGCTCCTATTGTATTGCCACTACCTCCACAAATATTAAATTCTCATTTAGTAGGGATATCGGATCATCGTATAGTATCGATGTCGACTTATATAGGAGCATATTGAATATCACTACCTTAGTATAGGGATTCAAGATCTATACTTAGTATTCGATTGTAAATGGTCCACGAGACACAATAATGCAACCGGAACTGGAACCAATCCGTTACATTAATATCCCTACTATATAAGAATTCAAAGTCCCTTCTAGAGTATTTGAAATTGATACTATATAGCGCATTAGCAATTTGATATCCCTACTATAGGATGATTTAATATTAATATTATATAGTAATTCGATATTAATACTATATGACCCTTTGATATCCCATAGCGATTCGATATCGGTGCTCTGGTTCTTATTCGATATTGATATCAGTGTAGTGCGTGCGAACGTAGGGAGGGCGGGAGTGGTAGGATGTAATCATAGTAAGAAAACCAAAAGCTCCTTTTGTACAAATAGTCCACCGTGATCATACTAGTAGTTCAGACCCCACCAGCCCGGCTGATCGACCAGTGAGAATCTTGGTTCCCTGTTGGGATATATATCACTATGATCATGGATATGAAACCCTAGACTGATGAGTACGTCGTCCGGACACCCTTCTAGCCTAGTGGTAATTTTATTCAATAAGTCCACAGCGGCTTTGAAAGTGTCAGAAATACAATGGTATTCCTTCGGGAGAGGCTGATCTCAGATAGTTCTATCTTCCTTATCCCTCTTTTGGGTAAGAAACTTAGAATGCAGTATATCACATAAATCTAACCAACGGAAGTACTCTGTGCATCAGATTTTTAACCAACTGAGCTGCGGCCTGCCAGGCTGTGCAGACTACAGTAAGTGGGTATGTATCTTCTTTTTTCCCAATTCCATCCTTACCTTGACACATATCGTATGTGTTCGTTTGGATGCTAATTTGTTGTTTTGTGTGTGGCAGGCCTTCTTCAACGCCAGCACCCCCCAAAAAGCGCTCTCGAGTCCCTACGCGTCCTCCAGCCAGGCGGCGTGTTAGCAGCCTCCTCCTGGGCCGAAACCGACTGGCTCAAGATCCTGCGGACAATCACGAAGATCGACCCGGCGCGCAGCCCGCCCTCCATCCCCGAGGACTGGGCGAAAGCAGGTAATGTGGCAGCGCAGCTAGAGATTGCGGGGTACTGCGACGTCGAGGTTCATGAGGTCCCTGTTGATATACCGTTCCGCTCGTATGCATCGTTTGTGGATGTGATGATGACGAGGGTTACGCAGATGATGACGGCGAGCCAAGTTTTGGATTAGGGGCAGAAGACTTTGTTGAAGGGGTTGATGATGGAGGAGATGAGGGGCTTGTGTCCGACTGAGCCTGGGGTTCTCAAGGCCGTTTCGTTGGTTGCTATTGGGGTGAAATAGTTGACTGCTCATCATGTACTTTGTATTCTCTTGGTTTCGTCAGTTATGGGGTTTCTTGGGTAACTAGATGGAGTCAGCAGGAAATAAATCTACCTTAGGTTATTCCACTGGCAAGGCGGGTTTCCTAGCTTTAGTTGTATTGTGCACTTATAAAATAAAAAAATTGTACCCGTGGACAGTAAAACATATTGCCAATTACTAGTGCACTTTGGCTTATCATGACAAGTAGATATTTACTACGTCTTGTTCAATCCAGTAGAATACTGCACAGGTCAAAGTCAAAAGTGAGAATACCTTTTCCGAATGTTTTTCAACATCTCAACATCGATCGCTTCTCCGTCCCTCCGTTCTATAAACCCATAAAGACCACTCTTACTCTTGAGATTGCAACCCAATAGAACAGAATTCACAGCTCTACTGCTGTTCAGTCTCAGCCACCTCCGGGTCAGTCGCCCTTTTGTCAGTAATTCTCTCCCACTTGACTCCGAAAGCCAGGAAGAATGCTGCAGTTGTCGTTGCAACAGCAACAAACTATCATGCCATCTGGTTAGTTTCAATCCTCCTACACAGCCGTAGCGGAAAGGGCACTTACAAAAGTCGAAGTAATAGCCGTATTATAAGCCTCCAAAATCAAGTTCAACAAATCCGGAAACCTCTGCTCCGCAGTACCACGCACATTCGCCGTCCCAGCAGCAGACAGCAGTGCAATCTGCTGCGCTTTCAAACCAGCATGGTTTGCCAATTCAGAAGCCAGAATCGAACGAAACACAATACCGCCAAGGACCTGCGTGACTGTGGCGCCTAGGTACTGGAAGAAGAGATTCAGAGATACCGCGACGGGCATGAGCTCTGGCTTGTCGCGCACGGCTTGCTGGACTATGAGCGATGGCATTTGCTGCGCCATGCCGACACCGAGACCCTGGATGACTTGGAAGCCGATCCAGTGGCTGGATGGGGTATTGAATGTTGAAAATTGCGTGTACATTGCAGCGGCGGTGCACATGAAGAGGGGGCCGACGTAAAGCCACGGGTTGTAGTAGTGGATTCGTCGTGCTGTGTCCATGTTCAGAGTCAGCCTCTACTCAAACTTGGTACATTAACACCTAAGATGTGAGTGTGTGTTAAAGCGTACCTAAAATACCGGCAGACAGTGTTCCGACTATTTGAGAAAGCACCGCAGCCAAAACCCGCGTACCACTCTGCAACGGACTCGCGCCTTGCACGGCCTGGAACCATTCAGGGAGATAGTAGTTCAAGATACCGAGAGAGCCGAAGTGGCAGAAAGAAAATAAGACACTGAACGTGACTGTCCGTCTGACGACAACATTCCCCGGTATCATCGCGCCCTCGCCTTTATAGCCTTCCCAGCAAACAAAGAGGATAAGCATCACACCGGAGCCCACAAACAGCCCGATGATTGTCGCAGAGCCCCAATCCTTCTCCGTCCCACCCCACATCATAGTAAGAAGCAGCATGAAGATAGCCGGAATGAAAATCGCACACCCGATGAGATCCAGGTTCATGATTCGCTGGACCAGGGTCCGATCGCGCTGTATGGACGGGGGTCTGAAGAAGCACAGCATAGAGAGCAACGTCAGAGCACCGGGGGGAAGATTAACCCAGAAACACCACCGCCAGGTAGCCTTCTCTGTGAACGCGCCGCCGATGACGGGTGCTAGGATTAGACCCATAGCGAAGCAGCTGCTGCATATGCCTAGCAGCAGTGGTTTCGATTTCTCGGGAGAAACGGTGAGAACGATAACGAAGCCGCCACTTGCGACACCGGATGCCCCAATACCTGCGATTGCGCGACCCGCGATGAAAGTGTTGCTATTTGGCGCAAAGCCGCAGACGAGGCTCCCGACTAGGAAAATGGAGAAGAACGATATGTAGATCCAGCGGAGCGGAAACGTTGAGCTTAGCTTTCCTGCTAGCGGAGTCAACGCGCATGTTGTCAGTGAGTAGGCAGCCGGATACCAGGCCAATTGCGACGTATCCTTGAAGTCGGACGTGATGGATGGGATGGCCTAGCCGTGAAGGTCAGATCATTTACGTTTTTCGAATAGCAAGGGAGGTGGTAGTAGTACAGTTGCGATGACAAAAATATCCAAGGACATCAGAAACGCGCCAAAGCATATGCCTACGAAGATGGCTAAGAGCTTGAAACCGTGCATCGCGTTCGCGTTCGCCTCTGGTCCCTCAGTGCTGACCTCGGTACTGGTCGCATGCTGGGCTTGGGCAGGGCTGTCAGCATCGTCTTCTGGCTTGGTTGCTCTCCTGCCCTCATCTGGAGAAGACGCAGCCATACTCGAGATTTAGCTGTTGGGCTATGAAACGAGAGTGGCAGAATGTATTTGGTAATAGGCAAATGATCAAATCCACGACTACGTGACACAGGGAATCGGGCGCAAACTTGGACTCGGAGTGTGTTGGACCGGCGACATTCGTAACATGAAAGTCGCCGGTTTCAACTGTACATGATACAAACCCGTTCAGCCGCATGCCTGGAAGAAAAAGGATCTAGCAAGATAGACGGTTCGGCCAATGGCTGTTTATAGAACAAGACTACCCCAGTAACACCACCGCCAAACTGGAGCCGCAAATGCAGCTCCATCGCGGCTGTGTGATTATCGATGGGCAGACAACGACCGTTTTGTTCAAGTGACGTAGGCTGACGGCGTCTCACCACCCCTGCAGCACCTCCAAGTCTTCCACCTAACACCTCCATTCTCTCTCCCAACTCTAAATCAACAACAGACATCGCAAGGTGCAAGTCACTCACAATGAGCCTTATTTCCATCATCTGCACCCATGAGGTGTCACCTACTGTACGGAACCCTCTCGGACCCTGGGTGGAAGCTCATCTTAACTGACAGTGATAGGTTATCACATCTGTGCTATCGACAGCATACGAGGCTTCAAGCAAAATCGATTCACCTCCGAGCCTTATCCTTGTCATGACAGCGGACGCGGCCGAACTCCAGAAGTACACAAAAGACTCTGTCACCAAGCCACCCATTGAGTCCCTCCAGTATCCATTCCTCGGCTGGGACCTAGGCAAGATCGCCCAGTTCCTACAGGAGAACGCATCAAACACCGTGCTAGATCATACTACGTTCCTTGTCGCCGACGAGAAAACAACATTGGATGAGGATACCCTGCTCCTTGTTTACAATATTGAATATTCGCAGGAGAGTATACGGCTTTCCGCTAGCTATGCTAACAATCAGGCGGTGGCGATCTCGGTTGCGACCACGGATGTGGGCGAGCTGCGGAGCCTGGCGGATGATGATGGGGTGTACAGAGGGGGTCCGCAACGCCCGCCGCCAAAAAAGGGTGGGAAGGCGCCCAGGAAGCAGCTGTAAATAAGATCGTGTGTTCACATAGTAAATAATAAAACAGCACTACAGCTGCAAAAGGGCTCAAGCTATTGGATCAATGTAACCGCCCAACAACTGTGGCGGATTCACCACCAACAACAGCCCCAAGAGTATAGTAATCCTCCAATAGGCTACCAGTTGCAAATAGCCTAGCCAGGTCTGCGAGACTATATATACAAGCATTGTACAATGGCGCGATATCTCAGCTTCTTGATGTCATCGGCAAGATATAAGAAGACCATGGACCCCGTGAAGTATGAGTCACAACAACCGCCTGCTTCGCTCTACCACTGGACATCAGCCTTGCTAAGAAAAAAGGCGGCTTTCTGAACACAGCTGTCCTTCAGGCGCGTCTCTAGACAGTTCATTCAGCAAAACTTGGCCATGGGGGTTCGCAAGTTATACCAAATGCATGCTGCAATTCGCCGTTTGCTTGAGACTACGTTGAACGCGGAGGATTTTGCACTCATTAACAATTAGATAGCTGATAAATAGACCGACAGTTGCGAACGACAGATTCAGCAATACGAAGATAGTTGTTTTCATCAGCGCCCCAATCCCAAGATTTCATCCTCCTCACAGCATTGTCAACTTTCTTCTGGAAATCTTCCTCACTCTCGTCGTCGTCGCATTCACCATTCTTCGTATCCAGCGGCTTGTCGCCCAAAACATAAAAGGATATAAAAGACACTAGATCAGCTTGCACTCGAAGTCTGAATCTATCGCCAACCGGGTGATCGAGGAGATGACGAATCAACGACTGCATATACATGCGAGGTTTGGGCGTCAAGATCCATAGCGTAGGATCAAAGGTAGATGTGACTTTGACTGTGTCCCGGAGCGCAAAGCCGACAAGCGACAATGGGTAGAGATATATTGGACTTCTCTCATTTAGCTTGTGAATGATGGCCACTCGCTCCCATTGTCCGTATCTGCCGCTGACGTTGTTGGATGGGGCAACACAGGGGATTCCACAGTCTGATAGGATCTGCGATGAGAGTGAGAGCAGTGCATCGGGGACTGCCCATTCGACAAGCTGGGACTCGGAGGTTAGTAGTGTCCAACGGCTAGACTGCCACATATCACAAGAGTTTTTGTTGCTTACTAGAAGGACCACAGGTTCACCATGGCGCCACTGTATCTGCTGCCCGTATTCCACCACAGGGATATTCTTGTTAGCTAGAGCTTTCGCAGCTATTCTTATGAAGCGGGCATGAGGTTGTAGCGATGGTGTCTCGTCCGGGCACGGTTGTTCCATCTTTGGATCAGCTCGAATGGTAGGACCCTATTGGAAAATATGAAGGTCTTCTGAAGGTAAGGTGGATAATCCAATAACTAGGCGTCGTTCTGAGAGTTTGTCAAAGAGATGCAGTGAATTTTCTATTAATCACTACTTACCGCAACTGAGAATAACAAGGTAGTGAGCAGAAAGTGAATACTTTGGTTGAATCATGATGTCAGTATCGCGTCTTTGATCAGCTGTCTTCGTTTCTGCCTAATTTTGACTCAACCAACCTGTCCACTGACTATTCATCACTTTCACACATACAGCAGTATTCACAGGCTATTCAGGAGCAACGTTCAAAATCATGCCTTCTAATAGCAAGATGAGATGACTTCTTAAGCCACTGAAGACGTCCAGTGTTGAGTACTGGGAGATGAAACTAAAAATAGCCCAGGGTCCGCAGGATTATGCACCATTCCTCCTGTCACGCATAGACGAATTTGATAAAGCGCGGTTGATTTACAGAATCAGCCTTCAGAAGGGTCTGCCAGACCACCTATTCGGTCACCAAGCAGAGGTATAACGACTGGCAACACTCCTGGATCGAAAGGGGCAAAACTATCCGCGCGTCTTGTTCGCTTCTTTCAGTTCCACACACAGCCTCCGGGCCCTTCTGTGTTGACTTGGTGTCAGAGTTTTCTTGAGACGGAGAGACGAGTCCGGTGCATTGTCCAAGCACTGATCTTCTTGGAAAAAGGCTGAAATTGGGGCGCCATGCTCTCACTCAAACATCAGACTCGGAATGTCGCCAGAAGCTGGAGTCACAACTGAATGATGCTAAAAAGCATCAAAAACGTTTGACGTTATGTATGTGCAGGGCCGGAGTGATATCAGCGACCACAGATGGCATATGCCTAGTGGTCGCTTCCACAGAGCATTCATCGCCTGGAGATTGACGCCGACACCAACTGGTACCTGTGTATATCGCTGAGTCGCGAATGTGTAGCCCGGGGAGGCTGTTGCTCTAGAACTTGTGGCTGCTGCTTGCACAAGAGGGAGACTGGCAAAATTCCTAGCCAATCCCATTGCACTGAATTTTGCCCATGTTGTCTCGCTACGAATGGGCTCTCACCTTCCGACCACATCCCGGATAATGACGTAAAGGTCGAAGAGGATACAGTCAAATTTAATGTCATCTACGGGCAGGATCTATACAGCCGTCGAGTATACCGCGCTCATATCTGGGGAGTGGATGTCATCAACAATATTGAGGACTGACGGTGGAACGTGAAGTGGTTGCTCTTGTAGCTTTGCTGAATTGATCTGATCTGTACTTGCTGAATGATTTAGAACCAAATGATGTTTTAGAATACTTGCTCTGACCCTGACTATATCAAGTCATTGGATTAATACGTTCTCGCCCTTTTTGAATCGAATCCATGCTCTTTTAGCTGAGTGGAACGTGGTTGAGAGATTGAATGCAGTGTCGCATCGGAGCGTCTGACCTGTCAACCTAACCATGAGCCATTGAATACGAGATCTTCCTTGCACCAGTGATTCCTACCAAGTCAGAAGAATTTATCAGCCAGATCCTTCTCACAGAAGTACCTATCCTGCATTCCTCCTAGTATGATTATGGCCGTCTTCCCTCCCGAGATCCTCCAAGATATTGTCGGCCGCACGACTCCCAGCTGGCGATGGGGCTGGCGCTGGAAAGATAGGAGAAAGCGGATCCCGGTCGGCTCAGATCTAATTTGGTTCTTGAACTTACGCCTGGTCAACGTACGTCTCTTAGTTCGTATTAAACTACGCACTATCGCGTTGTTGACTTTGTTGGCCCTAGAGAACAGTTCGACAATATCGTGATCGACCGTTTCCTCGCAACAATTAGAGCCGGGCTCATCGGTCATGACCTTCCTATTTGCCATTGGGCCGCCGAACCCCCTGGACGATGGCAATGGGAAGACAATTACTATGCCTCTTGTGGGGCGGTTTCGAGAGTTTAAAGGATTAGCGACGAGGGGTATCTACCCACTTATCAACACTATCAATGCGGGAGTGGATGAGGTCGTTGAGATTTTCTCGCGAAGGAGCCAAATGGAACCCAAGATGTTTCTAACAACCTGCTCTTGAAGACGGCAGAGATGGAGGTCAATTTTCAGGATCAGCTGGGGAGAGCGCCGCTGATCTGGGCCGCGGCAAGAGGGTTTGATAACGTGGTGAAGGAGCTGTTACTGAGAGAGGAAATCAGCGTCTGTTGAGACACACCGTTGCTTCTCGCCGCCAAAGAGGGGGAAATTCACAATGTGAATATGCTATTGAAGGCCCCAGGTATGGATATTTGGCACAGAAATCAATGAAACAATACAGCGCTGGCGTTGGCGGCGGAGTCGGGTCACACAGAGGTTGTGAGACGATTGCTCGATCCGGACCTCAAGGTAATACAGGACATCATATGTGATGCCATGCAAAACACAAAAGAGGCTTTGGTTGCTATTCGGAGGACACTGAGAAATTTTCTCCGTTCTGAAAAGAAGAGGGTTGCGCAGGAAAGGAGGTTGGAGGCGGCGTACAAGCTGCTTTCGGCCGGTCTGGATAGGGTGGGTTCATGATCCTTATACAGATGATATCAACGCAAAATGCAGAGGAATTGAGAATTCAGGTGTTATGCTCTCAGTTGACTCCCAGCTTTCATAAATCATTGGTGTATTTTCTAGCGAGGTCCCAACATTTATGGGGTTAGGCAAAGTTTCATCCAGCATACGTATTCATTCTTTTCTTCGTACATAGTCGATTCTCTCAGCCCACTGTGAACGAGACTCGCTTCAGGCTGCCTAGAAGCGTAACTACGACCAGTTCAGTCTGCATAGCATATAGCTCGTCCACTTGTTTTGGTGCTCGTTCCCATCGATGAACTCCTGAACAGGCCTCGGTACGAAGATGGTGGGGCCAGACCTACCCCGCGTCATTCTCGACATTGCTTCCTATCATCAACTGACTCACTCCCACTTCAAGCATAGTTCACCTCCAGTTGCAAACCAGTACACAATGCCATATAACCTCAAGGGGAAAAATGTCCTCGTCACGGGGGGCTCAAGGTAGCATCTCATATGCCTTCTTTCCCCCAAAGCTAACGTCGGTTCAGGGGCTTGGGCGCCGTGATATGCCAGAAATTCGCAGCTGAGGGGTGCAATGTAGCCATTAACTATCACTCAAGCCGTGTGGTTGCGGAAGACCTTGCTAGTCGATTAGCTAAAGAGTACTCCATCAAGTCCATTGTTCTCCAAGGGGTCCGTTTAATTTCTGCAGGCACGTTGGAAGAGAATTGACATTGTACACTTTACAGGACGCTGAACTCCCAGAGGACAATCAACGTATTGTCCAAGAGGCTAATGAGCAATTATCGGGCTTGGATATTGTTATTGCAAATGCTGGGTGGACTCGCTTCGCCAACCAACGGGACATTTACGACTTATCTTTCGAGGAATGGGACAAGGCAAGTTACAGACTGGCTGTCCTTGTTCGTGATGCTAACTGTATGCAGGGCTGGAGAGTGAATGTGATGTCGCATTTACAACTCATGCAAGCGGCTAAGCCGATATTCGAGAAGAATGCGGATGGAGGTGTTTATATAATGACCTCATCGATCGCAGTACGTTCTCTCTCTTCAAGGACCTATAACCCATGTCTCATATGCAATAATTAGGGCATCACTACAGACGGAAGTAGCATGGGCTACTCGGTGAGCAAGGCTGCTGCTTTGCATCTCATGAAGCACCTTGCGCTGTCCGTGGGACCAAAAATCCGTGTCAATGCTGTTCTACCGGGACTGATGTTGACCGAGTGGGTGAGTGCCATTGCCATGGACGTTCAAACATTCTTCTGGTATTAAGATGTCGATTAGGGTAAAAAGTTTGGCGATTCGGCGATTGAGTGGCTCAATGAAAAGGCCATATTGAAGCAGGAGGTGATGCTGTTGTCCTCGGTATCTTCGTCTGCTTGCTGATTTGCTACTAGACCGACCTGGAGGATTGCGCGAATATGTTTGTCACTTTGGCAAAGAATACGTCCATTACTGGACAGCAGATTGTCATTGGTAGGTTCTCTCCCCTCCTGCGCTGATTAGGTGTACTCATCGATGCAGATTCGGGACTCGCCATGGGAAGGGCCTCCCCGAGCAAATAGCAGCACGGAGTATATATTCGATGTCCATGACCACAAAATGCCATGATCGGCATGAGAAAGTGCATAGTTTCTACAACATCGCAGTCCTGGTTCATATACCCAGATATTCCGTATGTGCTAGCAGAGTGCTTGTCAGCAAGGTCAACTGGAGGTTGGCTTGGCGGGAAAATATATAGATTAGCTTTTCAGGTAGACAACTAAATTGCTCCTACATCGCTCATTATTCATGGAATACCCCACAGAGATTTCAACCTTGAATTCGACGAAGACAATGGGTAGTGGAAGATCAAGAAGAAGAGACAAGTCGATTATTATAGGACAATCTTGACAGGTGCAAAAAGATATAGACAAAAAAACGATGCATCATCCGTGAATCGAACACGGGCCTCGTCGATGGCAACGACGAATTCTACCACTAGACCAATGATGCTATTGCTTGGCATATCTAATTAATTAGTGCTACATAGAGCAAACAGCGACCAAAGATTCTCTACAAAACTGTCCACAACTGACCCTAGGGTATCATATGAACATCACTTGCTCGGTTGTTTGGTTCGCAACGTTGATCTTACCGGGACCAATGGGACAACAAATCCCGTATTGCTAGTAATATTTTACCGATAGGAACCGCAACGACATGGCCATCCTGGTTCATGATATCGATTAACCGAGAAGGCAAACACCTTCCTAAAGCCGCTTAGTGGAATCCTTCCACAAAGTGGACCATTGTTGACATCGCCGATTGTCAATCATCAACAAATTTGAGACGGAAGTGGCTAAACTACGATGGAGGACTGAGGCGCTGGATATTGGTACGTCTTCATTTACTCCGTATGGTCCTTGCCTGTGAAATTTGCTCAATTACTCAAAATTACCAGATATCTTGAGCCTTTTGAACGCATTTCTCGAGCTTCCGAACAAAGTACCCTCGGCTGATCAGTTTCCCGACCGTGCAAAATGGTTAGGATTCTGCTAGTAGATGTAACCTTTGGCTGTCCCACATCCCAATAACAACCAATCCTCGGCCAAGTCGCCGGTTCCTGGCAGAAACCCCCAAAAAGGCTTGGAATGATTGGCGGGGGTGGAGCAAAAATGCTTGTGCTGGCTTGACCAAGATAAGCACTCCAGCCCCCTCAAATAGGCAACCAAAAAGCCGCCATTAATCAATCGAGTAATTCAAAGACAACTATCGCGCCACTCCCACGGTCTTCCGGTGGACTTAATTAAACATCCTGAACTAATGCCTTTATGGTGTCTGCAGAGAAAATCCCGCAATGCCTTGCTGGACTCTGCATGGTGCGATGCGCGTGCCCTCGCTTTGCCCCCGACCCCTAGCATCATGCCGGCTGCCGTCACATGGAATGATAATTTCGCCTTTCCAGACAACTGACATGCAAATATAAATATCGATCGGCTACCGATCCAGATTGCTGTCCTTTGTCTTTATCTCTACCCTGTGCATTCGGCTCCGCAGTCCTCCCCGCAATGCTCTCCTCAACTCTCTACGCAGGCTTGCTCTGCTCCCTTGCAGCCCCAGCCTTTGGCGTGGTGCACGAGAAACTTTCAGCTGTTCCCAGTGGCTGGACGCTCGTCAAAGATGCATCGGAGAGCGACACGATCACTCTCTCAGTTGCCCTTGCTCGGCAGAACCTCGACCAGCTAGAGTCCAAGTTGACGACACTGGCGACCCCAGGGAACGCGGAGTACGGCCAGTGGCTGGACCAGTCCGATATTGAGTCCCTATTCCCTACCGCAAGCGATGATGATGTTATCCAATGGCTCAAGGATGCTGGCATCACCCAAGTGTCTCGTCAGGGCAGCTTGGTGAACTTTGCAACCACAGTGGGAACGGCGAACAAGCTCTTCGACACCAAGTTCTCCTACTACCGTAATGGTGCTTCGCAAAAACTGCGTACGACGCAGTACTCCATTCCCGACAGCCTGACGGACTCGATCGATCTGATTGCTCCCACTGTCTTCTTTGGCAAGGAGCAAGAAAGCACACTGCCATCTCACGCAGTGAAGCTTCCAGCCCTTCCTAGGAGGGCAGCATCTAACAGCTCTTGCGCGAACCTCATCACTCCCGCCTGTCTGGTGGAGATGTACAACCTCGGCGACTACAAGCCTGATGCATCTTCGGGAAGTCGAGTCGGCTTTGGTAGTTTCTTGAATGAGTCAGCCAACTATGCAGATTTGGCGATTTATGAGAAGCTGTTCAATATCCCGTCCCAGAATTTCTCGGTCGAATTGATTAACGGAGGTGTCAATGATCAGAATTGGGCGACTGCTTCCCTCGGCGAGGCGAATCTGGACGTGGAGTTGATCGTAGCCGTCAGCCACCCCTTGCCAGTAGTGGAGTTTATCACTGGTGGTTCACCGTAAGGCAGTCCTTCCGAGGTGAAAGCAATCATGCTAAAATGAACTAGGCCGTTTGTTCCCAACGTGGACGAGCCCACCGCTGCAGACAACCAGAATGAGCCCTACCTCGAGTACTACGAGTACTTGCTCTCCAAACCCAACTCCAAGCTGCCTCAGGTGATTTCCAACTCGTATGGCGACGATGAACAGGTAAGCGGCCTCGCAGTTCCGTTGTATAGGTAGACACTAATCTGTTAGACTGTTCCCGAGTACTACGCCAGAAGGGTGTGCAACCTAATCGGCTTGATGGGTCTTCGTGGTATCACGGTGCTCGAGTCTTCTGGTGACACCGGTAAGCACAGATCCTCTGGCAGTCTCTTCCATACTAACATGGTCAAAGGAATCGGCTCGGCGTGCATGTCCAATGATGGCACCAACACTCCCCAATTCACTCCCACCTTCCCTGGCACCTGCCCCTTCATCACCGCGGTTGGTGGTACCCAGTCCTATGCTCCTGAAGTTGCCTGGGACGGCAGCTCCGGCGGATTCAGCAACTACTTCAGCCGTCCCTGGTACCAGTATTTGGCGGTGGAGGACTACCTCGACAACCACGTTACCGAGGATACCAAGAACTACTATTCTCAGTACACCAACTTCAGGGGCCGTGCATTCCCTGACGTTTCAGCCCATAGCTTGACTCCTTAGTACGTGGCCCTGATTTCATTAACGTCCGCGTTCTAATCGCATGTAGCTACGAGGTTGTCTTAACTGGCAAACATTACAAGTCTGGCGGCACATCCGCTGCCTGCCCCGTCTTTGCCGGTATTGTCGCTATGTTGAACGACGCCCGTCTCCGCGCCGGCAAGTCTACCCTTGGCTTCCTGAACCCATTGCTCTATAGCATACTGGCGGAAGGATTCACCGACATCACGGCCGGAGCCTCAGTCGGTTGTGATGGTATCAACCCTCAGACCGGCAAGCCAGTTCCTGGTGGTGGCATCATCCCCTACGCTCACTGGAATGCTACTGAGGGCTGGGATCCTGTCACCGGTCTTGGTGTTCCCGATTTCATGAAGTTGAAGGATTTGGTCTTGTCCTTGTAATTGTAGGAGTGAGTAGATGAGCAATCATAACATTTTCTTCCCCTTGAGTCTCATTTATTCGGTGGTATTGTCCACGATATTCGCGGTACGTCAGGCACACCATGTCTCGTATTGTGGACATAGCCAAATCTTGCTTCTTGTAGGATGCAGTAGTGGTGCTTTCTGAGAAATGAAGGTGGATCAGAACGCCTACAGAAAGGCTGTAAATGATAAGGCTGTTTTTGTCATCGCAAGGCTGATGACACGTTGGATGGCGAAGTGGTTAGTTGTTCCAATGCTGTGGTTGGCTCGACTACTTGATGAAAGGCTGGTGTGCGCAACAGCTGCTCAAGTAACAGCAGAGCCTTGCATTAGCTTGCTTGGCCGCTGGCTGTGCCACGCCATGGAGCCTGCTATAAGCCGCCGACCTCGTCGGTTCAGAAATACGTCTCTTCTATCGATGCATCGACTTCGACATCTACAGCTAGAACATTATTAGTAACGCCGCTTGATGATCCGAGCATGGACAACACTCACGTCGACCAGCCATCGCCACCTCAGTCGGTACACGATTCCGAAGACGAATGGCTCGCGAGTCCGCAGCACCCGTCAACACAGGTGAGGCAATTGTGGAACATGCAATTCTCCAGTTCGCAATGGGATCCATATGCGACGAAGCCTTTGAGGTCTTTGAGAGAAGCAGTCCTTATTCCTGGGAATTATTCTGAGATCCAAGCGATACTGAAGAACGAGCAAGTGGATGTGGACGAGAAGGGCCCAGATGGCCGAACTGCCCTTTCGCTAGCCATTGAGTGCGGCAAGTACTACGTCGTAAAAATTTTGCTGGGCAACGGAGCCGACCCCAATATTCGAGAAGATCGAAACCGCACCCCATTCTTTTGGGCCACTACGCAAAGCCAACGTGCCTCCAATCTTAATTACAATTATAAGGACATGATTAAATCTCTCCTGGACTTTGAGGCAGATCCGGTTTTAACAGATGACGAAGGAAACACCCCGCTTGCTGAGGCTGCTGCTATAGGAAATGAAGAATTCGTGAAGCAGGCTGTGGAGGCTGTGGAGTCTGGTCTTGCCAAAATCAACACGCAGGGCGATGAGGAAAAAACTCCGCTGATGCGTGCAACAACTGGAGGATGGCCAAATTGTATGAGATATCTTTTACCACACCCCGCCGATATGGGTAGTTGTGCTTGGTGGGAACGATTCCTTCAGACCAGGGCACGGCAAAGAGAGAAGGATCCGCGCCGATCTCAATTCAAGGACCTTTGTATGGAAGATCGTACTGGCTTAGAAGATCTAATATCCCAGCTGCCAAACGATTCCGTTTCGGGAACGAATCCTCCCGGCGGGCGCACGTTTCTCTCGTGGGCTGTGGAATATGAAGACGAAGAAATCGTTGAACGACTTCTGCGTTGGGAAGAGAATCCCAACGTTCGTGATAAAACGGATCATAAGATGAGCCCCTTGATAAAGGCATTGAAAATTGACAATATGGCCATCGTCGACCTGCTCAAGGGGAGAGACAAATATTCGATGCATATTTTGGTGGACGAAGCTGATGATATGGGTGAAGAGCAAGCCTTGGAGCTCGCACGCAAGCTTCTAGAGCGAGGATACGATCTTAACAAGCGTGATTCCGAAGGCCGGAATCCCCTCCACATCGCATGTCATAAAGGGAGAAAACGCTTTGTTGAGGAGTTTCTCCATCCAAATTTCGGAACCCAAAACGCCTCCGTTCATGAGAAGGATAATACCGGGAAAACGCCCTTGCAGTATGCAATCGGCAACAAGGACATCGTCAAGCTTCTGGTCGAACGCGGGGCAGACCTCAGTGATGTGGAAACTGCAAGTCTGTTCAAACTCGGAGAACCAAAGCCGCTCTGCGTCCAATTGACTAATATTCGGGGCCCTAACCAAACTCTTCTTCTGATCAGTGACCATAACGAAGCACGACAGCTGTGGAACCCGGAGTTTGGAGTGCCCCAATTACGGTGATTTACCATCTAGCCTTTCTCAAAAAGTCTTGCCCCAGTACTGACTCTGCCAGTCTCTTCAATTTGGAAATACCAGAGTTTAGCAGCCTTGAGATCAGAGAGGATCCTGTTTTACGTCATAAATATGGTGAATATTGTCGATTCTTTCAGCCAAAGTGTCCAGCCCAGCGCGGTGAAACTCAGTTGTTCAAGCTATGTATATCTTTTCCTGGCTTGACGCGACGTTCTGAGAGATCTCCACTGGAGATCCGCCTTTCCAAGCTTTTTCCATTGGAGATAGCCTGGACCGTTAGGGAAATGGAGCATAAACCTGCATTTGGATACATCAGCACGCTTTCGAACTCTGAAGTACCTAAGGACCACGGGGAACTTCTCAGAAAGTTGATGACCGAAGTTGCCCGGGAATGGAGGAAGAGGGTACGGATTTTAGCGGATGAAATCAATGACATTGTAAGCGTGCCTCTGATCCCCGATATCCCGGACGGACCTGATCTTTCCTCAATTGGCAAAAAAGAGATCAGACCAGGTCGAACAGGATGGTAGAAGCCGGGCTGTCCTCGGGAGGTTGCAGAGAAAGGCAGGACAACACGCTAAGCTGCGAGGTTGGTTGAAAGACCACATTACTGGACTCACACACGTGGTGGATGTCGATTCGTATTTGCGAAACGAGCAACATGGTGATCAGAAGGGCCCGCTTAGGAAAATAATCTGGGAGATGGATCAGGAGGTGAGTTCAGGACTTGCGCGCATCGAGCAAAACATTCGCGAGTCACTACAGATTGTGAGTGCATCCCCCCATCTACTCTCGACCCAGCTGACCGGTGGTTGATAGGAAATTGCATGGATCTCCATTAGCGAGGCCACAAGCATCAAACGGCTAACTTGGGTTACTGTAAGTCAATTCAAACCCACCGGTTCGCAGACTGACTCTCAAGTTCATATTTCTCCCCCTTATGTTCACGTCGGTAAGTCTACGCGCAACAAAGGAATCCATCTACATCTTTCCTGATTACTTACACATCTCCCAAGAGCCTCTTCGGGATGAATATAAACATTCTGAAAGACAATCCCGACTGGAGATGGTTCCTTCCAATTGCGGTATCTTTGATACTTTTGACCTTCGGTTTATGGTTGCTCTTTGACTTGGTAGGTACTCGAATGCTGTGGTTGCTGTGGTGAAACGAGTGATGGTGTCTAATCTGAGTGGCCTAGGCTGAGCCATTGGAGTTCCGGATGAAGAGATTGATAAATTCCAGGGAGAATCCCAAATATACGAGGCCTGATGACGAATGGAAGTCCTTTGAATCAAGTGTTGTTTGATATGGATAGGTATACATATTCCACTATCGCAGTCTGTTCAGAAGGCCCGGATCACTGCCCCGTTCGTTACATAATTGTCATAACTGGTCAACACCCTGTTAACTAGAATCAGTAACCTGACCTCATGTCCTTCTTTCGTGGTTTTCGAAACCACTACATGATAGTCACAGTTTGAGAGGACGAATCCATGTCCAACCAATAAGGAATAAATAATTAGCCATTCTTAAAAGAAAAGCTCTGCCAGCCCCTTTCCAGTCCCCATAACTAGCCGTAGAAACGAAGAGTGCCTCATGCTCATAGAAGCCGTCGTCCAAGTCGGTACCATGCTCTTAGGAGGGCCTTGCAACAGTTTTTCGACCCAGAGATGATATGATGTAGTAATTGTCTCTTCTGGGATAAGCGCTAGGCACGCATGTCTACACAGCTAAGGCGTTTTTGCACGTGCTACCAAAACCAGCAGGTGCTAATAGACGTGATTGGAGGTGCAGGAAATAATAAAAGTATATGCCTATCTCTCCCTTCTCTGCAATCTTATGCCGTTACCCACGACTTTAGTCTTTCCCATCGTTTACTGGTTAGGCTCGAGCGGCTCGAAACCCTTAGCACTTTGGGGAGGGCTTGTTTTGCAGAAAGTGCGTTAGTGTCTGGGAGGACTGTCACAGAGTTGTAATTTACTAAGTTGTGAGAGCTGTCTGTGCTATCACAGTTGTGTTATATAGTTACACGCCTAGGCCTAATACACCAGTAGTGCGGTCAGGGTGACAGAACATGATGGTATCAAGAACAGCAACTCCAACAATTAGAAACTAATCTTCCCTTTCTGATGGTCACCTTCCAGGCTTCCATCATCACCGCGGGGAGTCTAACGGGCGCCTATCATCAAGCAAGGCGAGCCTGTCTTGTTGACAGGATAATGAAAAGCGTGGGGTTTGCGATGCAATTTATATTAAGAGAGTTAAAACTAACAGTGGAATACAGAGAAGCAGCTCCACACCGAGATATATCATGACCTTACTATTACATCCAAATCTCCCCTTACTCCTTGAAATGCACCCGGCCTATCCCTATCAGCAGCCGTTCCCCAACAAACCTGAGCTGAAGACGCTCTCAAACTTTGTTTTGTCCAGGAACGACACGCACGCTTGAATCTTATCATTATACTCACCAGTCGCAGGCTTACACACGGTCATTATATTGCACAACAGTTCTAGGTTTCGCCGTATTTCACGGGTCGATGAGAACACGTTATAGCCTATGTCCCGCGGGCTTTGCAAAATATCGAGCTGGACTTCGGCGGCTAATGCCAGCGGCCGCATTATGAAAAATGTCATCTCTTTATAGGCAGGGATCTTTGGGTAGAGCCAATGTTAGTATATGTTATCTTTCTGTTCTAGATCGCGCGGGAGTGAGTATGCCCGTTGCGTTCAAACTAGTGGGTGAAGGGAAAAGCAAATTGGGGGACACATACTTGTTGAGCATCACTAACATTGGCTTCTCGAATCAGGTCGCACATAGCGTTTGCAACAGCGACACATGAAGTTCGGTACTCTTTGGTAACAGGACCTAGAAACGCGGCTTTCTGAGATCCAATAATGGCGGTTTTGAACCAATCTATGTGAGCGCCCAGAACAATAATACACGTGAGTACTCGAAGTTCATTATCTGGCCCACTGAGAAACTCTGGTGTTGAGAGAGAGTTACACATGATTGTTATATCCCTTCCAATTTTCTCATGGACAAGACAGAAATTATAGTCTGATGTGCTGTCTGATATGTATTTCTTGGTCATCTCGCGATGGCGGTCCCCGTCTACGACAAGCTTCATAGAGAGAATGAAGAGCGAAAAGACGGAGAATCCCTTCGCCATACATTTCGTGATTTCTTCGGAAAGATAGACAATCTGATCTGGATCAGAATCCATTGTTGAGTTGGGGACTGGTATTGCGGTGCGGATCTAGATCAGATTTGTTAATTACAAAAGAGAGGATAAAGTTGTAACCAAGGACAGGCTTACCTTATTGTATTTGACTGGTATACAGCATGGAAAGCTCGCAGTCGCATTGCAATGCATCGCGAATGCAATCCAGAATGTTCGTCTTATCTTCTGAAGACATCCAGAGCTATGTGATTTTGGCAGCATGATCTGAGAGCTATCGCTCTCCCGTTCGGCTGAGGTCTGATCGAGCATGTCATATCCTAGCAGGCTTATTAATTGCATAGTACGTGCTATGGTTAGAAGCCCTTTCGGTCTGCTGATGTGAGTAAACTCAAACCTCGCAACAAGAAGCAGAGCTTGAACTGTCTCAATGTTCAGGAAAGAAGAGTTATCGGCCAGGTTCTCGGCTTTTTCCAGATGGAAGCGGGCCGCTAGGTAGGACTCCATTGCTAGGGCTGACTCCCCACATGCACTTGACCCAGACAGGGCAGCTGCATATTTCAGGGCCATGCATTGGTGTGCCTCCATTGGAATAATGGAGTGCGAGAACTCTTGCTGGTCAATAAGCATCATGTGTTTCTGCACTACGTCAAAATATGACTGGCATCTGAATGATGGAATATTAGACTTGCGGTTGTTTATGCTTTTAGCGTAATGAAGCACCTACTGTTGCTCAAGTCCGAATAATGGAGTGGCTTGCTCAAACGGTGAGTTGAAGAGAGAACCTGGAGGCTTGTCTTTCAGGCTGCTCATATTCATATATAGGTTTGAATGGGCTTCATCTGTACCCGAGCTATTCACGGCATCGACCATGGTTGGTGGCTGATGGTGGCTGCTAAAGTACCTATAAGTCTACTAAATAGATCCTCAGGTTTGTTTACGGAAGAACATACCTAGGGTCAAACTCCGGAAATATGACGTTCGAGTAGCCAATTTCATCACCTTGTGACAGTAGATTGTATCCAAGCTGCGGATTGTGAGACAGATATTGGGGGGGTAATGGTGAATTCGGTTCTATGGACTCCATTGTGATCTGAAGTCCATATTCCGGGAGACTCGTTTCCACTTGTACTACATTTGTAAGCGCGGAGAAAGCCAATAGTCACCAATGACAGATTCTTTGGCGACGCAGCATCTGGAGGAAACCTTACGTAGGCGAGAGTGAAGTAAATTCAAAGCCGACTTTATTTCGTCGTTGTTTGTATTCTCCGATGGATAAACGCATGTCTGACCCGACTTATGACAGCGATGGCACTGCGGCTTTTCCCTATCACAGCGTACCTTGCGCTCACGGCATAAATTGCAGGTCGTTCGCTTCAGCTGAGATGAAGTCACATGGGATTGAGATTGAATCTTGTCGGCCCGGCCTAGAGATGCCATCGTGATCGTCGCACTCAACCTGGAGGTCATCAAAAGGTTTTGCTCGAGTATAGGTATAGAGCACGATAGGGTCGCTTCGCTACGTTTTTTTTTTTGTACCAAGCTTTCGTTATAACTTATAACTATCAGCCAATTGCGGGGGTGGAAGCAGGATCCGATCGCTGCTGCTGCCCTAAGGCACTCGCACGCCGTTACTTTCAGTTGGAAGTAGGGCACGCGGCCGTTGGAGCACACCTGAGTCGTATTCACGCACAGGAGACAGTCGTATGTCCGTGGTGCCAAGCACCGAAAGAGACAGTCCAGCACCTGCTATTGAATGCAGGCACTGGCGCAAGCAACGGAGGGTATTTTATAGGACCCTGATCAGACAAGGGGTCAACACAGCGACGGCCAGAGAGAAAGCCCCAGACGGACGGCCTTTTAAGGATCAGAGAACCACTCAGGCTCTCCTAGAAATGCTCTCAACCACTGCAATTGGATATGCACAGGGAGACAAGACGCGGGAAGTAGATCGCATCTAGAGGGACAATCAAGCGTGCTAAGGTGAGATCCACACAGCCAGGACTACCAAGGAGGGCCAGGCCGAGTGCCTTTGCGCGGATTAGGTGGATCAGGCGAAGAAAAGGAAAAGAAACAGAAGGACCAGACAATAAAGGGAGAGAACGCGGCCGGACCACGCTTAGCCGCGTTAGGACCAGTTGAGTCATTGCGCCGCTTTGCACCACTCTTAGGCAACATTAATCCTGTTGCCTGGACCAGACAGTTTGGGACAGGTTGTGATAGGTATACATTAGCGCGACGTAGTTTCCTGGCGATGCCTGCATGCACCAAAGAAGATAAGATATATATGCCAGTTGATTCCTGGTTCTAGTACTGCCAGGTAGGCCCTCTACCCCGCTCCATAGATCAGTGGCTGCTAGCGCATTGGCTCCCACTTGTCCCAGGGACCCCCTGGGCCGTGATGCTCATAGCGCCTACGAGACCAGCTGTCAAACATTTGCTTTTCGCATGTGCTATCAGTGCCGGACGCCCTATATTATTGAGTATCCCACTTGCCTACCGTGAGACGTAGTCTATATAGCCGCGTGGATTACTTATAGCAAGTAGGGGTAGAATCAGGATTTTGTAGGGGTTTCTGATTGGGCTCCGGCCCAAAGCCGTCACGCACCCGTAACCTAGATGTGTGCTGGACCGATTGGTCCTCGGAAAGGCCCTTGTTTCGAACACCGAACACCTCCGAAATCTCGCTACGCGGCCGTCGTGCCTTGTGTTTTCTCTTTTTCTCCCCTAACGAGTTCTTTTGGTCCATTGAATGCCATTCACTTCAATCCTAAAGGCTTCAGCATAACGTTAAGAGAAGGCAGGTAAGGCTCGCACCTAACGATACACCTGTCCCTAGAGGGAACTGGGGGCAGGTTGTCTCTTTCAATTCGCCGAGTTCTCACAGCGGGCTTGGGTGGACAGTATCTCTGCTCAAACTAAGTCGGGAATATCTTGCAGGTAACAGGTGAACTCCTCAGCATCTCGACCAACACGCTGTGACTTGAGCAAAGAGGTTTAACCCCGAACACTAGATATAAACCACATTCAGCAAGAATGGAAAACATAGGTTGTTTTAAAAATTGAAGCAAATTTGGCTATCAAAGGCCCGTAGACCGGTCGTCCAGAAGAGGCGACACATAGAGTCCTATATGTTCTTCCAAGTCCGCATTTGCTCACTCAATCTGGCCATCTGTCTCGAAGCTATGCGGAGTAGAGGTAAGAGAGGTACTATTCACTCGACGGGCCGGTTGCATCCGGAATTCACTAACAAGAACAATTCCCAACGTAGATATCCAGTGGTTGACAGGCAATATGGCTTCCAGGCATGATGAGCGAACCTAATCAACGGAAACACTTCTTCGGCGGCCCAGGTCCCCTTCCACGGAACCAACTGGTTCATCTTGGTTAGCTGATCAATAATGGCGAGATGCTGTCATAGCTATACGTTTCCTGCTGATGGGGATCAAGTCCATTAATGTATCTCGTCAGAATGTTCAAGCACAGACATCGGGAGGAGAAAGAATTCCTACAGCCGTCGGGAGACGGGGTGATTCGGCGGCAGGTGTCACATTTTCGGCTCCCTCCGTCCACGTATTTGCACATCTCGGGTCAATAGTCTTCACAGAACACTGGTTTGTAGGCCTCTGAGCGTTGTGTGACGTTCAGAAGCAGGCCAAAATAGAATTGTTGATCTCCAGTCCCTGAAATTCAGGAGGTTTCTTGCTTCACTTGTGAATCTCACGAAGTCAGGAGCAGAAATTGGACTACATTCCCATCCCTTGCACAGTAGTACTCGGTACGTAAAAGGACCCGAGGTGGAGCTAGTGTTCTGACCAAGCGCTGTGATAAGTAGTTAATTGTTTGAAAACTCCAAGCCATATTTGTGTCAGGAGTATAAAGAGAGCCAGCTCATCCATCGCATTTCACGGGTCCGACACGGTAACACGGCGAATGAGTCACAGCGGTTTATGCCTATTGGAGGCATGCCGAGAGCAATCACCTCGTCCAAATATGGTACCAGGGTCCCTGCAGCTGAGTTTTGCAGACATCTGGGTATCGTTGGACGGCAGCAATGCACTGAAAGTGTTAGATTGCTTGCATCTTGGTAGGGCTCGGGCGCTCGGCCGCGACGATGTGCCAAATAGCTTCGGGGGTCCGGCCGAGCATGTCGATCCAAGCTCGGCAGCCAATGCGAACTCAGATCCGGCCCCACTATGAATGTGGCTTGCTGACAGGCATTGGGAATCGGAAATATCAATGGCGCTTTTGGTTTAGCGCTCTGTAGCTGCATACAAAGAAATGAGTCTCTTTCGGATGCACCGCCGAGTAGGGGATGTATAGATACGCTAAAGGCTAAAGGCTGCGGTATATTTCATTCTAACTTAAGCCAGAAAGTTACGTTGGGATTTTTCTTTCTCTCTGTATTATCATCACCAGGCTGAAAGGTAGTTGGTTCGAGCGTTCTAAGCTTTGATTCAAAATCATGTCAACATTCGGCGTTCGCGATGCGCCATTCGGCCAGCTATGTCGACTAGCTCTCGGTCCTAGGGTTTTCCGTTATCCCGATGAGCAAGAAGGATTCGAGTATCAACCGGCGGAAGAAACACCACCTGAAGCGCCTACGCCTGAAGAACACAGCGACTCGACAGATACAAATGCGGATGTGGAAAAGGCCGCGCCAGTGCCGTCGCCAGGCCAGTCAAAGTCTGGTTACCAGACTGTAGGGTGGTATAGCGACAGCGATCCCGAAAACCCGCAGGTGTGGTCCCTGGCAAAGAAGACCATTACTTTCACCCAGATCTGCCTTCTCACCTTTGCAGGTCAGTTTACGAGGGATTTGGCAAGATTTGTTCTAACAGGCTATAGTATACTGTGGATCTGCAATCATCACTCCAGCGCAGCCAGTATTTGTTGAAGTGTTTGGTGTTGGTGCCCAAGAATCGTCTTTGGCGCTCTCGATGTATGTTTTGGGATATGTAAGTGATCCCATACCTTCAGCAGAGATGTAACTACTAACGAGGGTGTGTTAAGGGAATCGGGCCGTTATTCTTCAGTCCTTTGTCCGAAGTCCCAGCAGTTGGGCGGAACATTCCTTACTTTGTTTCATTTTCGCTCTTTATCATTATCACAGCTGTGGCTTCTCGAGTGTCGAACTTTGCAGGGCTTATTGTGCTACGGTTTCTTCAAGGGCTCCTAGGCGGCCCTGTTCTGGCGACTGGAGGAGCCTCGGCTGCCGATATCCTTTCTTTCCCAAAGATCCCTTACGGTCTCACTTTCTGGGGATGTGCCACCTTGGCAGGGCCCGCGCTCGGGCCGCTTTTGTCAGGGTTCTCAGCGCCGTTGAGCTCCTGGAGGTGGTCTATGTATGAGCTGCTAATTCTCTGTGGCTTCACATGGATTCTCCTCTTCTTCTTCCTGCCAGAAACCAACGCCGACTTTATCCTTTTGAAACGGGCCAAGCGCCTGCGCAAATCTACCGGAAATCCGAATCTTCGATCGGACTCGGAAATTAAGCAAGGAAACATTCACTTCCTGTCCCTTCTGGGCGGTTATCTGACTACGCCTTTCCTGGTCACGCTGAAGGATCCGTCTGTGGCTTTTATTAATATCTACACTGGTCTTATCTACGGCATTTTTGTGAGTCTCGGAATATCATGATTATGGGAATTGGCCGCAGGACAGTGAACTAAAAAATGACACTTAGTACTCTTACTTTGAATCGTTCCCGATTGTTTATACCCAGATTCACGGGTTCTCTACGGGCATAATGGGGACTATCTTTCTCAGTGTGGTTGTTGCTTGCTTCTTCGGAGCTGGCTCCTACCTTGCGCTTGTCAAGTTCCACTATGAACCTTACACCTATAAAAACGGAATTGGCTCTCCCGAGCATCGACTTCTTCCAGGGGTTGTTGCGGCATTGATTGCACCGTGTGGAATTCTTATTTTCGCTTGGACCTCCCGGGACTGGATCAATTGGGTTGTACCCACGATTGGCATCGTTCTTTACATGGCATGTGTCTTTGTGGTAAGTGGATTGACAGAGATTAAAAGGTTTGAGGCACTAAAGTCTTCCTAGATTACAATGTGCATTTTCATATACTTGCCTATCTCTTACCCTCGCTATGCTGCGAGTTTGTTTGCAGCTAATTGTAAGTTGCAAACATGCTTCTATGCTGTTCGTCCTTGAACATTGTCTCCTCTAACCCACCCTTTCAATAGCGTTCCTTCGTAGCGCATTGGCTTGTGGCGCTATCCACTTCTCGCAACCTCTTTTCAATAATCTTGGTATTGGAAGAGGATGTACACTCCTCGCCGGGTTGACGTGGGCATGCTTTTTCGGTATTCTTATACTGTGGAGGTATGGTGACAAACTGAGAGCCAGAAGTACTTTCGCCCAGGTTTACTGATTGGCCTGCTGTGGAATGGTTTGAGAGACGCGAATTTCAGCATGGTTGACACATGAGCCTGGAACTTACTGGTTGGAGGAAACCCCTGGAAAAGATTAGATTCTTTGAACTTTGTTTATTATTAGTGTTTACTCAAGTTTACTGTCCGTACTGAGCCTTTTGGCTATGACAGACCTTGGATCTTGAAGGCTATCCCAAATTGATTCAAGCGCAGTTTTGAGGCGCTCCCTATCAAGCAGATCTTCACGGATGAGATCTGACCTATTCAGATCGCTTTCCATGGTTTGGAGTTCGCCGGGCGTTAGGGATGTCAAGTCATCGGGAAAATCAGGTTCAAATAGAAGCACCGCGATACTTATACTAAGCGGGGTAATATCAAATCGCCAACTAAGTAGTGGTCCCTCTTGAGGTCTATCTCCTAGGATGAACTTATTGATTAGGTCCCGTAAAATATGCTGAAGCTTCCACAGCAACTATCATAATTTATGTTGTACATCCCTCTGGGTTAGTCTCCCTTTGTAGACCTTGTCAACTACTTTATAGAGGATATTGTTACAGCAACAAGCACCGCAAGGCAAAATGACAGACAGAATTACGAAGCGGTGCTGACCAATCATTCACGGCCTAAGGTATGCAATGTTTATGCGGTACTATTGGCAATTTGTACAAACACTATCATGCAACGACACGAGCTATTTCTCCGGGGGTACCGTCTCCTTACAAGGCCGTCCTCTATCGGCTCGTCGTTCTGCAATTTCTCAGATTATCTCATAGGAACATCATAACGTTTGTTACAGGAGAAGGCGTTGGTGGCACTAGGCCCAGCCTTGACACTGCTGAAGAAAGAGCACACCTCGAATGTGATCCCTGAAGACTTATACCGTGAACATGCTTGACCAGCTATGCCAGCGATTGCTGCATTGAGTCCTCATGATGAATCAACCTCCAGGCCAATCATGCTCTCTTCCTACACCAGGGAAATATTTGCTCCATGCATGACACATGGTAGTACTTGTTCGGTTCTAAGGCTCATGAGAGATGCTAGAACTCACCAAAGTATCGACCAGAAAGGCCCTTGACATTGAAGCGAAATGCAGACCTGACATTAGGTTCTCCAGTTACCTTGGCAGTTATTCACCCCCAGAAGCGACAGTGACTTCTGGTGCTAGGGTTGTCTTGTAATAGAATCAGTTGTTTCTCCTTTGTAAGTTCATCGGCAATACACTCTCTTTGAAATGCCAGTCGCTTGAGTGGATATCGGCTAATCGTCTCCCACTTATCATACAGTTCATGCGAGGGATTATCGTAGTGTGTTTCCGCTGGTGAAAGGGCGGCCATCTGCTTATGAGGAGTCATGCTTTTTAAGAGACTGTGTCCAAGGCACAGATATGGTGGCTACCGAATATAAACCCGAGAGTAAATGAACTGGCTTGTGAAGGAGGCGGCATAGTTACGTAGGACGGACCCCTTGTATAAGAGAATATAAAGATTATATTTTTACGCCCTTGGGATATGTAAAACGTGTCGATCCTGACTTCTGTCAGAAAGCAGTCCGATGTCAAAATTGGATAATCAATTTGGCAGCGGCTTAGCCACCAAAACAGCAACCTCATCATTGATCGCATACGGGCGATCCCTGAAATGCAGTTTCAGATGCGGGATTAGCGCCTCCTTCATCAGCACAAAGTTCGCATCGTCCCTGAACCAGAAACCCGCCAACACCTCAGCCGCTTTCTGGCATCTCTCCGTCAAATCTTCTTCTGGAAAGGCACAGTACGCATTGACACGGAAGACCTCAACATCGCCAAAGCCGTACTCAGCAAAGACTGTTGCCGCGGCGTTCAAAAGATACCCCTGATGGTCAATAGCGGTGTTCTGTGCACTAAGGGGGGCGCAGACGTCATTCAATAAATTGACCAGTTCATTATCCGGAGCGCCCTGCACAATGACAATTCGGGAATTCGGACTGCTGGGGTCAACGACGCGTGCTATCTCCCGTAGTGATTTGTCGAGATCATCTACATAGTGGAGAATCCACATGGCCACGGCAGCGTCGAACGTCCTGTCGCGGAAGGGGATTTCCTCTGCTGAGCCGCTGCAAATCGTAACTCCCTGCGCTTGTGCCTCTTGTATCTGCACCATTTTCCGGTCTGCATTAGGCTCGAGGGAGTATGCTTCAATCCCGCGTTTCGCCATTGCGATGGGGAGTTCCGCGATCTGTTAGCCGGGAGTGTATTCAGATGCCAGAAGGATATACTCACTTCCATAACCACTTCCAACATCCAAGACCTTCTTATTCCCTTTGATTACTTCCAACACTGCGTCGAATTCATCTCTAACCAGCCGCTCTGAGAAAGGGGCCCAGGCAGCCTCACTGAGTGGATGGGGCCCACGATATGACGTGGGGAGCGGGTATGGTCCCATAAGCGCGTGATCGACAACTTTCTTAGCGATTATCAAGTAATGATCTTGGATCTCCTTGTCGTGCGGTGGTTTCGCGTTGAAGACAAAGGATCTTTCGAGCTGGATTTCAAAGCCCGCAGCCCTGAACAAATCCCGCCATCCGTCCTTAGTATATACTGTCCCGAGGAATCTCCTACCCATGAAGAGAAGATCGGCATGTCGGACAATCTTTCCTGAGGCATCATACAGACTCTCATCATCCACCAGGCTGGTGCTGGGTATAGTTCCCAATACCAGCAGCCCGCCAGTCTTCAGCCACTCGGAGTACTTGAACATCATTGAGTATGTTTGACTATGCGAGAGCTGGAACATGGAGAAGATGGTGAAGATAGCGTCATACTGCATGGAGGGTTGGAAGGTCGTCATGTCCGCTTTTTCAAACCGGCCGATGACTTGGCGGGAGGCAATATTGACCATCTCCTGCGAGATATCAATGCCGTGGATCTTGTGGCCGGCGTGGGCAACGCGGGTTGCCACTGGCTTTCCAGTTCCGCAGCCTACATCGAGAACTTGGCTTTTTGGTGAGAGTTCCTTGAGAGCACAGTCGATGGCATCCTCAAGCCCAGAATTGTTGACGTATGACTCCTCATATTGCTGCCCAAGCTCATCGAAGAGCTTCTCCGCGCTGAGTGTCATTGTATTGATATCGCAGTTAATTTTGGAAAATATATGTAACTGAGGATTGGATTGTGCGATTAATAGAAAGAGATAGAAAGATGATCCAGCTTAAATAAGGGAGCTCCGCTCAAATTTGCCCATTGTTTTGACGAAACAGCATCCTGGCAACGGTACAGATTTGGGAAGTGCGAGAAATAGAATATGCAACCCAAGGCCAATGTGCAAATAGTGCCTGTTGGCAGTTTGACTATCCGACCCACTGAGATTAAGCTTACTCTTGATCGTTACTCGAATAAAGTTTACCCTTGCATCCTTGACCGCTACTCAAGGCTCATGTCTAGGGGCTCGCCGGCCCTCAATCGGTGCTTCACCCTGCCTTGCAGATGCGGGCCATCAATCACTGTCACAAAATAGTCCTTATATTTCAGGTGCCTTCTGCCCAACCATTTGTCAGGGATGCCAGGCATGCAAGGGTGTTGGACCACATACCCGTGATCTGGATATTCGATCTCAAAAAGCCGAATGATGTGTGCCAGGCATATATACAAGGCGGCCATGGAAAAACTACCGGCTGCATGAGAGGCTGATGGTGCAGTGAGACAGGTTGTACAAAAGGGGAATCTGTTACCTGATCGCAGGACATTGCCTTGGGCCCACTGAAAAGGCAAGCTCCCATTTCCGCATCATTTTGCCTCCACGGATCCATCTTTCGGGACAGAAATCATCCGGATGCTCGAATATATCCTCATCATGATTGGGGAAATAGTTACTGCTGGATACCTGTATCTTGTCCAGTTTAGTACGGTGATTTATCTCAAAGTCTTGGTTATGCAGAAGGAAAGGAAAGGCACACTCCTGCAGGAAGGTAAGTCCCAGCTATTGTCATCCCACCTGGGGGCGTAATGCGTGGAATACTGTAAGAAACTTGCGCATTAGGAATATGCTCGCCTCATTGAGTGAACAGACAAAGAGGGCCCTACGGTGAGACCACGCCCCCTGTTATGCGGAGTGTCTCCTTGATCACGGCGGTCTAGATCTATGTGATCAGCCACTTTTACATAGCCTTCTGCATCCAGCCGGGCAACTCACAAAATATGGTAACCTTTCCAACTCAGACCAAGATGGACATTCCTGAGTGTGGTCTGGCCAGGAATTGGCCAACTCTTCTTGTAGTTTGGCCAGAAGCTGCTTATCCCGCATAGTATAATAGGTTGCAACGGTGAGCGTCGTTCCGACCGTATAGGCGGCAGCAAAAATTATAGTGAAGGTGTCCGACATGATAGCAAGGTAACTCAGCGATGGGACACGACGATCTCTCTCGATAGTGGTTAGTGCTGTAAACAATGGAATGGGATTTCCTCGATTGCCTTTGCTTGGATCATCAGCCAAAATCTTATCAAGACAACCTTGTAAACCCTAGGGGCGTCGTCAGCATTCCACAAACTTAGCAATATGGGTCCACAGACCTCTAATCGATCGAATAGTGCCCTACTTTGCGGATAGAGGATCCGCAGGCTCCAGGGGCTGAAGTAGTTGGTTAGGCTTCGCAACCAGCTGCAGTGACCCTGCAACCAGAACCCTGCAACCATAGCATCTACGGCTTTGAGGGTGGGACATTGAAAATCTGCCCTTCCCAACGAGTCAAAGGTGAATCCGAATACGTATTGTGTTATGATATCAGATGCAAAGCACCGGAGCGCCATGTATATGTCGATCGACTGCCCTCGCGATGCTGGCGTATGCAGCAATTCGCAAAGCCTTTCCGCCTGTTTGCCATTAGCGGAAGCTCTTTCCAGATCGGGAATGGAAATCACTCACCTGAGTGATGAAAATCTCCCCATAATTGAGAGTCGCCTTGCGGGAAAACATTTGTAGCATTGGCTTCCTATGTTTCCTGGCTTCTGCGTGGTCCAACGTAGCAAGGGTTCCACCAGGAACAAAGAAAGCATCGTAGAATTCCGGATCCTTACATGTGTCTCTGGAGTGGTAGACATCAAAGTATGCATCTGTGCTGGAAAAATGGACCTATCAAAGAAACAGAGGTCAGAATGGGGGGGGGCATCAAGACCCAGACAAAGGGCGGGATCAGCAAACCTCATTTGGCCCTATTCTTACCGCAGTACCTGTCCTTGAGATGAGCACATACATTACGAGTAACTTCAAGCCCATTCCTCACCGTATTTCATGTGCAGGAACTTAAGGTGGTTGACCACGTCTCCTCTTCGAATTACACTGTAGTAGAAATGGTAGAGGCGTGTGATAGCCGCCAGCCAAGGTCCAGGTATTGAGGCCAGAGGATGGAAAAAAAGACGGTATATCACGATGTATAGGACCAAGAATATCAGGAATTGGAGTATTATCACGACAGTGGTGACTGGGAAGGCCATGTCGAGTTGTCTGTCTCGGAAATGTGGCGTAGCTGACTGGATCGAAAAATTGAGCCTGGAGGATGATCATGGTCCATTCAACAGAGCCTGACACCGTTTCTGGTTACTGCATTTTATAGTCAGAACTATAAGCAAGACGCAGCTCCACTTGCTATCCCTTCTCGTTCGCACAAGTAAGGAGGTCTCTCCAATTCTAGGGTCTTCTAGATTCACGTGAGCTTGTGATGTGATGTGTCGTTTGAAGCTAAGGTGAGTAAATATGCAGCCACCGTGGATAAAATGGCATCCACAGCGTAGATTGTACGTAATTGTGTAGATAAGAGAGTGTCGAAGGACGACGGGAATTCCACTGGGACATATATACCGCCGTCGACGTCACTTTTAACATGACAAATTTGTTGTCTCAATATTATTGCATCTAGAATATTTCTGTAACCCCCCGTGAAAGCAATGACAATCACCCTCAATCCTAATACGAGAGTGGAAGCTCTATCCTCCCTCATCTCGCAAAAGGCACCTCGCGCAGTTCGGGATGTTCTACAATCTGGCTCTGCTACCCTGCCGGATAAAGAACAAAGTCAGATTCGGGAGGTCATTGATGCATGTCAAGAGTTGACAGCTCTCTTGACTGAACCACATGAATGGATTTCAAATGTTGCATGGGGATATGTTGACAGCGTCGCGCTCTCACTTGTTCTGGAAATGAAAATCCATCATCATGTCCCCCAAGCCCCGGGGGCGATTTCACTCTCACAGCTGACTGAGAACACCGGTGGCTCTATGGACCTGATTAGTATTGACGTTCCTGACACGCTGCTCTGGACTATAACATACTAACATCCCTCAGAAAGGGTGATGCGGCAATGTGTGAAGCGATTCATTTTTGATGAAGTCGAACCACATCTATACTGTCATAATAGTCGCTCAATACGCCTTTTGGATACTGAGTTCTCATCACTTATTGATTACCTGTGAGTCCATCAATAGTAAGGCTAAAAGTGATACATTCTAAAGGAATAGGACTGATGACGGGTTTGTAACCGGAGCTCATCTCTCGCGAAGTCTCTCGCAATCCAACTTTCAGATACCAGATAATCATCGCCAGGCAGCATTCCAGCTGACCTTTAACAGTACGTCAGGCTTTTAAATAACTACAGTGTCATACTAATTGCTGATGCAGCTGACAAGACTTTGTACGAGTACTATGACTCTGTGGACCTGAAACGAGGAAATCGTTTCGCGAACGCCATGGCTGGACACTACAACACTCCTCTCGACGATCCCATTGAGAGCATCTACCCCTTCGACAGCTTGAAACCAGATGCACAGATAGTGGATATCGGAGGCGGCAAAGGGCAGCAATCGATCCGACTGGGAAGAAAGTATGCCCACATGTCCTTCATAGTACAAGACCTCGGCAGCGTTGTTGAAAGCGCCCAGACCACTGTGGATATACCCGAAACCGTCACAGGACGAATCCAATGGCAGGCACATAACATGTATTCTCCACAACCGCTTCACGGCGCCGACGTCTATTTATTGAGCCATGTCATGATGGATCACCCGACCAGGTAGGAGACGTCTGCCACATGTGATTACAACCCTTATTGACAGCTTCTTACCGCGCGCAGTGCCTGTGTCACTATTCTTCAGCACATCGTCAAGGCGATGAAACCTGGTCATTCAAGAATTCTTATCCACGACTTCCTTGATCCTGAGAAGCAAGAATATGTGTCCCGATTTCTGAACGAGCTGGACTTTCACATGATAGCAAGCCTGAATTGCTTCTCAAAATCCCTCAAAGGCTGGTTGGAAGTGTTTCGCAATGCAGAGACAGCACTCCAGTTGAAGAGAGTGTTTAAGGGGTCAAAGAATTCAGCAGTATTTGAGCTAATTTTGGAAGATGATTGAAAGTATATCTCAAAGTCAGAAGAAGATAGCCTGTCTAAATATAACAAAAGCCTTATTGGCTGTTTCTGAGAATGGAGAGCCTATGCACCCTATGACTTTGATGGAAGGTACGAGCCTCCTACTGCACCTTATACTACGGCTGGTACTATAGTCGAGACTTCTTCTGGCGGAGCTCCTACACTAACTAGGTATACTCTCTTGGAAACTTTGCTTCACACTGCTTTATACAAACACATTGAAGGCTGGATACATGAGATAACCTGCTTGCTATTTGGATATAAGAAGCACATCAACATGCCTATGTTTACTTAGCTATGCATCAGGTCCACAGCATTTATCTAATGTTAATTCATCATCACCTGCGCGAAGTAGCTAATTATCAAGATCCTTCAGCGGCCCTGACTTTCATAGATATCTAAAATATGATTCCTGTAGCCTGTAGGGCACCCTTTCAGAATCTCCATGCTATACTACTCTGGGTCATCCTTGTATCCTGCCTGCTTGACTCTAATTATGGATTACCATTATGTATTATCAAGGATATAGCCCATTACCTATCATGTCATCTGACTCTCTAGGAATATCTGTAGAGTACTCATCGCGCTAACCTCAATGGATACTTATGCTTCTAGGGAAGTACTCTCGTATGGTAAGAATTACCTTAAATACCTGACATGGGTTGGTGCAGTAATATATAAAGAACTCAGTTCGAGTAATGCCTTCACCTGAGAAGATCCTCCTACTCATTTTTTTCCTCAAGGTACAGCTTTTGAGAGGCGCTAGATGGACAAGAATTAGCCATTACGAAGTAAAGGGCTGAAAATAGGAAATTACTTTCTAATAGCAGAGTATCTGGAGATATAGTAAGGAATATTCCCTTTAGTAAGCTAGGAGATTGCTCCTTTGTGGCTCTATCTCTAAGCTGCATAAAGCCTGAGTATTAGTACCTGTTACTAGCAGATGAGCTGCCCTTAACACTTTTTAGCATTAGCGCCATTCTTAAATAGGTCATGTCAAGGGCAATATGGGAATCTGAAAAGTAATGGACGAAATGGTTAGTATCCTTCTATCTCGGGTAAAAGACAGAAAGCTAATATTAAGAGTTTAGTCTATATTTCCCAAAGTGACAATGGAAGTGCCGAACTGTCAGATATGCAGATAACTTACCCTTCACTGGGCATAAACTTGCATGCTAGGTCAAGAGGTCAAGAGCAGCCTCCGTGAACCGGACGAGGCCTAGAATGCTTGAGAAGCCCGAATTGTCTGATACATGGACGAAGACATGACTACATGGAACCAACCCCTGTGAAAACACCTTCCTATATGGAAGCCGGTCATTGCCGTGTAATAACTTATCTTGATAATCATGTCGTCTTCAGACTCACTGTTGTTTGCTGGCATGGAGATTGATCCCACAGTCTCCCTGAGTCAGATGAGGATATTGCTAAGAAGTATAAGTTGCCTGAAATAGCGGAGTTGCTGATGCATCTATTAAAGGGATTAGGGTACTATTAGTGATATCTATAAAGATCATCATGTAGTGAGGGGAGATATTTCCCAGAACTACTACCTCCGTATATGGTCATCCTCTCTCTCAGCTGATGCCACAGCATATACCATCAAAAGTGATATGTAGTCCCTAGACTAGAGTACATTGTCCAGACACCTTTACTAGCTAACTGTGTTGCATATAAATAGATATATTATATCTACATATAAGTCTCAGTCAATGACTGAATATCGTTTTCCAAAATATCGTAAACATCTGAAAGTTCTGAACCGTAAACAAGACAGTGGCATTGTCCTGCCAGCCTGCATGGATCTTTAACGTAACCTATTTCTTTATGTCACAAAGTGATATGGATGCATAAGTGGCCAATGCATTACTGCATGTCTCGCTAAAATAAGCATCATAAGCTCCACCCGTGAGATTTAAATGTGTTTGCCCGAATTTTAATGGAGAGGGATGGGAGGCCTAAGGATTAAGTAAGAAGTAGTAAGAAAACCGGCATATTTTGTACCAATTGTTGTAGTCAATTCAAGACATGTCTTAAGTAGTGTCTGAAATATCGACCGCTGATTGGCGATGCAATGCCCGGTGGCTCCAGAATTGCAGAAGCGATGAGGAAACTAGTCAGATTCGATCATGAACCTTGTTATCAGCATCGACAATCAGGTCATTGTTGATCCAGATCTTCCTGCCATGTCACCAGGTTACATTCTGCATCCCACTTCCACAATCTCTGCAGAAATCTAGGGTATATAAGTATGACCCATCCTTCCCCCCTCTTCCCCTCAATCATTAACACAATCCTACCATCAGAATGACCCTAGTCACTCTCCTCACCGGCCTTCTAGCCCTCACTTCCACCGCCCTCACCCAGTCCATCACACCCCCCGATGGCTGCCCCCTCCCCACCTGGACCGTAAACAACTTCCAGTGGTACAACGGCTCCCACAGCCTCGACTGCGTGCACAACCAAGCCGACATCGATGCCTACGGCTGCCTCTGCGCCGGCTCCGGCGGCTGGTGCGAACCAAACCAGGCCACCTGCAACGGCTCCTGGGTGCACCTCTGCTGGACAGGTATGCCAAACTACCATCCTTGGGGCTATGGCCCGCTCGAGACCCTGGACATCGACTTCACGGACGGCCTGCAGTGCCACGACCAGTACATCGGGTACCGGGTGCACGATATCGGCAACGGGGCGAGCAACTGCGGCTATGCGGACCGCGGGCAGGGACGTATCGTCTCGTTCTACGGGAGCTCGAATTATGAGACTTCCGTTGGGCGGATGGAGTACGTGCTTGGGGACGGGCACGCGCTAACCTGCAACAACGGGAGTAAGATTACATACTCTGGGAAGACAGAGTTTGAGCTCGAGTGTGTGCATGATGCGTTTTTCAATGCGACGTGCACGGCGGAGGCGTTTACCATTCCGGTATTGGCGTATCAGTGGGTTTCTTGATTGACTACTATGTATCAGATGGAAATGGGGAACTAGAAAATCGCATGTATGCTTGACGAAGTACGAACAGACAACAGACAGCTATCTATGAAGAACTACACTCCGAGTTGGCAATTGTACTTTGCTCGCCTTTCCCTATGCATCCACTTCAAACACCAAACTCTGCTGGTGACTCACGTATCCTCTGCTTCCGACGGCCTGCTAGTCTTCACAGTTCCTCCGGCCTTCTGCTTGGTAGCTGTATATGCCCTAAAAGCTACCTTACCGGCACTCTCCGACGCAATCGTCGGTACGAGGCTCGAATTCCCTTTGCCAAGTAATATAGCCAGCAACGGCATGAGATCCGTCCCATTGCTACCCACGAGGTAACTGACAAGCTGGGGTCTGCAGAAGAACTAACAGCCAGCGCCGAAGAGGAATTCAACCGATCGCTCGCGTACTTCCACGCAAAATTCTTCCTCGCTTCAACGCAGCCTGCTCCATCAGGGCATGGAGAATCGCCTCCGTGACGCATCAGAAGCAGACTCGTCGCGTTTGATCGCATCACCAATGCGCTGGCCCTGATGATACTAAACCCAGCGTCGAAACCAGGGACTAGGACAAGAACACTGCCGTGGTTTCTTGAATCCCCGGGCTTGCGGCATAGATCCGTGACTACGCCGGACTTGGCATGCTTGTACCTGTTTGTTTCCCACGGTCGAGCGACGGAATACTTCAGGTCCACAGTGTGCGAGATGGGTTTCAGCCACCTGCACGCGTCGACGGGCAGTAAGATGGTGTATTTCGGGTTCACCGTGCCGAATTATGTAGTCAGTATGAACTGTCAACGTACTTTGTGCGTCCTTTTGCTGCCGGTAATCCCATGACGGGAACTATGGCACCACGACGGCCTGGCATGGATAATGACATCGAAAGGGACTTGATTATGATTAACAAGTGTAGAGAAGATATAGAAGGAAGATAAGTTTTGACTGGCAGTGAGATTCTTCTCTACTGCTTTGTACTTAGGAAGCTGCAAAGGCATTCACTTTATACTCCCGATAGAATGGCGACCAGCATAACTCCAAGGCAGTGAATGCACTAATCATGGTATTCATTTCTTACACAAAATAGCCTACATGAGTCCAGCGTATGTGTCTCCCTCCTGCATTAGCTTCCGCTCTTCATTCACGTAGTCTTCGACTCTCTCCCTTTCGCCTTCCTTGGCAGGTGGATTGGCTTGTTCACCCTGCTGAGGCTGTACATCAGGCTGCTGGTCATGTTCTTCATTGTGATCTTTTTGCTCTTGTTCGTTGCCATGATGTCCGCGATGTAACATTCGGTCCATGAATCCGGCGTGGTGGGAAGTTTGTGCGTCTTCAACATCAGCGGGTCATACTATGAGCCTTGCAGTGATGGCTTACTTTCAGACATGGTTTCTAATGAGATGGCAGTTTCCTAGATGCTAGTTTTACGTAGAAAGATTGATTAGGGATTTCTTCGAAGATGGTTGTAGGAGGGAGGCGTTAGTAAGAGTATAGACGTCATCGCCAGAACAGATAATAATTTGAGTTCAGAACACTCGCAAGCCATCCACATGACCATCGATCAATAACACCTTCTCTTCCATTCCACCGAGGTATTGATCTCAAGGGTCCAGGTCTTATAGTTCACATCAATCCATTTATTTTCCCAATCGCGCAGCGATCACAATCCCCAGCAATGTCAAAAAGGCCGCAATAAACACCAGTGCAACCATCCCCCTTCTCTCTCGGCACTCGAGCTGGCGGTCGCACGTCTCGCAGTGGAAGTGTGGCTTTGTAGGGTCTACATGCGCAAGAGGAAGTGAGGACTCTTGAGGGTGAGACTCCACATCGTGACGGCAGGCGGTGTTTGCATTTTCGTCCAGGTCATTATGGGGGACAGCAGCGTATTGATGCTAAGATAGTCAGTCCGAGTGTTTATTTACACCAAGGCTTAGAGAGACGCTTACCGTCTTGGAGGATGTCGCTGTCGGTTGATTGATAGATTCCGTGTCAAATAGTTCATGGTAGGCAGGTGCTGCCTCTTCAGAAGCTTTTGGTCGACTCATATTGATCACTTGTCTGGAGCAAGATCAACTGAATAGCAGAGTATGATGTTGTATGTCTGAGGGTTGCTTGATGATGGATAGCATGATGCTGATGGTAACGTCGTAGCTTGGGGATGACCCAGACTTATTAGCACAGCCATCACGAGGCTGAGCATCGACGCTAAGTCCACGGCCTCCCTATGGGATGACATTCCTCCAAGGCTTAAATACGAGGAGTGTAATTAGAGAGAAAGCGAGGGAATTCATCCTTCGTAAGCACTAACGTCTGCATCAGCCGCAGCGGAGCCACTGATCAGACACTGACCAATCCAGTCAGTGTGCCACGATGTGGTAAGTTCCTACAGAGTACCTGTGACCAGCTAAATAATATCGAAAGCGATCGTAACGGCATCTTCGTTACTTACCGGACAGAGGATCATGAGCCTGCTGCGAGAATACGTCTACAAGGGTTCTCAACTGCTCCGATCCCTCGAATGAGGCCTTCGCCGTTAGCGCAGTACCTACAGCACAGTATCTACGGTATTGCCCTATTCAGTCAAGACTAAGGCTCCACCATGTCCGTCTTTGTAGATCATTCCTTTGACACCTGTACTTAGGCGCTTTCCATTGGTTCCATCCTGCAGCTCAGTTTGCTAGAGGATGTACCCCGTTGTACAACTACATACATAGAACATAGATGTAGTCAAAGCTCGACAGCGACGATGATTCGATCTCTGTAGCGCGAGGTAAATATTTATGCGAATATTAGACGAACTCTCGACGGATATTCCCTTCTAGGGGCCCATTTGATAGTGACTTCGCTGTCCACGAAGCCCACCCTGTTGTGTCCTTGGCTCAGCCCGTTTTGCAGAGATGGCTTGACCGAACGAAACAGAACGAAGTACTTGTCATGCCAGTCTTTGTTTGTATCAGTACGGCCCGCGCGTGAAACACCTGTACAGAGGTGTAGGCAGATTAGGCTAGCTAAACCTTGGTCCCAAATATTATTATAGGGGCAAGTAAGCAAAGTGCTGCCTTAACGATTGTTATTCCCTAGAAAGAAAAGGATGGAAGGGCCTAAGTAGTTAGATAGGGCATGCCCTGTATAATTTCATTCATCTACCTAGTATCAACCAGGGACCAGCCCATAGTGTTATGCGCCAACACTCCTAGCCTTAATGTATAGTTATCTCTTTCCTGAATGTGTTATGAGACAGCCGTTCTAGAGGGCATCCATCTCGATGAGAAGTTTCACATGAACAATTGGAAGAACGCTGCATTCTAGTGGCCAAGACATCCGGGAGCTGGCCCGGCGATCTGTTCAGCGTCAGAACCGTACTATTCGAGCCAGTCGATCACTCTCAACGAGAACCGAGATTTACTGAGGTAAATCGAAAAGGATGCAGTGCATACTAGAAGGTATGGTCACTTTCATTGCAACTGCTGATCAATATCGCCTTGCTTGCTCTTCAGCTCGTCACACATCTCCTTCAGAACTCCAGCCAACCATGCGAAGTCGCTTATTTCCAAGTACACCTGCGCGCTGAGTCGCGTCCAAAGGCAATGCCCATGGGCAAAAACTGGCACAAAAGTTCCGTACTTGTACGCGAGGGTGGTTTGGAACCAATTGATCGTAGAGGCAACCTTGTCTGCCTGTAAGACGAGGTAGGATGGTTTAACAGGCCCTGATCTTCCCTGAATAGCAATAGGTAGCTGAACAGTTGACATGCCGCAGCGTCGCAGTTGGCTTCGTACTCCTAGCTTCTGGTTGGGTTCCTGTAAGACTTCTGTGCCCAGGACAGCTGCCACAAGATCTGCGGCTTCGTTTGCTAAGGTTTCCAGGTACGTGTAAATGTGCTCTTCACCACCACAGATCTCGTTGCGGAACTTCAAGGCCGCAGGGACACAGAAATATGGTGCGTCATCATTGGTAGCAACGAACTCAAATAGGCTCTCGAACGGGGTTTTGGACGGGTCATCGCTTTTCATAATAGAAGGAGTAGTCTCAGGGGCGCCAGGGGGAGGGATATAACCCCATGACGTGGGAATTGTAGTGCGAATGAAATGCTGGTTGCGTTCAGGAACATAGAGGACGCAACAGCTGCGTGGAACAAAAAGCCATCTATGCGTTGAATTAGAAACGTCACCACTTGGGACGTCTAGGGAGGAACGAAAAATACTCACTTATGGCAGTTGCTAGTAAAAAAATCAGGCTGTAGTTTCCCCAGATCTAGCGGAATTTGGCCGATGCCATGTGCGCCGTCAATAAGACTCAGGATCCCTTCTTCCCGGCACACATCTGTTAACTTTTCAAAAGGAAAGCGCATTGCCGGCAGGCTGGATACTACGTCGAAGAGCGCAATCTTCACGTTCAATCCCTCAGCCCTTGTGTTCCTCACAACATCCAGGAATTGCTCCACTAAGTCATCATGACTGATTGGGCACCGGTATTGGACTTTCCGTGCCTGGAGGGGGGTTGACTCCGTAAGAGAGAGAATTCCCTTCTCAACAGCACCGTATATCGTTTCAAAATAAATTATTACATCACCAGATTGGAAGGGAATGTTCTGAAGGATCGTGTTTACCCCAGTGGTGGCGTTTTTAACGAAGACACACTCATGTCTGGGAACGTTGAGCATCTTGGCTATTGCTTCTCGGGATGCATCAAGAGCCTTTGGGGTCGTATAACGGATAAATGGATCCGGGCGTGCTTCAGCTTCATCTTGAAATCCTCTCAAGGCTGCTCGGACAGCGGTGGGATACGTTCCAAAGGAGCCTGAGCTATAAGGTAAATATCGTGATAACTGGGCTGAATATTTCTTTCCTACTTACCGTGGTTCAGATTTACAAAGTTGGGATCAATGAGGAAATGCTTCCGCATTGCCTCTCCAAAGGGAGTAGCGCACTTCATACTTCTTGAAGGGAATTCTATAACCTATGAAAATAATTTTCGCAGTTTCTCAGGGCTACCTTCTGTTCGCGGATTGAGGCTATTGATGGAAGGATAGTCAGGCTAGTTAGTTAATAACTATATTGAGGCTTTGTCATCTCGCGCAGAACTTTTCACTGACAATCCATGGGAACTTGCATGTGGCAAAAGTTCCGATGCAGATGCTAATTCGCCAACACTCCTGCTTTGGTTCAGTAACGCCTGGACCCACAAACGCCTTAACAATAGCTTAGATAAACTTCTGCCCAGTCAAAACGGAATAGCTCACGTTTCCCTCTCTAGGCACTCCAGAACTCAGCATACTATGCTCTGTCCTGCATTTAAAAGTGCCTAATCATGTTCCTTATCCTCTTCTCATCTGATAACTCTCGTAAATCCCGAATTTCCTGCTTTTTCATTTGATAGAAAGTCCTGAGACACTTGCTCATGGCGCCTCCCTCCCACCTTTCCAATTCACGCAAACTCTCACTGAGATCTGTTGGCATCCGCTGCGTAATTCCAAGCTCCCTCCTAGTTTGCTCATCCAGTGCGATTGGGTTGCCATTGAATTCCTGCCATATCAGTTGCTTTCCTGTCCGCAATCCTCCCAGCCCGGCATTTATGAACGCTGCCACGACCAGATACATATTCGCTGTGGCATCACAGCATCGAATTTCCCAGCGTCCCTTCGTCACTTTTCGGATTGGGAAATCTCGATTCTCAGTGCCCCAGCCAATCCAACAACCAGCTTCTGACTTTCGATCTGTGATGCGTTTATAGCTATCTTCTAACGGCATCGCCAAGGCACATAATCCGCCCAATTGACCTAGCATCCCCGCCAAGAACGCGTTTTCATCAACCTCCAAGTCCGACGTCATGGAAATATGAAAGTGTGCCCCAATACCGGTATGGACCTCCACTGGTGAAGGGTACATTGTGGCAATGATCCCGTGCTCCCAAAAGAGAGATTTGACGGCTTCTCGCGTATACACCCAGGCGTCAATCGATTCCAACGGAGATAGAGGACCAGTAGCGATTTCAAACATCCCAAGACCTGACTCTGAACAGTAGTGTAAAACTTCGATTTTTTCGCGCTGCAAAATGCGAACCACATCATCGATGATGGGCGCGCAACGATTCCGTAACCCTGTTGTGGTCCACCATGAATATAAGGTGTCATCTAGATCTTTCCCCTCGGGTGTTAAGCAACGGAATTCCACTTCGAATCCGACTCTGAATTGAACACGTGGTGCACTGGCCATGACGGAGGTTAGAAGTGTTCTCGGATCTCTTTCAAATCCAATGTTCTCTTCGGAGATGAAGCACATGACACTGGCGTGGCCTGGCGCATAGTGGCACTCGCGTAGGGAGGAGAAGTCGGGGTAGATGGAGTCGACGCCGACATGGGAACGATTTTCCATCATGCGAATGACATTTGTCGCGGTGATACATATTGGTCCTCCACAGAGAGGTGATCCTGTGGAAACCAGTTTAAGTGCGCTGGAGACGGGCACGACGCGGGCACGTAGGATGCCGGCATAGTCAATCCACTGGTATCTTATGAACTCTACTTTAGGGTGTTTGTCCAGGAATTTGACCAGTAGAGTGAGCGCTCCTTTCCCCAACCCTGCACACATTGCCACTGGCTGAGGCGACCCGCTATAGCAACAACCTATGAGGAATAACGTCGACCTCAGAAATCCGATGTCTCAATTGTATATGTAGTAGCGTAAGGGAGTGCGTCGGCAGTGGTAACTTTTGTACAATATTGCAAGGCCTGTATTCCAATGCATTCAAAAGGTATATTGAGTGGTAATAAAAGAAATTGAAATTTCAATGACCTCATCACTCGAATATTGCATATTGAGAGCACCGTCAATTGTGACAGAAAAGTGTTTAGTGGGAGACTGGACGAACGCCGAAAACAGCATTCATGGGATGTCACTGTAGTAAGATAGGGTGACATGAAGTCCGCATGCAGAGCAGGGAGCGTGGAAACCAACTAAATTGGAGATTTCGGAACGAGGTAACGTACAATCTGGTGTTGAGATGTGACAAGCAATAAGACTTTATCACCTTACAAATAGCTGTAATTGAATCACTGAAGTCCAGATGTGGCGTCATGACCTAGGTCACTGAGATCATGAAGCGGCGTGGCATCGAGTGTACATGAGAAGTACCAGAAAATTGAATGTGAAGTCTTTTGGAATTGATAAGCCTCCTCTCTTATTTTTCTACAAATGTACATTACACATGATCCTTGGTACTCCATGGTGAGCAAATATAAGTACCTTCGACGCCGCGTCTGCGACTGCCCCTGTGGTTTGTGGGATCCCACCCAACTCTACAAATTCAACTGGCTTCCTTCAGTCCAAGCATTTCCTATCTTTGATTGAAATGGATCCACCACATCCGCCAACCAATGGAAGCGGATGCTTTCAGTACACCTCGGTATCCTCTTACCAAGCTGAGAGGACGATCAACATAAGCGTGTTGTCCCATGAAGCTATATGTGACAGAATCCGCCAATCACTTGTGGAAGTAAGCAACGGCCTAGTTGCAGATAAAATACATTTCACCTACACCTGTGGCCAGCACGTGTCCGCTGTCCGCAGTCAAGTAGAGAATGCATTATTGGACACACTCGCAAGCCCGTACCGATGGGCGGTTCGTCCATATTGGGTACAAGATAATGAGCCAGTACTCATTTTGCTACCCACTCGCCAATATAATACGCACAAAGCATCCTTCAACGGTCTTCTGAGCGCGATATCAGACATGGAGTGCTCAGTACCTACTGCGGACACTTTGTACCGACTCGCAAACGAGCTCGACAATCGATCGCTTCGCAGTATTCTGCCCGAAAAAGCAAGTATCATCGAGAAAAAGCTGACGTCGATCGCCCACAGCAACAGCCTTTTGCTGGCCACTCTAGCTGCGGAGATCTTGACGTACCAAGGGACTCCAACGTTGCCGATCAAAGCTGTCATGAAATTGCAACAAAGAGCTGGTGGTTCTGTCGACCTCAATGGGTACCCTAGGCATGCCGCCGCGACCTTCGAAAAGCGCATCAAGGTGGATGACTACAATTTCTTCGAGCTAGTCCACCCCGCTTACTTCCGCCAAACTGTGGCTCTGGCGCACTTAGTGACCAAATTTATCAAGAATCCTTGTGCTCGGGCCATCGATGTCGGTCCTGGTCCAGGCACCAATCTTCTCGCATTCCTAGAACTACTCCCACAGACGGAGGTTCTGGCAGTCGAACCCAGTGATATTGCATTCCAATACCTTACAGATCATTTCAAAGGTGAAACGAACATTACATGTGTACGGGAAGACTTCCTGTGTGTGCCGGTGGAATCGGAAGAAGTCGATTATATCATGTCAACGGGGGCGTCCCACCACTTTTACACTGACGGATTCCTTCAACGCAGTGCACAGTGGCTACGACCGGGAGGCTATTGGTTCATTGCGGATGAGATGATTTCACCCTTCGAAACCCGTAAAGAACGACATCTCAATCTTCTACGCCACCATCTTGCGTACATGGTTCCCCTATGTTTTCCCTGGCCCGCTAGGGATGTCGATCCCCGAACACTCCCAGAGCGGGAATTTGTGGACGATTTCAATAACACTGTCCCGCTGGCCAAGTTCTTTGCGGATACTGGCAGAGTTGACGAGGCGGAAAGTCTCTGTCGTGAATTACTGTCCCGAGCGGAGCGACATGGATTCACAACCAAAGTGTCTGACCCACACCTTGCGTTCTGGCGACTGCAGTGGCTCGAATTGCAAGCTCTAGTAGCAGGGCTCGATTATGATGTGGAACAAAAAACATATCCGCGGCACTTCATCAAGATGGCAGAGGGTGCAGGGCTTAAATGTGTTGCTCATCAACGAGTCTATGGCACCGTGGGATTAACGGATGACTGTGCTGGAACACATGTTATGGCTTTCCGAAAGGCATGAACGGGAGCCAGGTAATGAATTGTCAGAACCCAAATCGACTGAGAATACTTCTCCTTCTCAAGGCTAGTTTCGCAGGGCAGTAGTAGCCGTTATCGTATAGTTTGGCCACTCTCAGTACGATGGGGTTCCTGTGTAGCATCTTACCTCCCCTTAGAATACAAAAAATTTATTGATTTCCTAATCTTAAAAAGAGATACGAGGAAATTGAATAGCCAATATCACATCATAGAAGAGACTACTAACATCATGAATGCCAGCTGACCAGGGCCTCGCTAAAATCATTGAAAAATTGACTTTATGCGTATCAAGTCGTCCTGGAAAAGCCATCTTCCGTTCAATGCAGAGGTAAAGGCCCGAACGTGGTCTTTGACTCGCATGTACGTGGACGTGCGTGACCGTATAGCTACGTTACATACTATGAAATGTGTATCATGCGAACTTGCTTGATGCTTGTAAAACTATCGCTGAAAAGAAAGAAAAAGGGCCAGTCTGCTTTCTGCAGCTAGTGGACTACTATGGCGATGCATCGACGTTCATTGATGGCTATTTTTGATGGCGGGGAGGCACTTCTGCGGAAGAGAACCTCAAGAAGGTCCAAGAAGTAGACATCCCCTGAATTGAGGCATGGCCGACGAACTGGCTCCTCTTTTGCGGCGGCGAAGACAGCTAATATGCACCTGACAAATCCAAAAAGGAACAGGGAGTGAGATAAATCATTATGAATGGGAAGGTCATTAAACCAAGCAACACAGTTAAGCTACTGGGCGTCATCATTAATAAAGAGATATGATGGAGATAATATGTATAATAAGTAATTAAATAAGCTACCAAAGTTACCACACAACCTTGGCTGGATCAGAATCCCAATCACCATGCCATAGATACTGTCCGACGCCAGGCTTCCGGTCAAAGAGATTGGTTGGCGTCGCATCAACAGTCGAATGCAGCATAAGAGCTTATGCCTTTCGCTTTCGATTCAGATAAAGAAAAAGCGAGATGACATAGACATGACTGGCTGGAGGACGCGCGACTACTGACGGCTTAATTTATGCACTGTGTTTACTGCGCCAACACTAAGCTATCAAGACTGGAAGTGATCTCTCAAACACAGAGGCTTGGCGTTTCTCCCAACGGTGGGTCTGCATTAACAGCGCCAACTACCTGAAACAAGTAATTGTTACGAGACTTACGAGGCCCGTAACACTTATACGACGACTGTAACGCATGGATCAAAATCACGACTATATATATATATAACCTCTTTGGGCTGTCTTCGCTATGGTCTCACTCGCGCTCCTAAATAGTTGTTGGACTCCCTTTGCTTACTGGCATCTTATACCATGTCCCAATCTATCATCTTATCTACTCTGCTATTCGTAGCAACCTTTACGTATGTGTGCCGAAAGATCCACTCGCACCGCCGTCAATATTCCGATCTGCCACAGTTAAAGCGATCAGCGGTCTTGGGGCATTTGGGAGCCCTAAATCAATTTATCAATAGTGGTGAAACCCAGAGACACATCGGTACTCGCATACAGTTCCCAACCTCGCCGCGCATGATTTTTTTTATAGCGACAGGACACTGACTCCTGAGGTAGATATTGTGTTCTCAGCGATCTATGAGCACTTGGGCAAACCTCCATTGTTCCTTCTGGATCTCTGGCCATTGGGACGGCCCATGTGTGTGGTCTGTAGCCATGAAGTCGCAGAGCAAATCTCAAGGCAGTCCAGAACGTTTCCATATAGTGTCCCAAAATCGCCCACGACAAAGGCATTTGTTGACTTGATCGGGCCAAAATCAATCATTACTGCTGAGGTATGGCGTCCTGTTTCTGTGCAATCCCTTATGTGGCGCCCCATTTAGTAATCCGTAACCCAACAGGGGGATGAGTGGCGAGACCTTCGTGCGAGACTTAATCCCGGCTTCTCAACGGGGAACTTATTGACGTTGCTACCATGTATGGTGGAAAAGACGTTACTCTTCGTCAATATACTCGACCAATACGCTGCATCCGGCCAGCATTTTATGCTGAATGAGCTGTGTACCAATTTGACCTTTGACATCATTGGTGAGACATGTACCTGGTTTTCGCGTGAGAAGGATATCTAAACTGCCGCGTTTCTTGTTAACAGGTGCGGTGACTATGGGGGTCAACTTATGTGCCCAACTTGGAGAGGATCGCCAAAGTGAAATAGTCAAAATTTTCAAAGAAATCGGCTCTACATATAACAGTCACAGGGGGATCTGGGCCGCGCCGCTAGTTTCGCTACGCCGACGAAAGCTGGCCAGCAGATTGAATGTCCTTCTTAGAGGTTTTATTTCTGAGACATTTGAAGAGGTGAAAAGAGCCTCCCAGACTAATGCGACGGCACGTCTGGGGTCGTGCAGTATCCTAACACTCATCCTGCAAGATGCAAATGAACTGACACCAGCTATCATGGATCGGACCTGTGACCAACTCAAAACTTTCCTTTTCGCGGGCCATGATACGACCAGTATTCTGCTACAGTGGGCCTTATATGAACTTAGCCGAACTCCCAGGGCAATGAATGCGATCCGGCGTGAGCTTGATTATATTTTTGGACCAGATACCTCCCCCAGCTCTGTGGGCAATATTCTGCTGTCGGAGGATGGTAAAGCCCTGCTTTCTAAGATGCAGTACACCTCCGCTGTCATTAAAGAAACACTCCGCCTCTACCCCCCATCTGGGAGCGCGCGATACTCTGAACGAGGATCGGGGCTCACATTGAGGCTGCCGAATGGGAGATTTTGCTGCGTGGACGGAATGGTCCTATATAATTGTGCGACGATCATTCAACGAGATGAGACCATGTACGGCGAGTCCAAGGACGAGTTTGCACCGGAGCGCTGGTTGCGAGATGATGAATTGAATATGCACTTGAGTCAAAACAAAGACCATGATCGTTACCGTGAGGCAAGATTTGTCGGACCACCAAGCGCCTGGCGCCCTTTTGAACGAGGTCCACGCAATTGCATTGGGCAAGAACTGGCCATGATAGAGGCTCGTCTGATCCTGGCGTCAGTGGTTCGACGGTATGACTTTGTCAAAGTGGGACTCGGGGAGATCACAATGGATGAAAATGGGCAGCCAGCTCTTAATTCTCATGACCAGTATGAGACCAAATCCAAGCTCTACAATGTAATTACCTCATTTCCTGTACCTCGACCTGCATTCGCATTTTGTTGGCTGACTTCTTGCGTCGAAGACGTTACAGGTAACAGCAAAACCCATCGATGGGATGAAAATGAAAGCGAGGCTAAGCGCAAGAGCGTCTGAGGAATATAGATAAACTGACTGTTTCGACCTCTTTAGTTGTGGGCGAACTTAGAACATTGTGATTTTGATGCAAGTGCATTCCATCAAATGTCGCCCGTGTACCCGATCTGTAACAAAACCCATGACAGCGAATACCTGAGGTCTGCGTCCAAGGTCCGGTAGATGGCCACAATCACTTTGTATCCCCAAGAGGACATCCACCAATGATTGCGTAAGTCGTGCAATAGGACACAGAAGTGAGCGAGAATGATGAGGGCAAAAGCATCCCTCTCTTGGACCAGCTGAAAGAACCGACCAGGAACGTGGAAGACCCACATAAAGACCCCTGATAGTCGATGACTTCCGGGATCGCCTAATTTCCCAAAAGGGTTTACTAGACGATCGATTGATTCTTGGTACACCTGGAATTCATGACTGGGATTCCTGTCGTAAGCCCTCGAATTTAGGTCACTCAGACAGGCAATGGCTGCAAGAGTAGAGCCAGACAACTCAGAGACGGAGTCATCTGTGTGGACGAGCGGACCTAGAACCCCACTCTTGACAGTCTCATAGATACCCACTGAGAAATTCATCATCTTTTTGACGAATACGCAAACCTGGTACAATTCATATATAGTGTCCAAGTCGGAATCTCCAACCACCAATAAGGGGGCAGCGAACGAGAACAGGATCAAGATGAGTGATAGAGAAAATGCTGCGTTGCAATCTGAACGGGTCAAGTCCTCCAGGGTGGGAGCGAAGAGCTGTAATGATTGGCTGTGATAATTCAACGCACTCTGCAGCAGATCTTCACGATCTGTAGGATTTGCTGCGGAGAGGCTGAGGTGAAGAGAGGAAAGTGCAAATATCCCACGCAGTAGGCATGGCTGCGTTAAGGATAGGTTGGGAATCACAACTTGCCAAATCCGCTCCACATCCCTGCTCCGAGATACCGATTGATACACTGCAGTTGTCCAATGTATGAGCAACCTGGAATGTTGGATATTCACCTCCTGTGCTTGATGTTCTCGCTGCAGATTTCCAGCTCGAGGTTGATCCAGGGCATTGTTGTTAAGTCTTCTGTATTCTGGAATGGATGCCTCGCCACGGCTTCCTCGGGTGTCGACCCTCCACTGCCAGGGGCCAGACGAAGCGTAATCACAGGTACTCCGTTGGCGCTCACAATTTTTGCACTTCGGTCGATGCTCATCGCACTGAGTTTGAGTAGCGTTCCGTGTTAAAACTCGAACACTCATGCAGTGAGGAATGGCCACAGCCTACTGTACCTTGACACTCCGGCGTTTACATTGTTGACACCCATGATGGGACCTAGACTGACAATGTCGTCTGGGCATTAGTAGAAGTAAATTATTTCACTCTATGGCGATAATTAACTGGTCTGCCCTCAACTTGTTTCTTAAGAACCCGCGGGAGGTCCCGATAAATAGGACTTAAGTGCCTGTCAGGCGGTGGGGCATTAATTGATTAGATAACCATACGGTCCATACCTTGGCCAGCAGAAAGACGCTTTACATATGAGCGGTTAGCAGAGAGGAAGGAGGAACAAGATGCCATATCCCCGTTCCAAACATTCACATAGTGACCGGGAGCTAGGTGAAATAAGATAGCTATCCAGCACTAGTTATTTGTCCCATGACTATGTAGCTCGCGATGGAAACCTCCGACCTATCAATTGTTTCCAATGATTCCAGGCAAATATGGTCTGAAGAAACACAAATAATTACAAAGCAGCAGGATATGAATAAGGGGCAAGTACTGAAAAAATAAAGCGGTATGCGAGTGACTTCTATTGCATCTTAAGCCATGCTAAATTAGTCGTCTCTTGGAGTAACTAAATTTAGTGTAGATTTTACAAGATTATAGCGTAATTGCGTTTCGCGGTGGGCATTTAAATGGTTGGATCGCCCACAGTTGGTTAGCTTGCCTGCAGATGTATCCACTGTTCCAGCACCTGCATAGCGCGCATACTATGAGTAGGGCACACGTGGATTGGCTGCAACCCAATTGTAATTTACAGACGTACAACTATCTGGACCTTCTTACATTTAGTTTGGTCCCTCTGGGCAGTAAAACTTGAGATACAATCCTATATTGCAACGTGCACTGGTCTTTGTAATCAAGTGTAACTAGCAAAGACTGCGGGTTGGGATAGTATCTGCCATAGGGTCTCAAGGCTGAGAGCTTCGACGGCATGTCTAATTTTCCGTTTCCTTTATCAGTCGTAGTTGAAAATCCACCGTGTCACGAACGATCTCCTCCAATCCCCGTGGCTTCAAACCAAGTCCTTCCTCTGCCTTCGTCGTGTCCACGACCCATCCTTGACCTTCGGTTTCTCCACTGAGCTTCCAGTGTACATCCGGAAATTTCTCCTTAAGTATGGCAACTATGTCGGACCAGCGAGTACCTCCAGGAGAACTGATTAAGCATCTCCCAGCCGGTACGCCGAGACTCAATGCTCTAACATGCGCCTCGGCAACATCTTGGATGTGGACAAGTGTCAAAGCAACGGGATCAGCTGGGGCCGCTCCAGTCATGATTGCACTAAACAACATGCCGCTACTGCCACCTACTTCAGCGGCAGAGGACTGAAGGATGTTCGGTCCACATACTAAAGATGGATGGATAGTTACCATATCAAAGGACGGATGATGAGTGGAAACAAAGGACTCAGCGGCTTGTAGTGCCAACAGCTTGCTGGCCTGATAGAGAACCATTGGGTGAGGGTTGGACGATGGGTCGAAGGCGGGTAGATCGGGCGAGATGGTAGTATCCCAGGCCTCCACGTGCTCGCTAATTGGATGATCTGACGAGGGGCCTCCTAGGGGCATCAAGGCTGCGATAGAAGAGGTGATGACAACCCGTTTAATGCTTGAAACCTTGGCTGCCTCGGAAAGGATAGCCGTGGTTCCGTCAACAGCACCTGGGAAGTAATCGTCCTTGTTTGTTCCGGCAGGAAGAGGAGAGGCAATATGCAAAACATAATCAACTCCATCTAGATGGCCGGAGAAGGAAGATGCTTTGGTAATATCAGGGAGGACGACAAAATCCAGCCGACTAAGATAAGGTGATAGGACGGATTTGATGCGGTCGATCTGGGCTTCTTTCCGGACGCTGAGACGAAGTCGATACCCAGCTTTGAGGGCGACTAGTGCTGTAGCACAACCAACAAACCCAGAGGCTCCGGTAACAAAGATAAGTTTTGCTGGCATAATGGCTGCGATAGAAAAGGCAAGGAACCAGGGTGATGATAACGCGACAACGTTGTATCAGAGATCGAGTGAGGTTAAGACACCCTTGACCAGACGGAGGTTGATGGTTTAAATAGCATGAGATACATGATAATATTCACGCGTCAAGAATTATACTCCATAGATCGGTCATTATCCGTGCCCAGTTACTGATAGTGCCTAGACTATGATGATTAGTGGACTTCCCGAATTTTAGTTTCAAGGTTTTAGTTGTCGCTCTTCAAGGCNGAGGGGGGGGGGGAGGGGGCAGTAAGAACCAAGTGCCTGGCCCACTATTGGCCCCGTTGTCTGGTAAAGCAATGGAGGATCGGCAATGAGTAACGTTTAGTTACCGCACCATGAGCTCATCTGAGGTGTGCTATTTCGAAAGAATACACTGCAACTCGTCTTAGCTTGGGGTTTTTTCCGCCGTCAATCTCGGAAATCATATATCAAATTAGTTTAGTATTAATTCCATTTCTGAACAAGAAGGCTACAAATGTGGGGCGACCTCCCCTTCCACTCTTAGTTTGAGCTTGGATCGGCCACTGCTGCAATTGTTCCTCCGCGCTTCTGAGTGGCAACCGGAGTTAAGAGTACTTACTCACCATGGTTGATTCAAACATAGTACAGCTGACAGAGAATCGTAGCTGAGGCTCTTATGACGGCGTTAAGGGCAGGTATCAGGGCGACCCGAGGATAGCAAACCAGCGAATGATTACAAAGCGCTGAGTTGTAGTGCTACATCATTGCGGATGACCATAGTCTCGGGCTCTTGGAGATGGCAGATTTTGTTGGCCCCATTCATCGAAACCCTACGGCACTGTCAAGCCGCAGTCTTCCGAAAATCCTAGTCTATGCGGCGGGACCGTTCATCGGAGTGTCCATGAAATGGGTTGCTAGGAACATTGACATTCATTTCAAAGTTGATAACAGTAGGAGCGTGAATGAGTTGGGGATTTCTTATCGTTCGACGGAGCAGGTGCTTAGGGACCATTAAGAATCATGGCTTAATAGTAAGGGCAGCAGATTAGGCTGACGTTGGCTGAGTCTAAACGTTCCTTGTTGATTTAGATTTACAATTGTTTCGCGGTAGCCCAATATATGGCTTGTCTGTTTATTTCATTGTTTACTCCGATGTTCTTCACAGAACAATATCCGTGTCATCATCAGCGAGGCAGACGTTCGGCTCTAGGGCAACGCAATTTTCGGCTGTCAATTAAGAAACGTGCTCCCATCTTATCGTGCCCGGATGGAGACGACTAGGAAGGGGAATTGCCTAAACCATGCACTTTTGGGCACGAGAACCAAGAGTTGAGAGAGTATCATAGCCGTTGTTAGGCACCAATCCTTTGCTAAGGCCAAGCAGCAGTTCTCAGCAATTTTTTCTCCTACTGACGGCTGTGTCTCCAATGTGCAGCTTTATCTGAAATACGAAGTTCGTCCCTTAATGGCCAACACATTGTGCGATCCTCTTCGGTGGCCATAGATTATTTTACTGCTTTATAAGGGCGTCGTAAGAGTACTAAACAACGATGTGACAAAGAACAGAATGTGGAAAGCTCGTTCTTCTATTGCTTTGCCTCGAATAGGTAACCTCAAGGTTTGAGGAACAGCCTTGATAGAAGTAGTAACGGCTACCGCGTATATAGGTTGCCACACAACAAACATATTCTTGACAAAGTAAGCTCTAAGAAAGACTATGTTCAGCTTGCAAGAGACCAATCCAAACAGTTTGCCAGCACTTGAGGGCCATAACTACCTACACGGTAGGTTAATTGTAAAAGGTGGGAATAGCCTCCCCAAGAAACTGCTCCCCGTAGCTATCTGACTGGTTATTGGTTGCGGCCAGTGCTCGGGCAATGGTAGTCTGCACAGCCGGGTTAGCCAGACGTTCTAAGAAACTTGCGGCATCCATCAGAAGGCCCTCTAGAGGGGGTCTTGTTGCCCGATTGATAGACTGCTTGGCAGCTCCAAGAGATCCAAGTGGGAATAAGGCCAGGCGCGACACAAGGTTGTCGATATGCGCATACATCTCGGTTGACGTATCGAAAGCTCGGTTAATCCAACCCATTTCCTCCGCATCCTCTGCAGTAACATCTTTCGAGCTCAATATAAACTCCATTGCACGACCGCGTCCAATCAAGCGAGGCAAATATTGACCACCTCCGCCGCCTGGCGTTAGGCCCATTCCCACCTCCGGTTGTCCTAACAGCGTGTGGGCCTTGGTCGCGAATCGTATATCGAGCGAGACAAGGAACTCGTTCCCCGCACCACGTGCTATCCCTTCGACAGCAGCAATTGTAACTTGGGGCAGATTTGTCATGTTGTATAACAGTTCAATCATACGACTTGCAACGGTGGGATCTAATAGATTCAGTCAGAAGTACTTCATAGGAAATGGAGCAAGTGCTTTGCAGGCTCCGACTTAGTTGCACTAACCGAAGGGCTCAATTTGGAGGTCCAAATGATTAAGGAAATATTTAGGAACATCGCTCTTAAAGACCACAGCCTTGGTTTCATTGTCATTCTGGAGTCTGCGCACTATGTCGGTCAGGCCGAATAGAGTATCTCTGTTCCAAAGGTTTGTCGTTGAATGTCTATTATGAAACGTGACTTCCAGGACACCTGGTTTTTGTGAGGTCAGAAGTCCTTCATAGTTGGGTAGCTCGAGGCCCGCAACTAAGGGGGACAACAAGAGAATTGTCAACCAGGAGGGCATCATTCTGTATAGACAATGTGGTGGTAATTTCCAGTTGACAAAAAGGTAATACTTTGCAATTGTGGATGGAGCAAGAGTAAAAGAGTTATGCAGGATTTGGATTCAGGTGCCAGTTACTACATATCATTTATATATAACTAATTCGCATGTTATTTCTTCCTGCTAGACACCACCGATACAGAGTGCAGCATATGCAGCGTAGGGCTTCTTACTGATTTAGCTCCCGAAGTATATTTCCGTGAGAAAGTTCCATTGCGGTGGATCTGCCCATCCTTAGCTTTTGCCTTTCGGGCAGGTTGAGCTTATGATTTGTGATCTGCCCAACACATGGGTCTGATTAATAATTGGTCCGCACCCAGCTAACTAGTTAACTACCAGTTAATTAATCACACTGATTTGGCATACTGGTAAGTGGGATCGGAGATAACGATGTTCGCCGTAAGCAGACAGCTGAGTCTGCCGGATGTAGGGGAATTGTTTTGCTGCCGGCCCCCTAGGCACAAGGCTGTGAGTCTCGAAAGCAGGGATCAGCGTCTGGTACATATCAGCTGTACCATACTGAGAGAGACTTTGCCCAAACAGACACGGAACGATTGCGGAGAGGCACAGAACCATGCAAGTTATCCTTCCCAGGACAAATTAGAGCTTTGATAACATAAGAAAGTCAAACAGAATGAAACTTGACTATCACGCGACGCTATCCCCGTTGGAATGGGTCATTTAGGGCTAGATCCATAGAATCCCGGCGAAGATAACAGTGCTTATTATTTCCTATGTTCCAAGCAACTGAATCAATCCCGCAGACAGCCGGATGGAAGCAACTTTGGCCTCGTCAGTTAAAAAGGCAGGAAATAGCGGATAGATGTTGAGTACAGCCGCACTTACTCAAGTTAGATTCGACTAAATACTTTCTGGTGTTCAATTTCAATGCCCCCACCGTTTCAAACCCTCCGCGTGCTGAGCCCATTCATCGGAGTGCCAGTTTCTTTTTGTTCGACGAAGCAAGTCCTTTGTTACCATTACCCAGCCTGGCTCAATACCAAAGGCAGTAAATGAGGCTAAAGTCTACTTTGAGGTTTGATATCCATCCAGATTTACGAGGCCTTCAATATGTTATACTCTATACATCTGCGTAGATCATCACATAAAGCTTTGAGCCTCAGGAAGTTGCAGGACTATGATCCAGTCAAAAAAATAATACCTGTATCATTATAGATAAGGCAAGAGGGTTAGCTGTAGGATGGGCTAATCTATGCAGGTAGTAATAAAGACCACACTCGTATCCTTTCAGGTTCTGGGGTGGCTTCTCATCTGGTTGGCCGAATCTTGAGAGTATTCTTCCTCAAATGAGTCGGACCATTGCATTGACATTTCTTAAGCAAGACTGCTTCCGTGTCTTTCGTTACGTGAAGGTGTCTTAACACGAATGAGGGGAAAGTCATAACTTGCAAGGCCCAGGTCACCCATGCACAAAATTCTCAATTATAAGGTCAAAAATCGTCAAAATTGGAAAATTTTCCCACCTGCCGATGCCAGGAGACTCGGTCAGCTATCGCTTTGTAAAGACAGGCCTATTACCTCCGCACCTACTTCGTTCGACCGGCGAAGATCCGAACGGAGGCCAGACCAACCTGAAAATGTTCAGCCCCCAAATTTTTCCCTGCAAGGTACTCCGTACTCTGTAGAGTAGCACCGCGGAAAAGAGGATGAGAATAACCGGGAAGAGACGTATTGGCGAATGAATGCCTAGTAAAGCTGGCGTTTGGACGGGAGCGGAGAAGACGATGATGGAAAAAGTGATCAGTGCGAATCAGAAATGCAAAGTGTAGACCTCATAGACAGAGACTCCCACCAAGCCAAATTGGGAAAGCTTCATGCCCAGTTTTTCTGGAATCAAAAGTACATATTGTGCAGGTTCAAGATACACGAAGAAGGCCTGCCAGTGTATGAGCTGGACAAGACTGGACCGTCACATCATGAACTGGACTCAAGTGTCATATTATAGAGCAGCATAGGAGCATACGCATAACATATACGAGTATACACCGTCATCAGACGATATTCGGACGAGCCCGCTCGCACCTGTTAAGAATCAAGCAGATGTATCGTCCGATCAAATTCTCCTGCCGGTCTCTCGAGCGCCCACTGCCGAATAGCCTCAAAGTCCCGACAAGTGTGCATATTGTCCGCCCTCACAGTGACCATCTGTTTTTCTTCATTCCACTCCCACACATCGACGGTGATATCGGCTGAACACATGAGACTTTGACGTATCATTTCAATACAGTGGTCTAGGTGATGCATAGCCTCCTCGTCATTGGTGTCATGCATATCGACCCCCCAGAGTACTTTACGGAGCATATCCTGCGCATGTCAGATTAATCCACTAAGATCGAGAAAGGAAGAACTACCAAACAATGCAACTGATGAAATACATCAAGTCCAATCAGATAGTATCCTGAACTGTACCCCGAATCCCCAGGAATCGGGACAGTCTCATTAACCAATTTCGCTGCGTCGCTCGCAGGAATCTTGACCATCGCCGGCGCTGAAGGCTCAGCATAAGCCCAGCATTGCGTTTGGGGAATCACATACAAACATGGAGATTATCCCACGCTTTATTGTTCTCTTCCGATGGTGGGCCCATGTAGATGGACATTTGATCTCCCCAGCCGGAGTTGAAGACGACGTTCTTGTATCTGATGACGTCTTGAGCTGGAGCTAGGGCTCATTAGCTGTGAACTTGTAGAGCGCTGAGCTGCTTACAGTAAACCATATCAGGTATTCCTAGTCCAGGACCCATCCACACTGCAATACCAGCTCCAATTGCGAAGACTAATAGGGAGACTATAATGATATATTGAATGATGATGATTTTCCGGAGCTGGTGATACTCTCTGGCACCGAATGTTACTGATTCATGCAGGTATTCGGATTGCTTATCATTCATGAGTGCCTCCCTATCATTGGCATCGCTATGGATGGAATCCCGATAGTTCTTCAGAAACATTTGGATAATTAGCTAATCCCGTGAAGCAACTTAGGATGAAACGATGGAGTGTGAGTGCGACACCCTGGGCGTTCGGCACAATATATCTATCTGCCACATAGTTTTAACCACTACAATGGAAGAGAAACTTATGATTCTGGACTTCGAACCAGCCATAAAAGGCCATCAATAGGAATTCAATATGATTGGCTTTGTGCTGTGTCTTGGCAGAAGCGTTGTCGAGGACATTTCTTTGTTCTCGGTAGCGGAGGGTGTCTTTTCTTCCCAAGGTCATGTGCCGGCCATTCCATGGTATGACGATGGGCGGACATACTGCTTTCGCGATGAGTGATAATAGACGGACTTCAAGTGATGATATTAAAGTATTTGGTACGGAGAATTATTAGGAAGTAAATAAGCCCCGTTGACAAAGACTAAGTGCACAAACCCTGGCGTTGATCACCATGTCAACACCCACTCCATTTATCTATCGCAGTGTTTGAATAACCTTGCAATTGGTTTCCATTCTCCACACTCCTCTATCACTAAAACCGCATTATTAGGTATACTACTTCATCTGAGTTCTCTAGCAAATCTTGTTTCTGATGCGTAGGTGGGTCTAGATAGGAAAGAGCCTTCCTGTATGTGTGGATTGCTACTAACGCGTACGCATAATATGTTCTGTTCTTCAGAGAAGCAATCAACTGGACTTGATGATACTCCCTCTTGTAGTATTAGTAGAGACTTTCTCAGCTAACAAAGGTGTTGCATCTGTTCCATTGTGTCAATTCACATCAACAAACAAGATGGTCCGGTACATTCTCAAAGAATATACCTTTGACATTCAAGTATGCTGAAGAGATAGCATGTGAGACATTTCCATGAGTCAAGTCTCTTCCCAATCTCAATGTAAAAGACACTTTTGGCTTTTTGCCAGGCGCTCGCCGCTTCTCTTTCCAACACAAAATCTGCCATGCGAGCGAAGGAGAAGATCCTTGTATTATCCCATTCATCGGCATATGGACGTCCCTTCCACTGCACAGCAAGGTTGGTTTTGCCGTACTTTTTCCGATAACCCTCAATCAGATCTGGAACCATACAAAATTCCTTTGGGCTGTACCTGGCGCCTGCCCGGTCATACTCCCATTCGTTAAGGGGGGTTTCCCTAGGGCGGAAAGGGTTGAACAAGGGCAGCGGATCATACTCTTGCAATTCAACCTCTGGATACAACAGGCGAGATACCAGTTAGTCTTGCAAGTTACGCAAAAAAACATCGTCACAGTAAGAGGGCTGTCGGACCAGCTCAACTTTCAGAAAACTCCCTCAATACTCGGACTGATGACTTCAAACAAGTCGGACGTAATCTCATCCATCCATGTACAACGGGATGCGCGAACCTCTCTCCCGGTTCTCCTGTTCAGGCGGTAGGGTGCCATTGGGGTGACTATTTGCTGTCCTTCGTGGAATCTCAGGTCAATAGACTCGTATATGATCACGAGACGTCTGAGCTGACATATGTTGCGTCTTCCAATGGTCTCCAGCCATCCAGATAACATATCCCAGTCAGCCTCACCATGCCTGATGCCGAGTCGGAATGTGTTTTCCCCGAAGAATACTCTAATTGCTTCGTGGTAGATGCTGCTGAAGCAAAGAAACAAGGGTAGTACTGAGCAAGGGAGATTTACTGCTGCAAAGGTGGATAATGCGCGTCCCCACAGATGCCGTAAGCCTCTGACCTTGCGTTTCTGAACGGGATCAAAAATCACTTCCTCTCAATCTTCCCAGTTCCGTGGATCTGTATCTTTGGGGTCAGAAACATATCTCTCACTGACGGCGATATAGCGTCCTGTCGGGATAAGTAAGTATCGGTAGATTTGGAGGCGGATCTCCGGGGGAAGAAACAGGAAACTCTTGGACTTATTGGCTGACTCCATTTTGCTGGATGAAGGGGAGTATGTTTCAGCAGTGTTGATGCGAAACATGTTTCTGGAAATATGTAGAGATATCACGACCTCTTGTCCTCAGGCAGCAATGACATCCAATTGTGTAATTCTGATCGCGACACTTTCTCCCAAGGGGCAGCAAAGTTCGAACCACGGCGTACCAGACTTTGTCCCCTACCCTTGGCTTCTAGCATGACTTGTTATATTATGGAAGAACGCTATATTCATTTTCCTCTCCCCTTGAGCTCATTGCGTCTCATCTACAGCCAGAGGAAAACTTTTCCAAACGTCCCAATACCTAATATTAGTGAAGTTTCTATCTTGTGTGATAGGCCAAATCCGCAAAAACACCTTAGTAACCCAAGGATACACATTATCATTATAGGAAAACTGGAAACGGGAATTCAGAGACATTCGCGCTTCGAACCTGTCCCGGTGCTCGTAGCGGATATCGCGATGGATGGTCCACTCCGAAGCGAAGAACCTCACAAGATAAGAGAACCAGCATTGCGGACGGTAGCGCGGGACAGCCTGCCCTTGTATTGATAAGGTCAGCCGCTCGAGGGCTGGTGCGTCGTGGGATTTTGCAGTCGAAATGACCTCGAAGATCGAGGACGCAAGAGGTTCGTCAATGAGGGTATTGACCAGAAGGTTCCGGATGTGTCCGTTGCGGCTCTGGTTGATACCTCCAAGATCTTCCTTGGTGTATTGATTGTCAAAGTCGTCCCAGTCCGGGTCAATGGAAGCCTCCTGGTACAAGGTCGGATCAGAGACGTCCAATGTCAGGTCGAGGAACTTCAGGTTTCTGATTGTGCCCAACGCCTTGTAGAGAGCCACTTCCCGGGCGTCTCCTTGGGTACGGCGGATAGGGATGCTCATCTTCTCCAGTAGAGGGCAATATCTGCCGAGCTGGAGGATATCGTGCTCGCTGAAACATTGCCAGGGCAGACCGGCCACAGACAGCTTGCGTAAACGAGGTCCGTGATGCTTCGCTAACGCCCCTATGGACAGCTGTGAGTGCCATGCAATCAGGTAGATCTCTGATAGTGACGGCAGGCTCTGGAGAAATCTTGTTGCTTGCGGGTAAAATTCAGGTGCTTGTTCTACTCCACCCTCTTTAGTACCAAGGAACAAGCGCAACGTTCGAAGGGCCGGGAAATGAAGATGGTCTGACCAGGCTGCGAGAGCTTCTCCCTGGATGGATGACCCCAGGTCAAGAATCTGCACGGTGGAGAAATCAATGTACGGAGCCCATTCCTCCAGTGCAGCAGCAAGCATGGGGTAGTAGGAGTGTTTGACTCGAAGACATTCTATTGCGGCTGGATGTTCGTCGCCTGGGTTTCGTGTCAATTTGGTCATTCCGGCTCCTGACGCATTATAGGAACCATCGTCTGCCCTTGGATATATCACTTTCAAGTTGGGGGCGAGGCCCAGGATTCGCACGAAGCTTTGCTTCTGCCAAATACCTTCTGGTCTCGATGTGACATAGTAGGGAGTGATACTATGCAGAGACGGCGAGGTGACTAGGCAATATTCATGTTCCTCAGCGGTAGGCTTCCATATACTCCGCAGCACGAATGAATGCAAATGCAGTCTGCACTCAGGTCGGTATTGATGCAGTGCCTGAAGCAGGCAAGGGGGAAACTGTTCGTAGTGCAAATGATGAAGGTTGTCAAGGGCAGGGAGTCTCTTAATCAACTCCGCGACACTTCCCCAACATTCATAGTCAATGTCTCTGTCGCGACAACATACGTCCAATCCTGTGCCGTCGAGCTCCTCTTCAAAATCATACGCATCTCGCGGATCGCGATTTAACGGTGAGAAACGTGAGACTGGGGCTGGAAACCACTCGTCATCATAGTCCACTTCAGGGGGATCTTGCGCGAGAAAGCCCTCAATGATCAGCCGCCTGACATAAGGAAAGGCATCAGCCTTTTGCAACTTCGCGCAGACCGTTGCGACTTGATGGTCAATGCGTTCACGGTGACAAAATTGCAAGCGGATTGTATGGAAGACGAGTGACTTTGCTACTGACAGAGCTAAGGCGAAGCATCGCTTGTTGACTCGCAGCAGGCGAAAGACACTGAGAGGATGGACGTCAGCAACGAAGCGAACAACCAAGGAAATGATCTCTGGAGGAAGGGCCTGAAAAGACATTGTGCCATTTCGGAGGAAAAGGGGCATGAGAAGAGCAGAGCTGCCCTCGTGTTCAGCCGAGGGGCCCGAGATAAATAACCGACCCCACCAAGAACGAGAATAATAATGACTCACCGATTTTGCAACTTCACCCACTGATTGCCATCCGAGTATAAGGTCCCCCATTTTCTCATCATCAACTCAGCCATGGGATCACAGCCTCATATTCTGCTGCTTGGGGTCGGCAGCGTTGGCGCCATTCATTTACTGCAACTGCAGCGTGCGGGATGCACCGTGACGGCCGTGTGTCGGTCAAACTACGCCGTCGTCAAGGAGAAGGGATTTACAATGAGAAGCGTCCGATTCGGCAATGTCACATATCGGCCAGATTATATCGTTCGCACTATCGCTGAATGCCCAAAAGATACTGTATATGATTACGTCCTGGTGACCACGAAATGCTTCCCCGGCAGTAAGCCGTCAGTAGCAGATCTAATCAGACCGGCCCTTATCGGCCGTCCAGAGACTGCCATAGTCCTAGCACAGAATGGCATAGAGATTGAGAAGGATATAGCAGACGAATTCCCGGAAAATCCTATCCTCAGTGGTGTCGTCTACCTCCCAACCACCCAAACTAGCCCCGGCGTCATCGACTACCCAGAAATGCTGAACATGCTCGAACTGGGAACTTATCCCGCCAATGCACCCGCTACACATAAAGCAGCGGCCAGCAAGCTCGTTGCCCTCATGAATCAAGGCGGCGGCGAGGCGAAACTTCACGACGACATCCAAATCGCACGGTGGACCAAGCTGCTCATTAACGCGTCGTGGAATCCTATCTGCGCGCTGAGCATGTGCTCGGACGGTGACTTCCTCCTCAGTTCCGAGCCATTCGCAAATGAACTTGTCTGGGGGATTATGATGGAGATCGTGGCACTGGCGAAGAAGGTGGGTATCCCAGGGGTGGATGAGGAGGCGGCGAGAGTTCGGCTTCAAATAGCAACTCGTCGGGCGGAAGCAGGAACAGGCCGCGATCCAAGTATGCTGCAGGATGTCAAGCAGGGCCGATTATTTGAAGTCGAAGCGATTGTCGGGAACACGGTGAGACTGGCTCGGAAACATGCAGTGAGCATGCCTCGGTTGGAAACAGTGTATGCACTGGCGAAGGGAAGATATGAAGCCTTAGCGCGGAATCAATCGCACTGATGTATTTAGACCCTATCAATATTAGCGATCAGATAAGATGATAGATTAGCGCTATGCTTAGCATTCGCTCTCTGCTATAAATCATCACTTTCAACTTTCTTTCGCTAACTCCCATATCTACCATCTCCCTCACTCTCCCATTCTTTACAACAAATCTTTTTCTGTCTGCGCTTATTTCTTGATTGAATTCAGTTAAAATTATCTAGCTTGCTTAGCGGTCTCTTGGGCTGTTTACTTTTTACAGGAATGTGATTACTTTCCGTTGGTTCTCTCACTATGGTGTGTCTGGATTGCTCCAGCAGCCTGAGATTTACCCGGCTACAGCTCACATTCAATGCTAGTTCTGAGTTCTGAGGTCTCTGGATTACGTGTATTGTCCTAGCAACTATGGTTGGCTAACACAAAATGACGACATTTCTTGTGATTCTTATCCGCTATTTCGTCCGCGGCTTGACCAGTTTGTTTGATTCTTTACTGGCGTTTGGAATAACGTTGAAGTTCTCGTCGTACCATCTGTTTCCTCTTACTTTTGGCTGCTAGCGCGCGTATCTAAATGTATGTTTTCACCTATCCGAGCCTGATGGAGACCGATACCTGGAAATCTCACCCTTTCAGCCTCGAGTTAAAAATTAGCTCTGTCAATAATGTTCGGTAGATGACGAGCGACTCGACACGTCGCTGTGCACCATCGACGGCGTTGGGTATGATCATAAGTTCGACGATAACCTTGAGGACACGGCGCAACTCTGGGACCTATATTTCATAGATGAAGAACACTTCCGTGCTATGAGCGATGACGTGTCCTCTGACTTCGTTGAGACTACGGGCATCATCCGCGAAAGAGTTAAAAGTAACGTCGGCTCTGACACCATGAGGGCAGCCGGAGAAAGTTGCCAATCCTTCTTAATTACTCAGGGGAGGGGAAGGCCAGGACACATTTCCTGGGGGTGACGGCCTAGGCCTCGTCACGGCCACCGATGATGAGTCAGAGTCTGCCTTGGGTATCACTGCGACATGGACAAGGAGGCAGCAGATTAGGGACAGAGACTGGACATGGGCAGGGGTAAAGGCTGCGGAGTATGAAAGTGATGCCAGTCGCATGGGATGGACCGTATGCACCTCGTCCTCAGCACAGGCCATCCAACAGTTATGCTTGAAGTGGGCGATTCGTAGTCGGCACGGCGGCTGGCAATCTGAGAGGATGGCTGACATCTGGGTTGACCATCAAAACATGCATAGTGGCCATTTAGCAAAGCAAACACTTCACTATTATTGTTTGGAGGGTCCGCAGAAGGGATGATGCGGTTTCCATTACAAACCTCCCCTCCCCCGCCGTTCGGGTGCACGTTGAGCACGTTGAGATTCTCAATGGAGATGTGGGACCCGAGATTACATGTTTGGAGGATAGATCAAAACCCAGATGTCGCCCCTACGAACGAGATTTAATTGGATTTCGCGATGCTTGTTGGGCGCTGCGCTACTACCGATCTAGAAAACATGTCGCCATATGTAGGAATCTTCTGATGGCATTCGCCAACAGATTCTGGATGCCTTGATGGCCTGCGTCTGCAAGGCTGATAGTCGCTTGGCTTTTAACAATTTGCCTGTGTCGGAGAAGGTGTTAGACGGTGCTTTTGTGAACGAGAGGCGAGCCGCTCCTTGGTTGGTGGCGTTTAGCTTGGCAGCAGGAGAGCCACTGCTCATCGCAGATCGATAAGGCATAGGGGAGTTTCACTTGAAAGGTGCCCTCGTACGTCGTGTGCCGAAAACGAAGCCGGTTAACATTACGGCGCCTGAATGTGGATTCTCCACGGCAAAATAATTGAACCAGAAGACGTCGGGAGTTCTGGGAATGCGCTCTCTTATTAGGTCTTGGGACTGGAGCGGTTGGCGAAATTTTCCTCTGGCTGTGAATGAAGGCACAACGGGACCACGGTTTGAGGTAAATGTATAGAAGTTTTACCTGGAGTGTATTTGGAACAGTAGTAGACAGTGGAAGGGATCTAAGGATTATGCCCTGAATCGGATCCAATTTTCACCAGTCACTCTTTGACAGGGGAAAGTGATATACCTGCATCTCAAGGTCTTCAGGAAGTGGGGTGTAGATTCGGACTCCTCTCGCGATAGGTAATCCGACGAAGAATGTCTTTTCCATAACGTATGCCAATCCACAATGCTACACTGCGACACTCTTCCGCATCACACATCTCCTGGCTCTATCGTGGCCACACCGCGCCTGCTCCTCCAACTCCCGTCCATGTCCCTCACCAGCGATGTCCACATCAACCTCCTCGAACCCCATCCTCGCATAGAACCGTCCATTAAACTCCAAATCCCGATACGTCGTGAGAGAAACATACTCATATCCCCTGTCTCTCGCCTGCCTTTCCGCCTCCTCAAGCATCATCCGCGCAACACCCCTCCTCTGCCAGTTTGCATGAACATCCATCTCAGCGATGTACAACATTCCGTCTAGCTCCTGCACGGCAATGAAACCAACTTCTGTGTTGTCTGCTGTGACTGCTACCCATACGTTCTGCTGTATGATCATTGAGCGCAGGGTTGCCGGATCCAAGGGCGGAGAGTCGGCGACCCAGGCGAGATTGACAGTACAGAAAAGCTGTGCGGCGGAAGTTTCGATGGTGTTTAACCTTGGGATGTCTTCTTCAATGGCGGGTCGGATTGAAATTTTGACTTTTTGGAAGGGAGTAGTGGACATTGTGATTCGGGGTGGTTTTTGGTTGAAGAGATACAGCAAGGTTGTGAGGTGATTGTTCAGTATTGCGGGGAACGGCAATAAATGAAATGATAGGGCTGTTATATAGATTCAAGTACCCACTGTTAGCTGATCGTAGGCAACGCTACAAAAATGACCAATCAAATACGAGCGTTCCACCAATTTTAGACAGTTTGAGTCATACTTCAAGACTATTAACTAGACCACGAATCGCGATTCCCAATCTAGCCCTTAGAGCACTATACAAAAGGTGGTAGGTCTTGATAGTCGAAGACCGGCCGGGTCACCTACACTTCTCAGCTTCTAAAGTGCGTCTTTGTGATTCCCGGCAGAACATACTCCAGTGCTGCCCGGCAAGCATCCTTATATTGAGGCACACATCCCAGATACAACACCTATTGGCCAATCATGTGGACGATGTGTGATAGGGCCATGTTCTGCTGACTTTCCCGACTTCAAAGTTTTGAAGCTCGGCTCGACCTCATCCTGCAGGTTGCGCAGAGTACAGGTACCAGAGTAACCTGCTCCGGTGATGGCGCCATCGGGTTGTCAGCTATGCAACCCACTTCCAACAGCAGAGTCTCAGTAGATTATGCTGTCAGATTTGGACTGGCCCACAATAGAGATTCTCCAGTTGGGCAGTGAGAGTATTCAACCATCAGATTGAGGTAGACTTGTCCTTACCTATAAAGAATCTCCAGTGCGTTATTCAGCCCTGTCGGTCATGTGCAGCAAGTTTTTGTCAGGCCAGGACACCGGATATCCTCTGCTACAGACATAGCCCATTTTTGAGTGGCGAAATTATGTCTAGGTCACCCAATCCGTGTAAACCGGCCTATAATGACAGGGGTAAAGGGCAAGGTTGCGTAACCAACCAATGCACGGGTAGGAGGCGATCGTTACGGTATAATAACCCGCCGAGGGCGTACGGTGAAGTGACATGGGTTGGTAATATCATTCATACCCTGTCTCTTTTGCTTGAAATTGAGGAACGTTCAGAATCCCCTTTGCTCATGCAATTCTTGCCTACGACGCAGAAATTCAACTCAATGACTGGGGACTAAACGATATGTTTCTCTGGTGGGAAAAGTGCAGGGATATGTATGCAGCCAGCACTTGACCTCTCGAAGCGCCAGATCGGCGTGCCGATACAAGCTGGCATTGGCTCACTGTATCTAAGCGCCCATTAACGGACCTCCTCAGCATCCGCCACTTTCAGCTATTCTCGAAGCCTTGCCCACCACAAATTTGCTTCGTCTTGTTCATTTGATAGCATCTTCCAGGACGCAGCCTACATCTCATATAAACGACCAGCGCATTCAGTGGACGGTCAGCGATATATTCCCTATCTCGCTCGAGTTACCGACCACCGTCCAAGTCTCGCTTTGCTATTTTTTAGCTCTTTGAAATCAACTGTTGTCACGTATTTCCCCGCCCCACCGGCTGCTTCAAGGAAATGCTGAAGCGCTTTTCTCACAATGATTACACCGTCGCATGGATCTGCGCTCTGGCCGTGGAAATGCGGACCGCGGTAGCCTTGCTTGACGAGGAGCACGAGAGCTTACCGCAGCCAGATACTGACCAAAATGTTTACGTGCTTGGGGAGATCTCCGGTCACAGGGTAGTTATCGCAACTCTGCCTGCTAGAGTTTATGGAACTACCTCAGTAGCCACCATGGCCGTGCGACTGAATTATTCGTTCCCCAAGATTCAGGTTGCTCTACTGGTAGGAATTGGAGGTGGCGCGCCCAGTGAAGCAGTCGATATTCGATTAGGAGACGTTGTGGTTGGGGTCTCTGAATATGGAAACAGTGCCATATTGCAATACTATCCGACCAGGCGACCTATGGGTTTTATAACCGCCCAACCGTCCGTAAGCGTCCTCAACGCGGTGCGCTCCCTTCAATACTACACTTTAACTCGTGGCAACCCACTTCCCAAGACTTTGAGCAACGTGTTGAAGAGACATCCGCGGTTGATTGATATCTTTTCCTATCCAGGAAGTGAGAAAGACCTGCTTTTCGCTGCCTCATATGAACATGTGGATGGTTCATTAGATTGTTCTAATTGTCGTCCCGACAAACTAATTAGTCGACCCCCAAGAGCTCCTCCTTGGCCGCAAGTACATTATGGACCCATTGCGTCAGGAAGGAGCATCATGAAAAATGGCCTACGTCGAGACCAAATCGCACAAGAGTACCGAGTACTTTGCTTTGAGACGGAAGCAGCAGACTTGAACAAGAGATTTCCTTGCTTGGTCATTCGCGGTATATGTGACTATGCAGACTCACATAGGAATAAAGACTTCCAGGAATATGCGGCAGCAACAGCAGCTTGTTATGCAAAAGAGGTCATCTCCCGTCTTCCTCGGGATGGGATGCAAAGCACCATCGCGCATGGACTAGGCGAACCTACGAAGTCTCACGCAACTGAGGTCAGGCAAGATCGTGCAGCGGCAACGAAACAACATCCTGACAACAAGAAAGAACATACAGTGGTAGACGCGCTTACTAATTCCTCAGCTAAATACCAGGGCATTCTTAATATCCAACAAGCCGAAGTTGCACTTGAAAGGCTTGTCCAACGAAAGGGGCTGGGATCAGGTTGGCGGGAATCAATGGTTGACCTTCTCAACTTACTTGGCCTGGACAGCAGGCTTCAAACCCGCTATCTGCTAGCAAACCTTTTAAACGTTCATACTGGCTCACCAAATTCGGCCGTGCAAAACACCTCACTTCACCAGGCAGTTCTTCAAGAGTTAGCACGGAATGGTGGTGAGCTTCCGGCGAACATGAGAAATCAGTTAGTCAGTGCCAAATTTCGCGCGACCAAGCAAGCATCGATCAGCGACGAAAGCGACGTTGAAAGCATTTTTTCAGATGATTCAATAGCCTCTTCACAGTCCTCGTCAAGTCTGACCGCAAATCCTGCGTTGGAGATAGCAGACCTGCTCTTGAAAAATGAAGCTTTGACTCCCCTCTTTGAGATCGCGTTTGCCAAGTACGATATTAGCAGATTGAGAAAAAAACTGAAACGCTTAATTTCTGATTACGGGAGTGATTTGGAATCGGAGGCTTCCAGTGACGTCCAAACTGAAGTCGCAAAGTTTGTTCAAGGAGCGGCACGACGAGTCACAATAGAGCTTACCAGGGCAATGATGCCAGAAATAAAGTATGACTTCATCTCAAATCGCAGGGGAATCAACAAGCTTCTTGAGGCTTTGCCAGCCAATCAACAGACACCGACGAATCCGGTCGAAAAGACGTCTGATCACTCCCAAGAGCCATTAGCTGATAGCGATTCCGATCAATCGGAGCCTGAGAGTGACGTTGCTCTGCAGACTCTCGAGGAGGTTGAACACTTTATGGTTGTATCCAGGGCATTCAACACTCTGGTAGGCAAATTGCGTAAATGGCTTGGGGTATTGGACCAAGACCTTGATGAATCAGCGCCAAATAGACTTTCAGAGACGAGCCATGCCATGCTCGGTGAGATGGACGACAATAACAACACAGACCGGACAGGTACGCCTTCATTGCCCGAAACATCTCAGCAGCAACTCGAGGTTGGTGCAAACCAGACCACGTCTCAAATGACGGCGCCAATCCTTGTGCGCCCACTTGTATCAGCACTTGCCTTGTTGGAACCCATGTTTTGGCCGAAGCCTCCAGAAGGGTTCAAACGCATAACATGGAGGAGTCCTCTTGGAAAACCTCTCTACATTGATGTCAGAGAGCGCGTAGATGGTGCAGCAGAGCGACTGCAAGAAAAATTCAGAGCATCTGCTCAAAAGACCTCCGCTACTTCTTCTTCGCCTTCCTCATATTCTTCTTCTCCAGGGCCGTCTTCTAGGAGCACATTCGTTACGACGCCAAGCGCGCCTCCGCCTGCCCATATTGTGGGCAGTCCCTCTAACCAGCCCCCTAGGAGGGAACATGATGCGCCTGGTCGGACTGTGTCAGCAATAATACCAGACCATGTCCGCCAGATGGACCGGAAATATCTTCTTGTTTGTTTCAGCACACATAAATCCGAGATTCTCAAGGGAATCGATGTGACGTTCTTCGCGACGGATCAAAGTCTCTTTGATAATCTTCGCCTCAATTACCATGCTATTAAGACCGAAGAATCATGGGTTTCCAATGTACCATTCCTAAGATCAGTGGAGATGCCGTCTTGGCTCTCCTGGTGTTTGGGTGACTTGCACCTCTTTAAGCCGGAGAAGATTAACTTTGTATCTGTAAGTTATCAAGCATCTGTCAAACAGCAGTTCCTTATATCTTAAGCCACTGACAGATCGTTCTCTTGCAGTTCAAATTAATGCCTCTTGGTGAAGTCCCCACGCCCTTTATATACGGGCCCCGTCCCTTCCCCCCGAGCAGGAAGTACGCATGAAGAAGTGGCACTACTCCCCATGTCCCATCGAGGTCGAGGAGTGGGCTATAAGTAAAGCTTTTGCGACCAAGCTCCTCGAACCAGGGCATGCCTTCCGAGATGCCGAATGGTTGGAACTCTTTCCGAAGAAGTTACGCTTGTCTTTTACCAACGAGCCTGGTAACAAGACTGTCTTATGGGGAATTAATATTATTGAAGGCCTGGACAAAGCGGCTGTTGCATGGCTAGCCCTATTAGTGATGATCCTGAGCGCAGCATTAGGGCTTATCTACTCGCTTGCTTCGCATGACGTTCCCGCGGCTTTCACGTTAGCGGCATGGTTTGCGACTTTTGCTTCTCTTTCCATTACATATTTTCAATTTAGCAGGTAATTGGGGAATTCTATGCATCCGAGGTTCTTTTCAAATATTGTGTAGTCAGCAGCTTTTATAAATCTTTGACGCCATACCCCTCCGAACATGGTATTGTACTACAGCACTGTGTGATTAAGCAATTTCATTTCATTTTGTTTTATCGAGCAAAGATTAGTATATTAAAACACCTTCGAGAAGAGCTAAGCGATAGATTGCTGTGTGTCCCACATTCATAAATAGGTCGTTTGTCTCGTAAAACATCAACCCCATCACGCCCACGAAAGCCGCTGAATATCCTCTGGAATCTGCCATCCATGCGCCAGGCATGCCCTCTTGTACGCTTCAACTGCCTCGCCAACAGAGTAGTCCCTGCGAGACCGGTTCAGCGCCAGACGCGCAGGACGGGGTTCAGTGTTAGTGATTGCCATTCGGACCTGCAGCAACACGCTCTCGATGGATGCCGTCGGGAGCCAGCCTGAATTGGTCAAGAGTTCCATACACATGGCCCCGCCGGCTGTGACGTGCCCGCCACCACCATTGGCAAATTCCAGGAACCGCGGCCGGATCACGCGGACAAATGGAGGAGACATAGGGAAGCCGGGGGGGAAGCGAAGTTCGAGCACGACGCTTTTCATATTCGCTTGCTTGAGGTCTTTTGCGAGCGGGAGTTTAGGGTCGAAGCTGTGCAGCTCCACGATCCACTGGTATACTGTGGTTATAAAGTCTGGGTCAATGTACCAGCCCAGGTCGTGAAGGGGCTCTCGAGCCTGGACTTTGAGAGTCGCTCGGAGATGTTGTTGTAGGACTGTGGTCGCTGGTGTGGTTGCATATTGGGGAGGAGTGAGCAAGGGGAGCGATTCCTTTCTAAGAGTTCCGGGTTCGAAGTCACTTTTCACATTGTTCTTGGACGGCTTGACTGTCGAGAGCTCCTCTGTCTCGCCCTCGTCTTCTGAGAGAAGGATCTGAAGATCGTCGAATGCCGTCGCCACACTAACAACGTCATCTTCCTCCAACACTAGGTTGTTTTTCGAGGCGTCAGGGGTAGGTATCTTATCGACATCCCGCTTTCGCTTCTTTTTTCCAGGAGATGGGGATATGGCAATGTCAGAATCGGTTCGGCCAGTAACCCCCAAGCTATGTCTTCGCTGGCTGTTGAGAGCAGAGATCGGAATGTAGATTGGAGTTCCATTTGGCCCCAGGGCTGGATACTGCGGATCCTGTTTGTACATGGCTGGTGGTTTCGCATTTGCCGTACCATCGCCCGGCCCTGCACCTTGGCATTTGACGAAGAGATATCTCGACTGTATCCAGTCCAGCTGCGTAATTACGTAATGTGGATTTGTGTGTTTGAACTGAGTTGGCGCGTTGACCAGCTCGTTTAGTGAGACCAGCATCTTAATCTTCAAATTGCTCTGAGGCCAGGAGTAGTCGAGTCCTTCGGGCGCGTAACCCACGGATGTATGGAACTTATTGGACAGGTAAACCCCATCCCCAAAGGCGCGTCCATTTGTAATCTCCTTGAAGTGCAGGCCTTCTCTGAGAATACTGTGCCAGTTGTACACTGGACTCCCGTGCCAGGCAAAGATGGTCGGGTAATCTGTGTTGGTAATGGCAGCGTTGGCGGCCACGGCGGCTCTGAAGCGCTGCTCTTTGTCTGGGGCCCCTTGCACAAGCCGAAACTGCTTGTATGACTCCATTCCAGTCACTCGATAATCGGAATGCCCAGTGGTATCGTCCTCCATGATAAAGGAGCGGTTTGACGCGACGACCCAACGCAGCACATCAAGTGCTGCCGGGGAAATGACGTCCCTCCAAGCAGCCAGCTTTTTGTTATCGGAGTCCGCAAGGAAGGCTCTCATCTTAACGACATTAGGGAGGGTATCGAGGAGCAGTCTGACCGCAGCTCTTTTATCGTTGGCGTCAAGGTCGTCGAAATTCCTCTCATAAACTATGAATTTGACATGTGACGGGCCAGGCAGAAGTTTGGATGCTGAGAGCTGCTGCCCCTTCACGACCGGAGAGGAGAGCTGTACGAGCTGTACCCCACAAGTACCTACATGAATGTCCTGTACTCGACAATGCCAGGGCCCGTCCTTCAGATCCGTCCCAGTCTGAAAAATGACCACCCAGTCTCCGAGTTTCAGATGCGCGTGCTTATCCAAGCGGCAGGCCATTGTTGCAGGGACCAGGTTGCCACTGTAGCAGGTTGGAACCTGAGAAGAATTACTCTCCTTTCCCTTTGTCAGATGATGTTCGATCTCATCAAGCCTATTCATATTTAGGACTCCTGGGACCCTGAGACCTAGGCCTGTGGGAAGATCCGTGAGCCGACCGGATACTGCCCGAGCATATGTCAAACTGATGAGCAAATCTACAACGCTAGGTTGGAATTGGATCTCATGTTCCAAGCTAAGCCCCATGCCGAGCGTCATGTATTGGAACAAACACAAACCGTTAGAGCAAACGTACGGCTTGATTGCTTCAAAACTGTCGCGGATTTTGCAATGACAAACCAGGCAGAATTCCGTGCACTTGACAAAGTGGCGAAGAGTGAACTGCATCGCTATCAACGGTAGGGACAGTTTATCAAGTCCAAGGTCTTGACCTATCTGGTCATCCTGGAACAGGGCCGTTGCGGAGACACTCCAGGTGTCTGGCTCAAAATAGGCTTCACCTAGAGCGCCATCCTCCGGCTTCCTGCCCTGATTTTGTTGAATGTAAAGCTCAGCACCAGTCCATGACAGGCCTAAATGATATCGCAGTTCCATAATCCGAAGGAATCTCTCGTTCAAAAGCGAATCCAGCGGTTGTTCGATGAACAGTGATCTCAAACGGGCGGTCCCTGAGAGGCCTTCTTCAGGCAGTGAAAGATCCCCTTGAAAGGCTCGGATGGCGTCTTCGGCAGTTGGCTTGTAAGAGTCACATAGTCCGATGTGGAACTGGATTGCTGAGTACTTTGAATTTCCGAGCGCCAGCAGTTTCTGAAAATGCACATAGGTCCCTGGATAACGAATGAGCACAACCAGGTATTCCGAAGCCCAAACATTCCATGCTCTCATGGCCTCCTCAGATATGCCTAGTCGCCCGATGCGACAGGAGACTGATACGATAATAGCTCCTGTCAGTGTTCCCAGATAGCCCACTTTAAGACCCGCATTCTTCACGGCGCGAAGGTCGCAGCGCAGTGTTTTCAATAGATCCTTTTCGTCTGTCTCCGAAATGGCAGATGCGGGTTCATTTTCCATATCCCAGTCGTCGTCGTCGTCGTCAAAGTCAGTATCATCCACCCCATAGTCAACCTCCTCGTCGTCATCAACTTCGATTTCCGGTTGCCGCAGCGCATCTTGGACGAGCTCGTCAATGTAAGTCAGGAAATCCTCAAGTGAAACCCCTGAAAACCTGGACTGAGCATTTTCTAGAACTGTAGCGACCCCTGAAGGAGGATCTTCGGACGTGGTGAAGACAAAGTACGCGTGATTTTCGGGGTAGTCTTGAGTATCTACCGAGACGTCAGTTGGTCCCGATCATGAGAGGGTCCTGAAGAAGCCTCACCTGATACTATGGCTTGGAAATCAATCCTGGTGCCGGTTGAGGCATCAACGAACGTAAAAGTGATCGAGCCATCATGATCTCCTGCTCTGACACCGTTCAGATGAGGGAATCTGCCTGGTACTTTTGCACTAATCAGGTCTCTCTGAAAGTCTTTGCGAGGCATGATGCCTCATGTAGAAGGGAAGACTGCAATTTGCAATATATGAGCTTCTGTATTTTGGGATATGTCGCTGTTTTGATCAAGGTGATGGTAAAACGTGGTTGACGTTGGATGTTTTGTCGATGCGTTGTAGTGAGAGAAAAGTCAGTGAAAGAATCAGAGGCGAGGTTCGCATACCTTAGACGGTTGTCCAGGCTGCAGCGGTCATGGACTCATGGATACCTAGTTTTCTCTCTGTGCACAACCATGGCATCGCCATTTCTATCCCTGAGTGACCTTACGTCTGCGCAGTGAAAGACTCTGGTAGCATCTTTGGGAATTGCGTCATTCTTTTCAGTTCTATATCTCAATTTACTTCATAGAGTTGGGTTGTCTCTGTTTGTTCGACGCGTCATGACTCATTTCCATTTGACTCTGAAATGTTTGCTCTCCCCCAGGAACAGTCCACCGTGCATCACTTGGATACAAAGAGTTTTGAAGGTTGTCTCCTGATGGTATATATCGAAGTGGCTCGATATCCCCAGCTCCAACAATCCATCCTCTAGTTTAATTCTGCCTCAGGCAAGGCTGCCCTGAGTCGGATACTCTGATTGGCCAACCCCTGACCAAATGCTTCTCTTGTCACATGACTCATCTCATGGAAACTGCATACTATGGGAAATAGGACAAAATTTATAACCCCTAGTATAGATACTAGACGTTCGAAAACTTAGGATTACTGAATTCACTGTGGATTAAAATTATATAAAATGCTAAATTGCTAAGGCATCCCAGGACCAGGCTAACCTTGAAAATAAATTTAGGAATTAGTTATGAAAGTAAACTAGGTTAATAGTATAATAAATCGGAAAATCCAATAATAAAAATATATCTATTACAAGACGGTAAGACCGTAGAGTAAGAGTGGCATCCTTGAGAGTAAAGCAGCAAAATTAATAATGCTTAGCAGCTTAGGAGGGTGCTAGAATATAACTAAAGCAAGCTAGTATTTAATACTCTAAAGAAGTAAAGAAATTGGAGGCTTATAGAACTTTCCTTGAATTAGCAATTTCTTAGCGGCCCTACCCGAATCCGTAGCCTTATGCACGTTATTACACAGGACAACTCGTTTTGTATTAATGAGCTAGTTACTTGGTTCCAGCACCATATCACTTTTGGATGCTCATAATTTGCAGCAACTGACTTTTGATGGTCCACGGCTAAGCTTCGCCTCACGGCATATCGGGGGCCGCTCCACATGAATCATGGCCCTCAAGATGTTAATCCATCCTGACTATGCAAAGGGCTACTTTGGAGTTTCAAGGTGGTTGCTCCAGTCTTGGAAGCCAAGTGGAGTTCGGATAGCTTATGTTTGCGATATTATTCCAGCCACGGATAGAACACTTCTTGTTGGTGTGGGGCTTCTAGTCAATGTAACCCCGAAGATATTTGGCAACGAAAGTCCGACTACCAAAGTACCCTGCAGCATGGCGGAGAATTAACGCATAACGTAGCAGGGCAGTCTATCTAGAGTCATGCAGTCTCAAGCAACAACTCTGGATGCACATCCTCATCATACCACTCCCCCAAACCTCGCTCCACAGCTGGTCGCGCCGCAATGCGATCCACCCACTGCTGTAAATGAGGTAACTGAGCCAACTCATTCTCTGAGAATCCAATGCGTCGAATATTTCGTATCCAGGCCCAGGCATTTATATCAACAATGCTGTATTTGCCCTTATCTTGCCCAGCCAAATATTCCCGTGTGCCACCACCGTATCTCCCTGAAAGACGGATTTCAAGTACATTGTAAACCCGCAGCACTTCCTGCTTGAAGCGATCCACTACGTCTAGATTTTGTCAGCAAGCACATATCGAAGCTGCACGGTAACACTCACGAGGGATTTGGTCCGCATTATTCCGAAAATAATTATATTGCGCTTGATTGGGTTGCCCTGAAGCATGCCAAAATATTAGCCATTGAAATGCCTCACTCTGATCAATCGGATCCGAAAACCAGAAAAGATTGTTTTCGTCTGCCAAATTGACGAGGTACAAAAGTTCAGCGGATGATTCCATGACTACGTGGGGTGGACATGTATTGTTGTCGACTAAGATTGGGATGCGCCCTGAATTATTTTTTCATGAGTCTTCATTCTGGAATAATGAAATGTACGTATATGAAAAAGAAAAGAGGCACCATCAGGATTTAGTCTGAGAAACCAGTCTTTTTTCTGTTCGTTTTTGTCGAGGTCAATCAGACTTGTCGTCCACTCAAGGCCATAGGCGTCCTTGAGTTCTTCGAGAAGAATGTGGACTTTTCTTCCGTTTGGGGTTAGAGAAGTTATGAGGTGTAGGCCCTTGTGAAAGTTAGCTATAGGCCTTTTTTGCGGGGTCCATGGTAGAGGAGGGGCAAGATTGATTCGTTGCTATGGTAGAAGGTCTGTATCTGACCTTAAGGTACTTACTTGGGCTTTATTCACCCGTTCGGGGGTTTCCGCGGCATAAAACGAAGACATTCTTGATTTGTAAGGGGTCTTAGTTAACCTAACAATTCATTAAAAAGGTTAGGTAAGAATATGGAGAGCTGGTCGCTGGTGGAGGACGTGCACTGAGATAAATATAAAGAAAAAGCGAGGTAATACCGCTTAGCTGAAATCTGAGGATCAACAGCGTCTCATGCTTTGTTTGATCGATTGTGATTGCGTGATAGATGCATTGTATGAGAACGAATTGGCTATGAAGTCCACTGGGTACCCTAAACGCCCAATGGGGCTACTTGCTACGATTAAATTGAACTACTTGTCCCCCACGGTACATGTTTGCTTTGAAATCGCTATCAGCCACTAAGATAAGTCTCCACATCGTATGTTACAATTCTCCTACTGGCCGGAGCTATGGTTTTACAGTTTCATATATTTGATCTAGGAGCCTCTATGGGGATAACGTGTATGTAATTCGCTGTCAATTGAACGGATGTCAATCCCAATGGTGGTAGTTGTTTAGAATGGCGCTTGATTCTCTAATGCCAAAAACGTCGTATATGTACCTCTTAGTTGTAACCAAAAAAGTCGTATACATGACATCTGAATCAGACTGAAGATCAAGGAATAGCAGTATGGTCAATAACCCATTGACGGATATCCCAGAAATTGCGGCATTTATGGTTTGACCGGAAATCCGCACGCTCTCCAAACGGCGCCTGCTCTCGAAATTAGAAATGGAAGGCCATAAAGTGCTGAAGGACTTGGTGCTTACTTTTGGATCTAATTCTATAAGGATCGGCGTCACATCAGACGTACCTGGGATGTGTTAGTTGTCATGGTATATGACCGCTGATTGCATACTTACACATAATGTTTGCTCGTAGAACCTCGATGCAATGATCTGCCAACCACGTCAACATATGTTGCTGCATACATAATCTTTTGCTAAACTTACCTAGATGCATCCTTGTGAGCTTTGGGTCTCCATAGAGACTTCCAGGTAAGTCAAGTCCTTGGTCAAGCCAGTGCTCTTTGTAGGACCATTGTCGAAGCATGTGCTAGAACGGTCGAAGTATAAAACTGATTAGTAAGTGTTCATACAGTCGCCTTTCTTCAAAATGAGCATACTACACAATGCAACTGATGGAGGACTTCCAGCTGAGCCGCATAGCCGGTTCCAACCTCTGGTGGAACATGTTTGTATGTTCTGCCGGAATGTGATTTGTTCATGATACCCAACTTGTCCTCAGGAACCTCAAATGCACCCTCTGCTCCAGTATTCGATGCACTCAGCTTTTTAGTTTCACCCAAAAGTTCATTCATGTTCAGATCACGTACGGTGCCAAAGTTTCTCCCACAATATCTCCCTCTCTGGGGTTGGTGGGCCACGATAGTCTGTTTTCTCGTTGAAGTACAGTGGAAGATCGTACTCGGAATACTTGACCAAGTCAGGTTCTTCAAGAAGAGGGGCTGTGTTCATTAGCTCTGTTGTCTTGTCCAATCTTCTTGGCTCACAAGACGTCAGGCGAAAGGACTTACAATATGCTGATACTTGTCGGGCGCATTGAAGATCTGAATCTGACTCTGAGTGTCTCGTCTGAAGAGCAAGAACGAGTCCAGCTGTCAGCAGAATCAGGGCAATGGCTTCCAGAACGCAAGTAATGCGTAGAAACAGCAGAGACTTGGGTTGGCGGACTTCAATCACGAAGTTCTCGGACTCATCATCCGATTTCTCTGCCAGAGACCCCGATCCATGTGAAATGAAAGGTCGGCTTTCTTCTGACATCTTCAGTGGGAGATGGCAATGCCTTGTATGTCCCTGGCTCTCGAATGTTGTCTTCTGTCACTGTGAAAAGATTCCTTGGTTTTTGCAGAGAACTGGCCTCGGAACATGTTTAAGCAATTATCTTTCTAGTGCAGGTGCACCTGATTGAGTGTGATTAAGGAATGAAAAATTGGTATTGAAAAACAAAGTAATACACACTTCACAATTCATCCGCCTGCTCTTGGACAAATGGAGCTAATTCAGGTGTACAAAGACCCACAGATTCTATATACTAATTCAGAAGGCCATTGTAGGCAAGTGATTGTGATGCAGCCGTTGGATCTCCATAGAAGACGTCGCCTGTACATAACTAAACCATGAAGGGCAATAAGCGAATCATTGCCGCTGTGCAATCAGAAACGCAAAAACCTCTAACTGTTTATTGCGCCTTGCATAGGATCTACATCCCAGTCCCAGCTGCAAGATCAATCTGACCAATGGGGTAAATAACGCTGTGTTGGGCATTCGGACCTTCCATCCGCCTGCTCTTGGTCAAATGGAGCTAATTCAGGCGTACAGAGACCCACAGAGGCCCACAGAACCTAGATGCTTATCAGCCGTCGGATCTCCGTAAAAGATGTCACCTGTAACTAAACCATGCAGGGCAATAAGCCAATTATTGCCGCTGTGCCATCAGAAGGCAAGCAACCTCTTAACTGTTTATGCTGGATGAGGCTGCTCCTTGCAAAGGAGCTACATCCCAGTCTCAGCTCCAAGATCATTCTAACCAATGGCGTAAATAACGCTGTGTTGGGCACTCAGACCTTATGGTGATCTGCATGGTTGGACTTTTGTCAATAATGCCTCGCCCCAGTATAGTGAGACATGGTTGTAGTGAAAATATCGGGCATTATCAGAGAAAGTTATCATGTGGCAAGAACGGAAGACAGTAGGGATCGGTAATGCTTGTTAACCAGGACTTTGTATACAAGCTTGTATATGTGGACTTCATACCTATAGCCTTTGACTATCTTACAGTAGAAGCCAATCACAAATCCTTCTTGGGGGGATTCATACGATCAAAGAAGATAATATCAAGTATGACGGGTTTAGTATTGGATGGGGAACTATCTACAGATACTGGATTCTTCAACGAACGTATAGTATGCAGAGATGGCTACCTCTTCGGTATCCTAAGCTTTATGGCTCAAACCTAGTTATCTTCGAGCAGATCTGCGTAGGCAGCTTGGCATTTCATAGTAACATCATATTGATCCCGCTTCTCGAGCAAGTCCGCATATGCAGCTTGGCATTTCATGGTCACATCGTATTGGTCGCGTTTCTCGATCAGATCGGCGTAGGCAGCTTGGCATTTCATAGTAACATCATACTGGTCACGCTTCTCGAGAAGATCCGCGTAAGCAGCCTGACACTTCATAGTCACATCGTACTGATCACGCTTCTCGATCAGATCGGCGTAAGCGGCCTGGCATTTCATAGTAACATCATACTGGTCCCGCTTCTCGAGAAGGTCCGCATAGGCAGCCTGGCACTTCATAGTGACATCGTACTGGTCACGCTTCACCTCTAGAATATTGTGAGCACAATTCATCAATACTAAACTTAGGAAATGGCTTGGAGTCTTACCGGTAGACACAGGTGCAGCTCCCACAAGAGATGCGGCGGCGAGAATTGCCACGCAAATTGCTTGGTTGAAAGACTTCATTTTGACTTTGATTGATGGAAGAAGATAAAACTGGAAGGCTCTGGCTCGAAATATCGGTTCAGCTAGGTTGGTCTGAACGAAATATTAGCCGTTGCTGGGAGGACCGTCGTATTTATACCAAGCATTCGCCTAGATCCTGAAAGATATTGAAGTCGGTATTCGTAGTAACCGCTAGCAGCTTCCTACTGGCCTGCATTTACGAGTCATAACGTTTTCCTGCCGATGTAACCTCGGCAGGGGAACAGGCATCTGTTTACAAGTCCATTAAGCAGAGGTCCTAGCAGCGAGACCACAGTCCCTCCCCCGCAAGGCTTCCGAGTCCATAGTACCCTGTCAGGATTTGACTAATCCGAGCAGCTGAATACTCGACTGTCCATCGGGTAATTGAAAGGAGTAGTCTTACACCGACGATCATTCATGACCGTTCATTCTAACCAATTAATCTCCCACGAGCTGCATCTTCACACTGGGTTGCATGCGACGTGCAGCGTGCAGCGTAACATTTCAAGGGACAAACATGATGCAAATCAAGCAGCTTCCCCGAGATTCATACAAAATCATTTTCATAGGTCCAAACAATCTATAACAAGGTCTGCGTCTGATCCAAAGCTACCCACAGACTGACGTGCTCACTTGGTCAGCTCACGAAATGGGGCCAATTTGTGGATATACTGGATTAATTAACCTACTGAGGAAAGCCTTTCGACATCTCGCGAGAGGAAACGACGCCTGAGATTTGCCTCCAGAGATTTTGCGAGCAGGGGCCAGGGGCGGAGGTTGAGGGAGAAGTTCTGTCATACATGGGAATGATATGTCCTATGAATTTTGGGCTTCCATTGTCTCAATGCTATAGTTTCGGGTGTAATATCGCAAGACAAGGCCACTTAGCATGACCCAAGAGCAATATTTCCCGGCGTGTTTACTCTGTCATTCTCGGGATCTGCCTTGCTGGCATCTAACAACATCATCACACAATGCTTCGTATGACCAAAGCTCCCCGTTAGATGGTCGATTTTCCCACCTCGCTCGAGGACTTTGTGAAGCCTCAATATCATGAATGCACAATGCACCAGGTGCTCCCTCTGCGTTGACCACCAAAATTTATCCCCTAACTCCGACAACTCATCCGTACTCTTGATTGGATGTTCGGCATGCCTATCCCGATAGTAAACCCAGGTCTCGTTTGCAGAGTAATCGATAAATTCCTGTGTCTCGTCGCGAGGACACTGTTCTGGAAGCCAGTTCATAGACAAGATGTCAAAGGTACAGCCTCTCTGTTTTGCTTCCTCAGTCGAATTGCCGCATGTGTACTTTTGAGATTTGGATTGCGGATAGAGCGACTGCGTGTAGGGTGTCACCGAGTGCCATTGGATTTCTACTGCTAAGAAAGCAATGGCCGCGGCACAGAGGGCGATAGATGCGCCGAATGCAATCCAGATGAGCGTGGGTGTTGGCTGTGTAATAGGGTATTTCGAGGCGGTAGTATCTTCACGCCCCTCCTCAATAGGCTCATATTTTCCCTTGATCAATCTTCAGTCAGTCTGTCTGATAATCATTCGCCATTGTAGGAGCTTACCAATTTGGAAGACATGTTCTAGTAATGGTAAAACCTATCTTTGTGATGGTGATCACGCAAACCAAGAAAAGGAAAAAAAGTACTGAGGGGCTAATGACACATTTGACTCATGAGATGTGTGAAATAGATATTGGAAACTTGTCAACCTAACGTCCAACTTACCCACGAATCTTACTCGGCGAGATTTCGTGGGAACAGTCAGCCTACGGAGTTCTGAGATTCGGCCGACGGAAATTGAAATAATGCTTAATTAAGCTAATGCAGGTTCTGCAGCCTTTCCCTTTCCCGCCTTGAAAGCGAGCTAAATTGCCTTGCTTTTAGCCACGCCGGGAAGACAAATTGCGAGCCGATAGGGAGCGCTCGGGGATGCGTGACGCAGATCCACCGAGGCTGGTAGCTACAATTAGTGCAGATCGCCGTTTCCTTTACCATCCAGAGTGAATCAGTCTTGCTAACGAAGTCCTTTTGCTTTGGGGGCATGGGGGTACGGTAACGACACCAGCTTTCCTGTCTCTTACGTTCTGATTACTTACAGCTAAGTTACACTAGAAAAGCCAACTGCTCCCTGGTTTTTAATTCGGTAAATATGTCGTGATTCAGTCAGCCTGTGCAAGATGGACGACCCCTATATGCACGGCAACAGCGTTACGTCCTTGTCCCAAGCGGATAATACTACTGCATGTGAACTCTGACTGCTTTAAAATCTATCTTCATCTTTGTCTTTTTGTTCATGCGTCTTGTTCTCGTCTTACCCTGCCCAATCCAATTGCGTTTACCATGTTTCTCCATTCTAGTATTCAACTGATACTCCTGGCTTTGACTCACGTGGCATACTCCATTTCCCTCAAAGGCCAAATAGTCGAATTAAATGGAATTTCATTTTACCTCCCACCAAAGGTTCTTGGTACATTCGGCTTCAATGACAATCCAGTTGTCGCGAAGTTGACGGAACCTTTGTATCCTATCACCTTCATAGACACCGCTGGCGGCAATAGTTCTCTGGATGCAATTGTTGCGGGTTATCAATCGTTGGATGATGTTTTCAATATCGGGTTTTTGCAGGGTACAGTTTATCACTACTAACAACTTGCTAGCGGCTAAACTGACCGGCTGTCAAGTCATTTTCCACAATGGGCACTCAAATGACGGTATTCAGGACTTTCAGACGGCCAAGTCAAAATATGGAGTTGAAGCCATATTGCCATACCCGGTTGATGCCTCTAACCCGCCCCTTCCTCCTGGGCCATATTTCTGGTCTCCAGCATCAGGAATAATAAACGCCGCTTATCGACTCTATCCAGACGAGCAAGGGGCCTTTACGCAAGGCCTAATACCCTCGGGGAATGGCGCTTACGATGTGATCCCTGCCGCTGTACCAGTATGGCCATCCACATCAATCAAAAAGTCTCTGCCTCATTCTAACTGCGTACCAGGGAGCCGGGTCGATGACCATCGGGGTACCGTCAAGGCTGTATTCCACGAAGGACCCGGCAAAGCCACTAGCAGGTGTGAGTGCATAATTCCCATATCATCCAAGTATGTTTGCTGAGTAACTATGGCTTAGGTACGTCTTGGAGTGAAGGACATCTTCGATGTTGCTGGCATCAAGTCCAGTGGCGGAAATAGGGCTTACTATCAACTGTCTCCTCCCGCGAATGAGACAGCCCCCGCCATCCAGAAGCTAATCGATGCTGGAGCTGTTTTGATTGGAAAAATGAAGACCAGTCAATTCGCGAATGGAGAGGTAAGTCAGAAAATGAGACTTTTGTGCTCCTGTGTGCTGATCATCCGCGTTAGTGGGCCACGTAAGTTTGATCGGAAGCACTAAGGCACAATACAGAAGCTAATTGCAGCTGGAATGACATAGAGCTGATTGGTACTTACTATTACAAAAGGTTTATCGTTTTGTTTCGTTGCTGATCAAACAAATAGGGTTGATTACCATGCTCCATTCAACCCACGAGGAGATGGTTATCAAGATCCGGGAAGTTCCAGCAGTGGTCCGGCAGCTGGAGTGGCGTCATACGACTGGCTCGACCTGGCCGTAGGAACAGACACTGGAGGCTCCATACGTGTTCCTGCTGGGGTGAATGGTGTGTACGGAATCCGGCCTTCGCATGATTCAGCTTTGCTGAAAGGGATCATACCTCTCTCGCCCGAGATGGATACAGTTGGTACGGAATACTCATCAGACTGCGTGATGTTGCTCAATATCCTCTAACCACGAGCTCCAGGAATTCTAACCCGAAACACAACGCTATGGAAAGAAGCTTCGAAAGTACTCTACGGCGGCCTCGGAGCTGACGCCACTCTGCCACGAAAACTATACCTAGTTGACTTTCCCACTAACCGATCGAGCCAAAGCGATAATATTCTCTTGGATTTTACTGAATCACTTGCAGATATTCTCCACACAACTGCCGAACACTTTGATACAGAAAAGCTATGGAATTCTACTGCCCCGAAGGAGGCAAATGGTGCCAGACTTGTTGATTTCGTTGGTGATATTTTCCCGCTGTTGACTGCAAAGCAGCAACTTCAGCTAGTGGGAAAGAAACTATACGCTCACTATAAAGAAGAGAATGAAGGCAGGCTACCTTTTATTGACCCAAGTCCCTCGATCCGGTGGAACTGGGGAACAGAACAAGCAGACGCATCTATAGATGAGGCCTTTCACAATATGAGTATCTTTACCAGCTGGTGGCACTCTCATGGGCAGGCAGGCGGCACAGATTCATGCTCTGATTCTCTATTTGTCTATCCTCAATCGACCGGAGATACCATGTATCGAGATGGCCCATACCCAATTGATGCACCAGGAATCCCGTCGGGCTTTGGAATCGATCGTGTTCCTTCATTCGTAGGTTCGCCTGATTTCGCATTGCCAAGTAAGTTTTATCGAAATGGAAGAGCTTTGCAAACGTATTGTGTCTGATTTCTGCCAGTTGGAGAAAGTGAATATCACTCAAGGATCACAAACCGAACAGAAGTCCTGCCTGTTGCAGTTGATATAATGGGAGGTAAAGGGTGTGAGGGGATGCTGTTTAATGTGATAGACAAACTGGTCGCGGCTGGAAAGTTAAAGGAAAACCTCCATACTGGAAGGTCATTGTATAATTTGAATTAGCCATAGATAACCTTCTACCTCTTTAGTCTGGAACACGTTGTATGGCCTCCAGTCAGGAGAAGATCTGCATCAAGCAGAGATCACGAATGCCAACGGTACGACCAAACCTTTAGTCCCACGGACTGTCACTAGCGATCAGCGCGACTCGGCCGTGGCCGCCGTCAAGAAGCTGCTAGAAATCAAAGACAAACTCCCAAGCGATGGATCCAAACAGCGGAAACCCCTGCCCATGCCTCCGGGCAGCCCCGAACGTCATCTGGTGACTGGCAAAACGAAGCCTTCAACAGAGGAATCATGGAATGAGGTCAAACTGTTCTGGGGGGACCTGGTGCGATGGATAAAGAAGGCGTGGAATTACGTCGACTCAATATTCTTCGGCTTCGAGGACCACGCCTGGCACTTCTTCGTCGAGGCGGGGGGGTACTTGTACAGAGCAATTATCGACAGCATTCCCGCGGTGGCAGGAGTGGTCAAATATGTCTTCCAGTGGATTCAAGTGAAATATGACGATGCGGTCAAGTATCTTGGTTTCGTTTTTGACTGGAATGATATCCTGCGCACACACAACGTGATCAAGAACTTCCTCCGGCTGGCGGCAGATCGAGTCGTCACGGAGATCGACCAGGTGGAACAGTATGTCAAGAAAACGTTCGAGGGGCTCGAAGAGAAGATTAGTGAATGGGGTTCAATCCCCAGTGACAGCGGGACAGTGGGCCAGCACGAGAGTACGCGGGACCAGGATTTCAGCCATACCTACCCGCAGTCCAACTGGGCGTCGTATCATGCATCCTCCAATCTCATGAATGCCGATACCCCGTATAGCATGCCCGACCAGTGGTCAAAGGATCTCGAGGACGCGCTGAACAACCTCTCTGCTCTCCTGCAAGACGAGGAAACTGACGTCCGGGCCATGGTCAAGGAGGTGAAGGATAGCATCATCGAGTCGTATTCGACGCTCACCGTCACCCAGATTGTGGAGAAACTCGCGGCGATCGTGGGGAATTTCCTTGTGGAGTCGGCTGAGAACGGTATCCTCGCGCTGCTCGTAGTCCTGAAGCTCATAGCCCGCGAGGCCGTCGATCTCCTCGATGCCCCCTTGAATATCCCCATCCTCACTCCCACTTATCAGTCCCTTACCGGCGGAAGCCCCTTTACTTTTCTTGACATGACTTGTTTGCTTTGCGCAATACCAGTAACCGTCATGTATAAAGATATGGCAAACACAACCGCCTTCCCAGACGATGACCTGACGCTGCAATTAATCACCGCCCCAACGTGGGATAGTCTCATCAACGTGATCCAATCGGGCATCACACCGGAACAGCCACGGAAGGCATGGAAGAAATTAATGCACAAGCAGGCTGATGGCAGACTCCGTCCTTCCCCATCCGACGATATCGCTAACAGATTTGTTGTGGTCGCCAACCTCACGGCCGCCGGAGCCGCGTCCCTTTACATCCTCACGAGCAAAGTCAAAAGCGAGATTCCCGCTGAGGAGGAACCCCCCCGATTTCTGCGCTACATGAACACAGCTATGTACCTCGGATACATCATGCCAGACATTGTGGTATCGGATTGGAACCCTAGCTGGGACAAGGATGTCAACTGGAGCATCACAGCCGTCAGCTTCCTGAAAACGTTGGCTGATAACTCAGATACCTTAAACAGTAACAAGGTTCGAAGCAGCCTCTGGTCCACGACCGTATCTCCATTGCTTGAGGTCGTCATTAATGGCGTTTGGCTTGTTCCTACCATCTACGAGCTGTGGCAAAACCACAGCAAACCACAGGATTACGTTGGAGCGGCAGGGAATATCTGCTTCGACCTAGGCGGGATGGCGAGCGTGTTCATGTCTTTGCCCGACCCCAATGACAAGTTGTTGGTTTAAACTTGGTGTATACCGGCTGTTGCATCGGGATGGCCGAGGTTCTGGCACATGGCTAGAACTGATGGTTGGAACAGGGTAAAAAAGTACGTCTGTGTATTGTATAGTTGAATTTGTAGGTTTGTGACAATTGCATTTTTCTGATCCTACACTTTGCGATGCCATGAGCTCCAAATGCTCCCCCCACGGTATTTACATATTTACAATGCATTAAAGCCATAGGTTTCTGTACTCCGCTTTCCTGTGATCCATTTCGTGTTATTACATAGGTATGTACGATATCTGTTCTAATGAGGGGAAGTCATTGCCACCTAATTACGTTACGTTCTATATCCAATAGTCTGTTGCGGCTTCACTTCTTCCCAGCAGGCTTTCTTTGCGGTTCATTGGCGAGATCTTGCAAGATATTGATACGATGTTGCAGTCAGAATGCATAAGTTCTTACCCCTAATAGAGGACTCCGTATATAGGAAGTGAGGGATCTTATGCAGGCAAGAAATGAGAAAGGTAAGTAGATTGCTGGTTCATCTGCTGGTTCCGCGGCTTTACCTTAAGAACCACCAAATCACACTCCACCAAGGTGTTTAAATTGCTTTATTATAGGGCATACTAGAGTTAGATGCCCTACACGTAATAGTGGCTAGATCCAAGAAAATAATATACTATTTTGGTTGGTTTGGATAGCTTCAAGATTCAAACTCGTTGAAACAAGCCCACTCCCTTATGTAAGGACAGAATATCCTGAGATCGCGGATCTTGGAAGACCTTATTTGACAAATCCTCAAAAATAGAAGCGATTCACACCCGTGAAGCCTTTTCCAAGACTGGGACATATTAGCAGTGTGCAAAGAGACAGCATTTGTAACCTACCAGTTTCGTAGGCAATTTTAGAACGATCCATTCCCTGGATCTCAATTGAGATACCCATTAGTGTGCGGCGAAATTCTCCAGTGGAACTGGCATGGAGCATTTTCTGCGATATCCTGACACCGTCCGGGACCCTAGTATCAATAATGAGATCCTGTCATGCTCTTTTGGTATCTTAAGTCAGCTAATAAAAACTATCTTATTTCTTTTGTCACCATCTTTGTCGTATTCAAAGTCATACACCGCCCATCGGCACTCGTCGTCGGGCAAATCCTCATTAAATTTGGTATATTCTTCCTCATAAGAGTTGGTGCTACTCCTTTCGACGGCTTTGTCCACAACAATACTCTTCTTGTCGGCACTGAGCTTGAAGATAACGTATCGGTATTTGTGATTGATCCTGAATTCTTGATACTTAGCTGCGCAGTCACCATCTGGCTTTACCGCAGAAGACATGTTGGTCAAGGAAATATTTCAGATAAGGGTTGCGAGACGAATACAGTCGGCCACAAGGCTGGAATACAGTAGGACCAAGGTAGTATAGTGTAATAGGAAGTCCACAAAATATGGAAGAGTTGCTTGTTTCCCCAGCAATCCAGAATAGGTGACCCAGGTCTTATAGTTAGTCAAGTCGAGAAGTATCTTACTAACCCTTCCGCCAATTGGGGTAATATTGGCTTGCAGGCGGGGTATGCAGATGTAGCTGTGCATCTATCTACCCAATCTGATATATAATCTTTCTGAATTGGCAGAAGCATGGCCTGCCTGTACTGTCCTAGTCCTATGATGACTGCATGAGAACCTCCGTGCGATAGTTTAATACGGTAACAAAACATTATGAATGAAAGGTATAATTTTCAACAGGATAAGTGCAGTAGAAAGATTCAAATGCTGAAAGAATGAAGGTACTCTATAAGATTCTCATCTAGGAATCTGGTCTTAATTGTATGGTCTTCAGTGAGATATAATAATCATTGCTATTTCGGTGAACAATACTTACGGGTTTATACTTTGAACCCAGGAGGCTCGAGCAAGAGCCCATTATTATTTGATTTCCATTCACAAATGTGGTTAGACAATACATGTTTGAGTTTTGGCCCAAACTGCAAGTGTGCCTAAGGACACAAATACATCCTAACATTTATATTGCTCGGGCATTTGGGAATGTGGGAGGTTGCAGCGTGATACTAGAAGGCCTCCTAGGGGGCTTGCTATCAAATGAGAGTTAAAATCCTTAAGAGAGTAAGGAGTCATCTATAATTTATATTAATAACTAATCTAACTACTACCTTGATAAATATCTTGATGCTATTGCTATTGTATAGAGGTTTGGTGGGTGAGTTCTACTAAGCAAGATTTTATGATTGATCACCACCATATTATCTGTATGCCAACGCACCTAATCAGTTATGTAACTGTATTTGGGCTTGCACATATATCCTTGATCAAATTGAAACTTTACTAGTATATCTTCATTTATTAAAAGTGACCACACTGCAGTACTCATGAAACACAGTCTGGACCTATACTAAAAGCGAGAGCTCTGTGGTCTACTATTTGATCAGAATATCAGACGTTCTTTCTTGACCTCTTTTTTTACGCATGCATTGTATCTATATAGCTTGCCACTGTAAGTGCCAAGGACGCTCCCGCCATCCTTCTTTGTCAACATCCAGGTAGCTGTGGGTACTGCATATACCAGCTGCAGCTATCCCGCTGTTGACCCCGCGGCCTCAGTTCGGTTTGCGAGTGACTTGATCCGATGGAATAATGGGAGTTGTCACTTCCAACAAATATTATACGTCTGACCGGGAATGAAGTGGGATACGTGGATAAGTGGACTTTGGGTCAATGGAGGAAGCTCTCCTCCTTCGATATGAACGCGTGCAGTGTGAATGATCGGTCCTAGTGAGAGCTTGCCCTGTACCCCTCTATGCGAGGGCCATTCGGTACAGTGAATCTCGGGGAGCATCGACCAATGCCAACCATGGCAAAAGCAGGGGAGATAAGCACTCCAAGGTCTGAGGGCGTCATTGGGGAAGTTGTACGATGTGATGGCTGTTTAGACTTGAGAATAGTCGCTTGTGGCTTGACAGTCTCCAATCGAGGTCCCAATGTGTCAGGTTATCGTGCCGCTTTGTACGACATGGAAGGCTCTCATGTTGGTTTAGTCACACTTCTTGCGGACTCCGACCGTATCAGGTGCTCCATCTTCTGGTTTGAAGAACTCCAGCTTATTCATGACCTCACGAGGTAAGTTATTTCTCGAGAAGATTAGCCATATCTCGCAATTAATTGTCACGAAGCGCGAGAAGCTTCTGACATGGACAGCTGGACTTCACGGATGAAGCTGCGGGATTTTCGGGACGACCGGGGTAAGATGGTCTAGTTCCAAGGTCTTACACTCTCCAGGCTAACGGAGCTGCTAGGACTGAGGTATTGGGCTTGTGTTTGTCTGACTGATACCTGAAAATTGCATCCGAGGCAACTGTTACGATGCAACGAGCTTGGTGAGCGGTTATGGAGAAATGGTGGGCATGTTCTAAAGATAAAGCTATGAAACTGGTATATCGAAAACACAATTCATACAGAACGGAAACGAATCAGACATTAACAACCTGCGCCTGAGTCTGTTCCACGTGCTCGACCTCCACGACCTTGGCCACCTCGACATCCGACTGCGGTTGGCTCTTGGGGTAGAAGTCGATTTTACCTCCCTCCCGGATCACCCCTGTTCGGTCCAGATAGTTCCGACTCCGCACGTATGGGTCTAGCTGCCAGTAATTCGACCGCAACTGCTCAATCAACTCATCCCGATGAGCCTTGGCAGCTGCTGTCTCCTTCTCATCCTTGTTCTTGATGGCCGTGACCCACTTGGCGGTGGCGTTGAGCAACTCGTCGCCGATGCTGGCGCGTTGGGCCACTAGAGCATCACGCGCGGCTGTGTCTTCCATGCGGTCATTCTCATTCTCGTCAGGCTCCACGTACTCATACGTCCAGTCCTCGGTCCCGCCGAGTTCCTTGACGATCTGGTCGCGGGGAATGAACTTCTCCATATCGGCAATGGTCCTGGTGAACTGAATCTTGGAGACAATGACGGGATCCATCCAGCCTTTGATGAGGCGCCAGATACCTGGTCTCGTCAGTCGATACTCTTCTTGCAATAGGAAACCAATCGTACCTGAGAACACCCATGGTGCGTTGTGAATGAGCAGCACACCCAGTGACTCCGGGTAGTTTGCTTCAAAGCATTTAATGATGAACTTGACGGGAGGATATTCCATGTTTGAGAGACCGAATCCGGTCATATCGAAGACAACAGCCTGCACTCGTCAGTTCCGTCCAGCCAAAGCCGAAAGTGATTTTGCTTACAGCAGTCTCCACCGGCGGCGCCAGCAACAGCCGCACCGACTCGATAACGTGGATAATGAATTGATTCAACGTCTCTTCGCTCTGCGCACCGGGCTTATGCAGCTTGACCCGGATCACGACGATGGGCCGGCCCAGCTTATCGACACCGTGCACGTACGCCTTCCCCATCCGCATTTGCGCCAGAAAGTCCTTGCCATTCTTTGCAGCAACCGCATTGGAGGGATCTCGCGACGCCTTGAGCGCATGCAGCTCGCCCTTGGCGATAACTTCCTCGTCGACGTGGAACTCCTTCATGCGCCACACGATGGCATCCAGCATCATGACAAAGGCCTTGTTGACGTCCCACTTGCGCGCGCGCAGGAAGCGCAGCAGCAGCACGTCTGGATGATCGTGCTTCGCGGTGCTCAGGAGTCCATCTCGAATTTCCTCGGGTGTGATCTGGGTGAGGACGTGTTGGACTTGTTTGATCTCGGGGGCGTGCAGTCCGAGCCCCTGGAGGTGTTGAGAGACCTGAGCAGCGTAAGCGGGGGTAGTGGCGGTGCTGCCCTTGGAGGCGGCCGTGTTGGTCCGAGCGAGGGAGGAGTTGCGTCGGTGGTGAGGCTCATTGGTGTCTGTAGTGGTGGATGACAGAGCGTCGGACAGACTCAAGATGATAGTCCATAACTGCTCGAGTTTCTTCTGTTGGTCTGCGGTGAGATTTCCGAGGAATCCTTCGGGGATGTTCGTGGGCGCCATTGTCTCAAGCCAGGGTCGGTCTCAGAAGAATGTCTGGTGGTCTGGACGGTCAAGCTGGATTAGACCCTATATATTAATCCAGACCAGCCTTATTGCGCACAGGGCATATGAAAGTCCCCCGCATGGATCGGCATACCTCGGTTCTGAACCGATCATTATTGTGGGAGACATAATGTCATGATAAGCGCTACGAGGGATCAGGGGCCGTTGATCCATCCCCGCGATTGTGGATCCACACCATGGCTTATCAAGTTCGTCTCAACTCAAACACCCAAATTTCCAAGTCCCAACGCATGGATCGAACCTAGGCTCAATACACTACTATTATTTTCGGAATCTACACATGCTCTGGCGAAGATCCTTGATATGACGCCCGCATGCTTCCCCTGGTTCCAGCTTCCAGCAATCCTTGACTCCCAGCATATGCATGATATCTCCACTCCATGTACGCGCCGGCCCGCGGAATTTGGTGCTTACCTACAGCAGCGTGTTCTCAAAAATGAGACTTCAATTTCAAATCGCCCTGGGATTTGAATGGATGACCGTCAGTGTTGTTTCTGAATCTACCCCAGAGTCAACAACCCCCGCATTCACGATGATTCCCCAACTGCCGATCGCGGACATCAACCAAATTGTTATGTGGGTTGACAAGGAGCGACCAATTACCATTTGATATGGAAGAACTAGACCCATCGGCAATCACATATGTCCCAGTGACCACAAATTGAAGCGATCCACAAAGACCCACAAAATTCCACGCTTGGAGTACCGTAGATTGCAACTACACTAACGTGTTGGAAAGAGGACGCGGCTAGACTCATTCCGGAATGCACTGCGAGTTTGCTGGAGCAGCTCATTGGCCTTCCGATATACTGTTTGAGATTCACCATTTCTCAGCCTGTAAACGCATCCAGGAACGAAATATTACTCATTTGGGAAAGGAGTGCGATGAGTTCCAGGTTTGACCAAGATGCATGTATACCTTGCCACCACGGTTCTCGGGTATGCTCAGTGTCAGGGATGCATCATTTGCTCCCGACGTCGCAATCGCCCTGCCCCGTGACGGAAGAGTTGTATCAACTCCTCGGTTTCATCTGCTTTCGGACCACCGGCTGGACATCGTTGTCAGATCGGGATTACCTACAGCGACCTGTTTGGATTCAAGGACCTCTGAATATTTCAACTATTAAGTCTTTGAGCACCGAGTGCCTCGGACTTGCCTAGCGAGCTTGGAGTGCATGACGTTGCATCAGAATATCTGATATTACACTATCTCAGTTGTCACTGAACCAACAGGTTAACGCTACTCTCCATCCGATAAGGCTCCTAGCAAGAAGCACCCGAGGGAACATTCTCGCACTTGGAGCTCGTCTTGCCGCCGGTGATGTCCACTCCCTCCCAGGTCCAGTCACTGCAGCTGCCGTCCCCGCAGAGAATGTACACCTCAACGGCGTCGGACTCGACAGTACCGGTGACACCGTCGATGGTCAGGTTGGTGATCGGAACGCCAGTGGTAGGGGTACCGGTCGGGCTTCCGTTCTCGTAGTCCTGCTCAATGACGATACCATAATCGGTGATACCGGACAGCTTGATGTTGGAGTAGGTGACCTCGCTGACGGAGCCAGTAGCGTCATACACGGTCTTGATGCGGACACCATTGGCCGAGTCGGTCACGGTCGAGTCGGTGATGGTGACGTTCTTGACGGTGTTGTCGTCGCGGCCGCCGACCGAGCCGATGGAGAGACCATGGCCGCCGGAGCAGGTGCCGCCGGAGAATTCGATATTCTGGAGTCAATTAGGGTCAACGCCAACCTCCAAGAAACGCCGCAGGAGCATACCTCGCCTGAGTTGATAGCAATGCAGTCATCCTGGTTCTTGACGGTCGCGCCGCGGATGTAGACGCCGGTACTCTCGCTGATGTCGAACCCGTCGGTGTTGTGCCCGCCGTTGTCATCGCCGTCCGAGTTGTCGATGGTGATGTCGATCAGGTAGAGGTTGGTCGCCTGCACACTGATGGCCTGCACGGGGGTGTTCTTGATGGACAGCCCGGTGATGGTCGAGTCCTCGAGGCTGTGCGCGTACATGAACTTGGGCTTTGTCTTGCCGCCGTTGGTGCCCTCGCCATCCCACCAGCGGGAGCCCTCGCCGTCAATCACGGCGCCGGAGTTCTGCTTGATGGTGATGTCCTTGCCGCCGAAGCGGATCAGGGGGCCGCTCCACTCTTCGTAGCCGAAGGTGGTGGTGCCCTCGAAGACGATCTGCGGGGATTAGTATAGTGGCTATGGCAGGTATATGAACAATGGAAGCCACGTACGGTAGTTCCATCATCGACATCAGACAGATCCAGTGTCTCACCGGCAGGAACCTCGATGTTGTCCAGGACAATCTCGGAGCAACCAGAAGCGCTCTCGGTGGCCTGGGAGGCCGCGGTGAAAGTACAGGTCGAAGACCTCTTGGTCAGGTCCGACACGCGGGACGGAGCAGGGGCAGCAACGACGAGGGAGCCCAGCGTAGCCAGGCTAAGGAGCTGAACGGAACGCATGACGAATAAACAAAGCAGAAGTTCCGATCAACAGAACAGTTTTGGTCGGTAAGGAATGAATCTGGTCAACAGGTACGAAAGAAAGGAATGTCGGCTTGGAGGTTGCAGCCTGCTAAGTGAATCATGATTCCATGGACCACTCCCTTATATACCCATTGACGTTCAGCACTGATCACTGAAAATAAGCTTCCACAAACTTGGCTCCAACTTGGCTCTGGCCAAGCCGGTACATGAATTTCTGCACATTAATGATCATTGGTGGGAATTACAAGGTCCATCAACTTCGAACGGCTATCGGAGGTTAGCCGGGTCAGGAGGATGCTTGGTCTGGGAATCGTCGTCATCAAGGAGGTGCGGCGGCGTCTTGCGGGATATCAAAATGCTCCACTGCGAGTCAAGATTAGTGCCGTGGATGGGCCGTAGGGAGGTTCGGTGTCGCACTAGTCTGTTGGGATCTTTCCTTCCATATCTTCCTTCGCCATCGATTAATTTACTGCAGTGATGCTCCTGCGATCCTCCTTGTTGTTGTCAGCCTTCGTCACACACAAATAGCTTGCACTGCAGCAGGGAGCTTGAAGTAACAGCATCATCTCAAGAACCCAGCAGACGTTTTCAGATTAACTCTCCAGACGAGAGAATCGATGAAATGACACAGATACTAGCTACTCGATCCTTTCCTGAACGGTCGAACTAATGTCTATTCAGGGGATTATAGCGACGATCGGCAGTCATAACAAGCATTCGTCAGGTATATAGCACGCATCCACCCATAATATCCATAAATTAACTGCCACGCAATGCTGTCAGAACAGACAGACACACTATTCATGCGTCAGTCAGAGTTCCGAGTCGGCTATTTCGGTATGATGCAGTAGGTTGAAATATGGATGTCGATCTACGCATTAAATTGCATGCACCAATAACATGAGGTGACTTGCGCAGGGGATACAACGCAAAACTGTCCAGATCTTTTAGGCTTGTCTGAAAGTGGCTAGACTCGCGCCATGATGAGGCAAGCGCGCTGAAGTCTCGTGCTGCTGGATGACGCGGCCATATATCGTGTCCTAAGGAGAGTAGTATAGGGGCTGGAATAAAGACTTGCGAATCCAGTCCGAAGGGTATCATACGATATGGGCTGCTCATTCGATTATTGACTGGAGGCCACTTAACTGATGTTTCTGTGAGCCCTTGAATATCTACTTGACTGGATTGACTCCCCTGGCTTGAATCACCCGTTTCGACCCTGGCAATGGATGAAAGCAAACTATCCCCCAGCACTTCCTATGAATCAGTGCATGAATGCGAAATATTTTTTGCAAGATATTGCTCCCAAATTTCCAGCCTTTAGTATACGCTGACGCTTTGATAGGTGGACGATCTCAGTTTCATTCTTCATGAACCGTGCCATATTTGAGGATCGGAATGACACGAAGGAATGTCCCTACTCGTTGATGCGGAGCCATCAACACGTGTTCCCTCATTATTTATTTGCCTTAGGTATGCAAGTGTCTTGCTGGCTTCATTGGCTGGCCTGCACTCCTTCAACGAGGACCACAAGGGAATAGGAATATATCACCTGAAATTGAACAACAGCAATACCACGCTGCTCGAAACAGTTCAATGTTTGTGGTCATCTTGGCGGTGGGGCCAGGAAAGCTCCGTGTGTATGATCGGTCAAGCCAATGCGGGAATGAGAGTATGACATCATGACCAACCACAATCGTAGATCAGCATCGAGCGGACCCTCCTGCATGACCATTACACTCTCTGAAGCACAAGTCAAAGCGTTATCGCCATGGCAAGCTTTGTTCGAAGCAGCTATGCAGGGCAGTTCCTGAGATGGGTCACGGGGAAGAAGATACTGAAATACCCCGAAGAGAAGGGTGGATTTCACCCCCCAGCCTGCTATTCTAGCCCAGAGGCGCTGTTCGAACGTGAAACAGTTGACAGAGCCATGGTCCAGGCAGACAATGGTGAGGAAAGCAGAGGTGCCTCGAGAAGATCATCGTCACAAAGCGTAGGCGCGACTCGCAGCGAAGAGTCGCTGGATAGGCGAAACTCACTCCAAGCGTCAGAATCCAACGCCTTGTCTAGGATCACCACGAGACCCGAACTTGAGAGGGTCTACACTCAGGTAGACCTCGAGAGGCTTTATACAGCTGCGACGCACAAAGAGGAACTGGAGAACGCTCCTGCCCGGCCTATTGCGCCGACAAAGACATCGGATGGAACAATCTTGGTGGATTGGTATACCACAGACGATCCGGAAAACCCCCAAAATTGGCCCAGTCGCAGGAAGAGTCTTGTTGCTTTGCAGATATAGTAAGTCTTGTATTGTCTGATATGCATCGTGCCATCCACAGTCAATATTCTGCTGTATGATAAACCAGGCAGGTGCAGAACTGACCTTTCGTAGCCTTTATACACTTGTAGTATATATGGGTTCTTCTATATATACTCCCAGTGCGCAAGCTGTTGGAGAGAAGTTCGGTGTCTCTGCCACAGCCGCATCCTTGGGTCTGGCTTTATATGTTCTCGGATGTGAGTAAGTCCAAGAGTCCAATCTTCGAATAGTTTTAGTGACTGTCAAGGTTGCGTAGATGGTACTGGTCCAGTGATCTTCTCTCCACTCAGTGAAATCCCCAGTATCGGTCGAAACCCGCCATACATCCTCACCTTTGGCTTATTCGTCATCCTCAGTGTTCCCACCGCTCTCGTGGATAATTTTGCCGGGCTCTTGGTACTGAGGTTTCTCCAGGGTTTCTTCGGCAGCCCTTGTCTGGCTACTGGAGGTGCCAGCATTAGTGACATATACAGTCTCCTCAAGCTTCCTTACGCACTGACCGTTTGGGCCGCATTTGCGACCCTCGGACCGGCATTGGGGCCAGTGATCTCTGGATTTAGCGTGCCCGCAGAGAATTGGCGGTGGTCGCTGTGGGAGATTCTCTGGATGGCCGGACCGGTCTTCTTGGTCATGCTATTTTTCCTCCCTGAGACCTCGGCGGACACTATCCTCTTGAACAGAGCCCAGCGCTTGCGAAAGCTCACCGGGAATAACAAACTCAGGTCTCAATCAGAGATTGACCAGAAGAAGCTCACTGTTTCCGCCGTCGCCGTGGCTGCTCTATACCGACCAGTCCAGATCGTCATTCTGGACCCGGCCGTGCTCTTCGTGAATGTGTACACCAGCCTTATTTACGGGATTTACTATTCCTTTTTCGAAGTGTTCCCGATCGTGTACATTGATATATACGGCTTCAATGTCGGCGAAATGGGCCTTGTCTTTCTCTGCATCCTCGTGGCGTTGCTCATTGCCGTGCCGCTGTACTTCCTGTATCTTCGCAAGGTCTTCGAGCCTGAGATCAAAACCAAAGGTCTCCAGGCTCCCGAGCGACGACTGATCCCCGCTCTCTTTGCCTCATTCCTGCCACCTATTGGCCTCTTTATCTTCGGCTGGACAGGGCGCGAGGGTGTCCACTGGATCGTGTCGGTCATCGGAATCACCCTCTTCACCATCGGCATCTTCCAGGTCATCCAATGTATTTTCATCTACATCCCGATGACGTACCCACAGTACGCGGCAAGTCTGTTCGCAGGGAACGATTTCATGAGAAGTGCGCTCGCCTGCGGCGCCATTCTATTCTCTCGCCCCCTCTATATTAACCTAGGCGTTGGCCCGGGTGTCAGTTTGTTGGCTGGCTTGACGGTTGTCTGTATCGGAGGTATCTTTGCCCTATATTACTATGGGGCCGGCCTCAGAGCCCGCAGTAGATTTACCGCGAAGTGAGTCCCAAAAGGACCGCGAGGGAGAAAAAGTGTGTAGAGCTCTCCGGCATTAAGAGAGAGACTACGATTTATTTCCAATTTCTGCTTTATGGGGATTTTCTTTTCTCAAGTATGAGACCCGATGGCGTGCTAGGCTTGCAATGGTACAGTGCTTCTCGAAATCGCTTTGACCAATATACATTAGCACGGAAAACTTATCAAGCCGCATCAAACTGAGGGGCAAAACAAAAAGGCTCTGATATGGTCCTGTATCTTGCCACCTGAAATTACATGCTACGCTTTTGATTCTTGAACGATAAACCTTAAATGGCAACAGGATTATATGGCATCATAATCTTGCGGCCCTCACTTTGGTACGGCTTCGTCAATAAAGTTATCCGTGCTAACGCCTTGGCAGTGGCTCAGGAATGAGTTGCTCAGTGCATGCTGGTCAAGGCGATTTCGAGAATGAGTGTAAAGAGTTGTCATTAGGGAGTGATGTTACTTACAATGTGAGGGGTGGACTGACCCACTCTGCGGGGAGAGTTAAGTACGTACCTAGGGGAATTTCAGCTATTAATAGAAGCATGAATGAAGGATGACAAAGAAACTGATATAACATTCCTCGTAGAATATCAAAGCAGAACTTAGCCAGCACAGCCAGCGTTCAAGCCAAAGAAAGGCCTTCTACTTACAAGTCTTGGAAGATGTCCACAACGTAAGGAGCCTTGGGCACTGACTATTCCCTGCAGAATACCTCATTGGCTCACTGGGCACCACTAATGCAGCTCTAGTCACCTGATTAGTTACTGGACTGGGAATTCCCATAACAAAATGACATGTTGCCTGACTGACAACTGGTTATTCACAGCTTAGACAAAGAATACATTCACTGCTTTGTTTATCAGGCTGAGCAGGTATTCGCGCTCAGTCATCAAAAAAATATAAGACTTGTGTCCGTCCACTCCTTAGATACTGGCTTTAGGTACTAAAGTCGTCATGGGTAGTCTTCTTGACCTGGCGTCGATGGACGATCTTAGCAATCGTTTTAATCATTTTTTTAAGCAGGACGCGGAAAGGGCCCAGCTTATCGAGGTGAGACCGCCTTCACCGCCCCTTTATCGACCGTGGAAATCACTGATTCTGGCCAGCTTGTGTTAAGAAAAATCAATGAAGATAAAGGACAACTGGATACGCTTACCATTGAGCTGGAGCATGAGCGAGAGTCCCGCCATAGGTACCAGCTAGAGCTCCGCGATTTGCGAGAACAACGGCAAAGATGGGAACAGCTCTATGTAAGTTGAACTTGTCATATAAATTGCCTTCCTTGCCGTCTAATCCTCCGACGTAGAACAAAGACCCATATGTGGTAGTCCTGGTTGATGGTGACGGTGCCATCTTCAATAACGACTTGTTGCAGGACCCCCGACAAGGCGCCCCTGAGGCTGCGCTGCGGCTCACGGACGCAGTGAGGAACTACCTTAAGGATACACCTCTTGGCTCCGAGGACGTTCCTATTGTGGTGCGGATCTTTGCAAATCTGAACGGGCTGGCCAAATCGCTTTTCCACCACAATGCCATCGACTATGAGGATAAGATGCGGGTTTTTGCCGAGCAGTTTACTAATAGTCGTGCCGAGTTTGATTTTGTCAATGTCGGTCACGGCAAGGAGAACGCTGACTCTAAAATGAGAAGTAAGTCGTCGGACCGGCTGACAGGTATCTCACTGACTTGATGTTCTTGTAGAGATGTTCAATCATTTCTATAAAAACTTCCAGTGCAAGAAAATCTTCTTCGCTGGTTGCCATGATAACGGCTATCTTCATGAGCTTCGTGAGCACGCAGGCGAGTCAGGCAGACAGCGCATAGTTCTCCTGGAGACTACTCCTGCACAGCCTGCGTTCGCTCTGATGGGATTTGAGATGACCCGTTTTGATACTGTTTTCCGCACCGACTTTCTTGGATCCCCGCCTATCCCCCCTACGTCTTTGGCCGCTCTCAGAACACAATCGGTGACTGCGGCACCTGCCGACAATGGCGTTATTGCACAACCACCGATCGCGCCTCCGTCTGCTGCTAGAAAGGAAAGTCCTATCGTGCGACCATCAACGACAAATTCTGTCCGCACCAACTCTCCCGCGGTAGTTCCGCCAGAGCGTCAAGCCTCCCCTGCAGTTGGAACGGTGGTGAGCTCCGGCAACGGTGGTGTCTCGATTAAGTATCCCACATACGCCACAGCCAGCGGTGCAAACGGTCATCAGAACGTCGTCATCGCAGCTAGTGCCAAAACTAAAGAGCCGCGGGTCATATACTACAACAGCAATGGGCAGCGCATCGATCCTCCCAACAACAAGCCCGCGAACCTGAATGATCATCGAACCTACAATGAAAAGTGCCTGAGAATCAAGCCAAAAGCCTTCTGTAACGAGCTGTTCCTGGCCGATGGCTGCAGCAAGGGACCGAATTGCCCGCAGGAGCACGAAGTCAAACTGACCCCGGGAGAGCGCGCGGTCCACAGATGGAAAGCCCGGGGCAGTCTGTGTACTAACGGTCCCTTCTGCGAAAACTACCGCTGCTATTTGAGCCATCACTGTCCATTTGGAGACGGCTGCACTCGCGGCCCGACCTGCAAATTCAAGACTGCCCGCTGGGGGGATTTGCATCATGCGAAAGTTGATTTAGAACCTGAGTAGGTCATCGCCACTTATCTTGATCATCCGCTGACATATTCCTAGTACCAAATGGGTTGAAGGTAACGCCTTTCCAGTGAGAGTTGGATAAGTGCGATGGACTGCATACTAGGAGATTCGCAATCCTCTTAACGCAACCTGCTCATGCTCGTGGATGTTCTCACGGGCTCCCAACCTGGAATATCGGTTCCTCCTAATTTCTTTAACTTTAACACGCTCACTTTCCTGCTGATCAGCAAGGTTAAATATCTCAACTGAGTCATCTTTATCTTGGTGTACTTTCGACTGTCATTTCATATCAATCATCTAACTATTATTTCCTAGTGCTACTGATCCCAAACATGATTATTCGTTGGACTCTAAAAGAAGTGGTTTGCTCCGTAGCTGCAATACCTGAACATAATTATAAGTAATTTTAGATTAGCAGAATCCAGCAAAGGACAAACGGGTCATGTCTAAGTGTGAGTCTACTGAGCGCCTCCCATCCTTGTATGCTGTTTCTGAAATGATAGAACACAATCTACGGTCTAGAGAAGTGTGAATTACCGGATGGCGGCCTATTCAAGGCGTTATTACCTAGCAACGGACACCAATGAGGACTGATATTGTATCAAAAGAGAAGTGGTTACAATAAGACGTACATGTATCTCAACATCGTGACACTAAAGAAAACGGATTATAGCCAGCTATATCCAAACAAACTAATACGACCACCTGAAATCAGGACAGTCCGGCCCATCATGTAACCTCTCCGTCGAGACATCCTGCGCCCGAACCTTCCTCCCCTGAACACGATCCCTCCGCGCATTATCCACCATCATCCACCCACCCAGCAACAACGTCAACAGAATTCCCGTGCCCCCAAACGACGCGGTGGTAATAAGCGCAGGCATATACCGCGGAGCGTCTTGGCTCCGGAAGATATTTGAGCTGACGACGCCCATCAGATTCGCCACGGGGACCGCGATGCTTGTCAGGACGACGCGGCGGCCCTCGTTTGCAATGTTGTTGTTGTACCAGACGTCCAGGAGGACGGAGGGTGCGGAGGTACCCCTACAAACGCATTAGCTCATCAATCAAGGAGGAGGGTGGGAGGGAAATAAGATAACATACCAGGTCATCATGAACGAGGCAAAATACGCGACGTGGATATCCGTCTTGACATCAATCGCCGCGTAGATGACGAATCCGATAAAGGTGAATAAGAACCCCAGCGCCACGAAAGGGAACCGCCAGCGGGTCCAATCGCTGCAGAAGGCGAGGATGAGGAGCATGGCTGCGCCCGAGACGTTGGGGGCAACGGTGTACAGGTTTGTTTTGACGGTGTCGTAGCCTAGGCGTTTAATGATGGATGGGAGGAAGAGCTGTACTGATTGCAGGGGTACGCCGAGACAGATCTGGATGGCGAGGATGAGCCATGATGTGCCGTGTCGGAAGATCTTGAATGCGTCGCGGAGGTCGAGTTTCTCGTCGACGATGGCGGAGCTATCGCGCTGCAGGCGGAGGTATGCGAGTTCTTTTTCCTCGGGGGCGAGGAAGGATGCGTGCGCTGCGGAGCGAGGGAGATACCATAGTGAAAATATTGCTACCAGGATTGTTCCTCCTCCCTCGATGAGGAAGAGGTAGCGCCATGATGCCAGTGGGCCGGACTGGATCCGGAAGACGCCGAATGCGAGTAGGCCGGAGAAGGCGGAGGCGATGCTCTGCGCTGCGTAGAAGATGGCGAGACGGCGGGCTAGTTCTCCACGGCGGTAGAATCTGATCTGTCAGTGATGTTCGTTTGAGCATGGTAAGAAGGGACATACGTGGTGAGATAGTAGATCACCAACGGAAAGAACGCGCTCTCTGCCATCCCCAGAAACCAGCGGATTGCCAACAGGCCACTGAAATTGAACACCGCGACGACAAGGATGGTGCATAACCCAAAGGCGAACATCATGCATGGCAGCACGCGGTTAGGACCGTACTTCTTCCCCAGGATACCCAGGAAGGGCGCGGTTAGGACATATGGGATGAAGAAGATGCTGAGAATCAAGTTGTACTGGTTTCCCTTTAGATGGAGCGTCTTCTCTAGTCCGGCGGTCTTTGCGTTCCCCACATTGGACTTGTCGAGACTGTTGAAGAGGTACATGACTGCCAGAACAGGGAGAACGCGCAGATCGAACTTCCAGACTAGGGCACGTTCAGCGCGGGGATCGATGCCTGCGTCCGGGGGAGAGTCATCTTTAGGGAGGGCTATGTCTGTGATTTCCACGGAGGTCTTGGTGTCTAGGGAAGCCATGATGCGTTTATGGATGCTATCGTGCTGTGGGCATGCGTCTCGTCTATATCTATATATCTGTTCCATCTTCCTTATCTCCTCATGTCCCCGTATAATCCGGAGATGTACCGATATCGGGGAACTGTACCCCATATCTCGCTACTGATAAGCACCGGCCAATCAAGGCATTCGGTGGCGCAAACCTTAGATATGATCAATCCGAATTGTTCATTCAGGCAGATAAACAAATTAAAGGAGTCAGTTAACGGGAAAAGAATTCCGATTGTCTATCTTCTACTCATCCTTGTCACTGCTTTCTTCCTCTGTGTGCTTCCACGCTTTCAGCACATCGAAGATGCCAGTCTCATCCGTGAATTTCTCAGGTCGTCCAAAATAGTTCGGAAAAGAAACATCTGGTTCAGTGAACAAAACAGAGGCTTGGAACAGTTCAGCTGCATTATGTTTGAATTCTGAAGTCGTACCAGGTGTTGCCCTTTGGCGGGAGAGGCCCATATCCGTTAAATTCCATAGGAGGCTCGTCTGGGACATCTTCACCAAAGTAGAAGCTCATAAGAAGAGTCCCATCCTGAGGACTTCGCTCATCTGCAATAGCGATAATACTCTGTTCGATAAAGTTAAATTTAATAGGCTGGAGCCACTTGTCTAGTGCCCAGTTCTGGCATTCCTCTTTTGAGGCTTTGATGAAATCTGACTCGAAAGATTCACCATCTTGTAATCTCATTCTGAATCCCTCTCCATGCTGGGGCAGTCCTTTGATTCAACAAGATAGTACAGAAGGGGAGGGTCGTCTGGGTCTGTACTGAATTCACGCAAGGCCCTAGGCACGAACTGGTAATCACAGTCAGCCTTGAGTTCTTCGACCCGTCCCCACACGCTGCCACTACGGCGTCCTGACTTACAGGCTTAGCCTCTTCTGCAATACAGAAAAACAAGGTGCGAGTCATGGTAAGAGATCTTTGCTGTGGCCACAGTGATGCTCTCTAGCATGACAGGAAAAATTAGAGACAGGTAGGACTCTATAATGTCTTTATGCATTCCCAACTGCAAAGGTGCAATGACGTCATCCCTTGTCTGAGGATAACCCATTCCAGGACAAGAAGCGTTGACCCCGGACGCCCGCCCCCGCCCCCAACGCCTAGGCAAGTGTGTAATAGTCAGTGTCCATAGTCTAACACGACGAGGACCCTGAATCCCAAATTAGCAACAATTTTTCAATTTTAAAACACTTTCCCTTGTTGCGAAAACTGCCCCTACGTGAATTATCTAGCTTATGATTAGAGCTGGCAGATATTACGGGGAAAGTCTTATACAGCCTTGCCGCGCCTTTGCACCTCTCCTCTTCCTTCTTCCCCCTGCCTTTCTTCCGTCTGTGTCGCCTTTACTCTCCCTACCCAACATAGACTCTTCCAAATTTGAGAGCTGTAGCCGACCACTGATTCTTTAGAAAAGAACCATCGACTTGAGACGACTATCATATTTTAACCTAAGTAGCAATAACTCTTTTACATGATAGTCCTTAAAGATAGTATAAGAGGCCTAATATATAAGCTACAGAGGGTCATCTTGTATTATGATATAGTAGAAGTACTACGTCACTGGACTTAGGAACCAATTGGATTGATGCTATCATGTTGTGTGCTTGCATCTCATCTAAATCTATATATCAGTTCCGTCTTATCTCCAGTCTGTCTATAATCCGGAGATGTACCGATATCAGAGAATTGTACCCCATATCTCGCTCCTAATAAGCACCAGCCAATCAAGGCATTCAGTGGCGCAAACCTTAGATATGATTAATCCAATCCAGCGCAGATAAGCAATTAAAGTAGTTAATAATGGGAAACGTTCCAATAACAGATAGAGGAGATTCTCTACCATCCAGTTGTTCTCGCCCAGACATCCACTACCCTGGATCCCTCACCATCCTCGCTAGAATCAACCACCAGATACCACCCATACAACGAACCAGTCACACACGCATGGTTCGGATAAAGCCTCACAGCCTGGCCAACCCGCACCGGGATCGCCGGCCCATTACCGCCCTCCCAAGCGACAATCCCATGCTCCTGGCTGATCCGCTCGACGATCAGACGCGACACGCCCCTGTCGTTTTGCCGTCTCCAGTTGCCGACGACCGCCCAACCGGGATATGACTTGCACGGCTCCCTGCCGAGAGCGAGAGTTCCCGCCGCTACCAGCGCCTCGGGCTTATCCCGCTCTCCCTCGTTATAGACACTGCACATTTCCGCAACCACCGAGATGGCGATTTCCTCCTCAAAACTACCCGCGCGCTGCGCGTTCGTTGCTAGCTGCTGCATGTCGAGGAGAGTATACACCCCCGCATGCAACTCTACCTTAACTCTACCCCCGATCTGCGCACTAGGATCCCGCAAAAGGTCCCTCAACGCCTTTGCATCAGGGGTCAAGGATTCCTCCTGCAACAGACTCCGCGACGAGACGACCTGCGGCGTGGCCCCGACACTAATAACCAATGGCCTGTCCGGCAGAAGGGAAGCGTGCTGGCGCAGCGCCCGTCCGCACCCCTCGATCTCTGTTTTTAGGTACGAGATGGCTTCGTCAGGGCTGGTGGCTGCGTAGCTCAGGCTGCTGTGCGAGTAGACCCCGATCAGGCGCGCGTGGCCTATCCTCTCTGCTTCTAACACTTTCTCGAGGAGTCCGTTTTTGTTGAGCCTGTCTGGCGGGACGCCAGCTCGGTGGTATCCCGTGTCGACTTTGAGGAAGACACCGGCGGGGAGGCCGGCGATTTCGTGGAATTGGCTTAGATAGGTAAGTTGATCTGGATGGTCGATCATGACGGAGATGGGGAGAGCATGATCAGTCGTGCGCAGTTTGTGGGCTAATGCGGCGAGACGAGGGACCTGGGACGGGACGAGCGGAATGCCGTAGAGGACATTGATGCGGCGGTTTTGGGCTTGCAGTTCCTGCAGTAGTGGGAGCAGAGTCTCCATCTCGGCGACCGTTGAGACGACAAAGTTTGCGTCACTGGACTCTGTGCCGACTTGGAGACGGGCGATTTGCGGTGTCTAGTTTTGGTCAGTTTGCTGTCTGGAACCCAGTGAGAGCACGTACCTTGTGAGTCTTGATGTGGGCTCGGAAACCGACGCTCAGCTGCTTCATTGTCCGCAGCAGTGCTTGACAATGGCGTTTGACGATTGCGACATCGAGCACGACCGCTGGTTTGGGAACGTCGCCGATGTCTTTTCCAATGTAGAACCGCCTCAATTCCTCATTGGAGGGAGGGTATCTTGAAGGGGGATTGGATGCCATTGTAGAGGTGAATGATTGTCTCCTCAGCGTGCCGTCCCTGCGTTGATGGTAGAAGTGCACGAATTGGCTCAGGAAAGATGGAATGATGGATGAATCACTGCGGGGATAGGCTCCACTTTGCTAACGAGACTCCACAGCGGGCATATAAGACCGCTACAGGGTGATCTGGGGAATACTTGAATTCTCTCTGGGCATTCTGTTGTTGGATAAGAATATTAGATAGATTAAATATATCTTGGATGTTGCAGACTGCATCTTTACTAATATAAATATCTATTTTAGCTAGGAAGTTAAGTGTGATAGTGGCCAGAGGGGGTAAAACACTGTTAAGATAGTTATAGATAGGGAGGGTAAATCTAAGTAGTTGTGCATGGGATGGTCGAGTATCCGCGGTTTCGGTTTGGGGGGATGGAGGGGCAGGGGGTTCGTACGGTGTGTTTTCAGCGTGTCTAGATAAAGTAAAGGACTTGGTATGGAAGATCATATATTCGTCAGTCATGGGAGCCACGTCTACACAAGAAACAAAAGACTGTACTCCGTACAGTCAGATGCTACTCTCTCCTTCGTAAAAGAGCAACCACACACCATCTCCGCCGATTCTCCGGCCCCTCGCCTTCACGCTCGGGCATCCACTCCCGCCGCACCTCGCCCCCATCCTCGCTGGTGGCAATAAGATCCCGCTCGTGGATGCGCTCGATCTCCAGTCCACTCTGCACGGCCGTCTCGAAGAACCATGCTACAATCGCGCGCCCCGTGTGGAACCCTGCCACGACCCAGACCCTCCCGCCCGGCGCCAGGAACCAATTCATCGTGCGCACCAGGTTCTCATGCTGCGAGCGCATCCAGTAGCAGTCGGCCGCGATGATGCGGGTGAAGGTGCCGCGGTGCGCGACGGCCCACGGGTCCGATTCCAGCGTGCCCCATTCATGCGGCTGGCTTGTGACTTTCGTTTCTGTCGTCGCCAGATTACGGCGAATGTTAAAGTCGATAGCGCCGGTTAATGCAGGCGACGACGGGTGATCGGTGATGGTGACAGCAGCAGCGTGTGCACGCGCACATATAACAGAAGGCAATGCAGCGCCAGCGCCGAGTTCCAGCACATGCTCGCCGCGCACCGTCCACATGGCCGTGTCGGCGTCGAGCTCGCCGCGCGCGGCGAGGGTGTCGGCCTTTTCCACGCCCTCGGCGACCACCATCGCAGCGCTCCAGAGGAAATGCGCAAACAGCTTGCGGCCCTCGTCGACGGTGTTCACGCTGCTATCTTTTGACGGCAGGCCGGCGGCGGTCTCCTCTGAGCGGCGCTCGCTCTGGCTCGGGTAGGAGGGCACCATGATCTCGAGGTCCCCATAGCGCGGGGAGGTGTACAGAAGGCGCTGGCCGGGGTCTCCGTGGAAGGATGGCGCGTCGTCGGGGAAGAGATGGGGGAGGAACGCAGAGAAGAGGTCCTCAGCGGAGTCGTCATCGTTGCTGCTGTCTTCATCGTGGAAGTTGGGGGGCGGGGCAGACTCGGTGGGGATGGAAGATGCCGGTCGGCGGCGGGGGAGCGGACGGATGCGTGAATGAAGCATGTGGAATCTCCGTCAACGAGCTCCTTCGGATCCCTTCCTAGATGGGGGAGAATCTCCCTTGGAGGTGTTCCAAGTTGTTGTGTTGTGCTGTATACCAGACGGAGGACACGATTTTTTGGTAGAGATCATTGGCGTAATCTGATTGGCGGATATTTTGGCGGTGAGAATATGCCAGCGGAACCCTTCCGCCTGGTCACATGATTTATTCTCGAGCCACGATGGGCGGCGTTCGATCTACGGAGTAGAGCCAACCTTCTCAAGTCCTACCATTTGAGACCTCGGAAATGCGTGACATAGTGGAGCACTGCACATCGTGGTCAAACCCCACAACCACAATACATTAAGGTTAACGTTCTCAACTACCGAGCCGCGGCCTTGTATTCAAAATATCACTTTTAGAACTGGAATATCTCAGCCATTTCCAAGTTTCACCAAGAGATGTTGAATACGGAGATGTATTAAGTCTTTATTAAGATAATACACAATCTATTTGGCTGAACAATCTCCCATTACCAACTCAATGAGTCAGTACCAAATAGCTACCATGAGGAACTTTAACCAACCCGGGCCTTTTTTCTAAAGAACGCTTTCCTACAAGGGTTAAACCGGCTTCGACGCACGGAGTGGCGGCCAGTCCACGATACAGCAATATATCCCGCAGCGTCATTGAGTCACAGCCAGCGGCATCGCATTCCAAGTATTACTTGTGAGGAATAGTCCTGAAGGACGCATCATGCGCTTTGAACGGTTTACTTCAAGCCCGCATGCATTCGCAGAGGGGAGTTACATATGCACCTATTCTGCACCGGCTATGGCATGGTACAATATAGCTCCATCGGGAACCGAGACTAAGACCTGCTGAAGTAGTCATTGCTGCAGGTTTCAAGCTGGAGACTCAGAGGACACCTGTTGACCTCGTGATTTGCCGGTGATATGACCAATGCGCGACCAAACCCTACCCTTTCGTGGCGTCGAGCTCCCGGAGCTTCTCATACCATGCTGATCAAATAAATCAATCCCACAAGAAGCGCACGGCAGCACAGCAGACTCCATTGGGTTCTGGTACTTGCAAGCCCGGCACTGCCAGTATAGACCCAATGATTCCATGCCCAAGGACTTAGACATGTACGGAAGTAGGTTCTCAACAATAGCACGATTTTGCCTCTTGATTGCCCATTCCAGGCTGCCCATCTCCATTGCATCCTGAATGGTCGGGTCTGCGCCCGCTTCTAATAATACCCGAACGGTAGCTGTTTGCCCTCTGTAACAGGCGACGATGAGAGGAGTTGCGTTGTTACGCCCGCCAGCTGCGTTGACGTTCGCTCCGGACCGGATGAGTCGGTCCACCAGGGGTACGATGCCGTACGAGGCAGCGTAGTATAGTGGCTCCGTGAGGCGGGCTTGTTCAGATGGCGCTTCATACAGGAGGACCTGGATCCAGGACGTATAGTTCCCACCGCCAGGAAGGTGGCGGGTATCGAAGAAAGAGAGGATCTCGTCAATTTCCACGTCGAGGAGAGGATAGCCTGACGGCCATGAGGGACTGCAGTGGCTCGCCCAGTTCTCAGAAGCATACTTGAGCAGCGGGTACGTTTCCTGACGCCTTTCGAGAGTGCGGAAGTTCGAGCAGGGTTGTTTGAACTCGTCGAGCATCAGATACGTCAAGCATTTCTGCCAGATGCGCCGTGATCCCTCGGTCTCATCCAAGCTGTAGTACGCTGCCGGACCGTCTTTGATTGCGTCTGATGTGAGGAAAGCTTTGACTGACGAATGCGCTAGAGCAACAAATGTAGTAAACTCGTCGTAGACAATTAGCCCTTGGCAGATCGAGAGAATTACAAGTGGATCGAACAGTCTACAGTCATCGTCAATGGTTTTATCCCCTTTCGTCAAGATGAGTGCCTCGCTCAGCTCGGACAAAGTGATCTCCTGGTAACCTGAACCAAGCCATAGTAGGGTCTCCCTTGCAATTTCCCGGTCATACGAAGGAATCCGACATAGTATAGTTTCGTAGGTGCCGTGCAGGCTTTCCGGCATGCTGTCCAGAGCGCGAATAACGTCCCGGCCTGTTTTCTGAGCACTTAAAAGGTCGATCTGACATTGCACGTATCGAAACCTGCAGCGAATGCCTTAGCTTGACTTCTTCAACTTACGATAGAGCATACGTACATTCCATTTGCTTTCTCAAGCAAGACTTTCTTGATGCGGGATTTGATGTATTCCGGTAGTCGTTGAAGAGCCGGGACGGACTGCAGCTGAGTATCGAGAAATGCCTCAATGTCAATTCTATTTGTGGAAGGTCTCATTTGCGATCTGAGGATACTAATGGCGGGATTTGACACCGGGGGCGAAGTGGTGCTTGTGACCATAATGCGAATGTTATCCGATGACTCCAGGAGGGTGAGTAATGCATCGAAAACCTTTGCACTCTCACTGCTCTCATTGATCGCATCCACCACGATGAACAATTCTGACAGCGCACCTGTGTATTTTAGAAGCATTTGTATCAGTACGTCTGGTAGAGGAAGGGTGCGTTTTTTGAATGTTTGCAATTCGGCGAGGATGTCTGGACAGGTCTCAGATAGCTGCACCAGCAATGCTCCTAGCAGGTAGACCAGCTCCTGCGACGAATTCAAGTGGAATGAGCAATAGTAGTAAATCACTTGGCCGGAGGTACGGGTGGCGATAGCATCTTTGACGGCTTCTATTGCCGTCGAGCTGATGAAGATTAGCAGCTGGCATGGCACAGAGTTTCCAGTATGTACCATAAAACAGTCTTTCCTGATCCCGCTGGTCTTGGTCAGCATCTCACTTTACTAAACATCAAGATGACTTACATTTTCCCTCTAGATAAAGCAATCGGCACTTGCTCTTCGTCGCAATCCATGACTTGAAGGGTCCGTGGATAAACCACGCTCCAGTACCAGGCTGACAGAGCGACCGAGCCTTGCGATGCATCGAATCGAAGTCAACAGGGCATATCCATGTTTTGATCTTCTGGTGCGTTTTCTCTTCAAGAATGAGACATGAGCGAAGCAAAGTATCAGATAAGTTAGGACCTACCTTCCCGTAGTTGCCTCATTTCCCTGCTCCAGTCGACAACCGCATCAATAGAATGGGCCGTCTCCTTCTCGACAACCCTAGACATCGTCAATATCGCCCATGGTCCTCATCTGCAGGCGCACACGCACGATCTATCATTCAAAATCACCAAAATAAAATACGTCTTTAGCCTCTCGAGCTGGGCAATATGCCCCTCCAGACCCCCCTTCCTACCCGGCCACCCCAACTTCGCCAACCGCGACTGCCGCATGGTTCTTCTCTGCAGATCATTCAGAATTTCCTCCAAGACGGTGTTGGCGTTGAACAACGCATCTCGGAACGGCGATGGCACTCCTTTAGCACCCTTTTCCTCGATGTGGTCTGTCTGAATCTGTTCGACAATCGCTTTCAGAGCGAACAGCTCCCCGAATAACTCGCGGATCTCGCTGTCGGCATTGTTGACTTGCTTTGCAAAGTCATATACTCTTTTCGCAGTATGGACTACCTGTAGTATCAGGCCTAGAACAGAGATCGGGTCGGCCATTGCCGGTCGTTGTTGTCTCTGAGCTAGTCAGTGTGGTGGTGAGGCTGAGCAAGTGTGGTGCTGTCATCCATTAGCTTGCAGTAAGCGACGAATCACTTGGCGTCGATGGATGATCGCGCGGGGTATTCATTTTCTGCCCCTCGTTTCGTTCCTTACGAATGGAATATTGTGTCCTCTGATACTAAAATTGCCAAAAGTAGAGAGGTACACGACTGCAGATCAGTGACGTAGGAAGCATATGGTCGCCGCCCTTAATCAATGAACGATGCTTGTCGGTATTAGTATCATCTGGAGAACTAAACGTTTCATAAACAGATTCATTCCATATCCTCTCGGTATTAAGTAAAATGGTGAGTCAAATGACGAAAACAAACGAGTCGATAGACGTGCCAAAGAATATCAGGAGTAAACCCTGCAGCAACAGAGAATAGACAGATCTCTCCTTTACTTCAAGGAAACCGACATTGGGCCTCGAACCCGCGTAAGTCCAGAATCCCAATCAATGCCTAGATGCATCCATCTCTGCGAGCACTTGGTCCACATGCTCTGCAACATTATACGAGAAGACCTGCTGCGCGGACTTGTTCATCACGCTCGGAAAGAAGCCTATACCTCACAGTTAGCCAGATCTCCCAACCTAATGGCATACATACCGATAATCCACATAATCGAATACATCAGATATTCCTGGACCACTCCCATATCTCGCTTTTGGTTTTGCTTCTTCCTCGCATCGTCCAAAATGGCCTGGATCCGCGGCCGGCGTAGATCCATGTACTGCTTCGCTGCCATTTTGACTGCCTCCTTGCACTCCTTGACACCATTGCCCTCCACCTTGCCGAAGAAGTAGCTCAAAAATTTTGTGAATGACTCTACATCCTCCAGCGCCTGTGACGATCCCTGCCCCGAAGTCGACGGGAGCGCATGCGCCGCATCCCCGACAAAAACCACCCCATCCCGCTCCCACGTCGGCAGCTGCGGCGATGTCCAAGTGGGATACATGCTCTTCACGTGCGCAGACTTGAGAACCTTTTGCACGACGGGATCTCCCCAGCGTTCGTGTCGCTTGTGCAACTGCTGAAGGACATCATCCATATCCAGCGTTCTGGGGTCAGGGCACTCGTCCACAGAATAGGTCGACCACCAGGCAAGAAGATCACCCGGCTCAGAGACATGGTGCGGTGAGTCCCGGTGCGGAGCGGTCGAAGAACTGGTGCTGAAGAAGTAGCCAAAGAAGCCATTGCCACCGAAGATGAAGTTCATTGATCCCTTTTCAACCAGGTCTTTCACTTCACTGGACGGCAGGAAGCCGCCAATACCGCAAACACCTCTACTCTTGTCAGCTCTGATAATGGAAGGGAGAAAAGGATAGCCCACTCGTAATGAGGGGGAAACGGATCCTCCTCCGCCTCAGGGAAAAGGGCTCCCTTCGCCACACTCTTGATTCCATCAGCACCGATCACCAGATCCGCTTCAACCGCTGGACTGCCATCTTTAAAGTAGATGGTATTGCGATCATCAGGACTGGCAATGACCCGCGACACACGCTTCGTCACTATATCCCCGTCGGGGATCCTCGCGCGCAGACACCGCCATAGCCATTCGCGACTACAACCGACCATGTACATCGGCGGCTCATCTCCCGCACCAGGAGCAGAACTGTCCATACGGACGAGAAGACGGCCGTGCTTGCTTTTCAGATTTCCGTGCGGGACTACGTATCCTCCTCGGACAATGTCGTGGAGGAGGTCCTCGTCCAGACGCTTGAGAACACGCAAACCATTGGGTCCGATACCTAGGCCCCCACCGACGATGAGGGTGGATGAATGTGTGGCATCCTCTTCTTGGCTACCCTTGGATGCGTCAAACTTGCGATCCCTGCTGGTATCGTGAGATTCGTAGATGGTGATTGTGTGGGATCCGGGGAGGTGTTTCTTGAGCTGGAGGTAGGCGGTGCATCCGGAGATGCCTGCTCCAATGATGGCGATTTTCATTTTGATGGATCATGGATTCATGCAAGATCTCATTGTCAATGTCGAAGGAAGTCCTGAAGCTCAAAAGGTCAATTTGTCTGCCTGGTGGCGATGCTGACTCATCACATCGTGTTCCTTAGGGAAAGTTTGTATACGAGGAGAAGGGAAGGAGAGACATCATAATAGCACTGAGAACAAGCAGATTCATGGTCAACAAGATCAAGTACGGGCATAATGGTAGTGTGCGATTGTTAAATATTCGCGAGTATAGCATTTATCGTAGAGATGAGTAAATGGTTATTTCAACTCGACCAAGTAATTGGTCCCCCGGCAAGCATATATACATATTCACTCCTTAGTCAAAGGTTCGACGCCATATGCTTACGACACTGCAAGACCTGCAGTACAAGGCGAATGAAGCATCTAGGTTAAACCGAGGGGAACTTTACCCAAGCCTAGGGGCTTAATGCGGGACAATTATTGAGCCATGTCGAGGCCATGATCAAGACGCCGGGGATGCATGGCCGTCTTGCTGAGGCGTGTAGAGAGCATGATGTCTATTAGTATACACTTACTAGTTACTATCTACTTATAACTAAACAGTGTCTACTACTTTAATATATTATTAACTATATATAATAGGTCTATCCTCCCTTATAAATAGCTATTAAAGAATATTCTTCAAAGCCAGAGTTTAAAGATAGATAGGTCCTTAATCTAGACTATAATAGAGATAAGGGAGATGACTTATCTTACTACTACGCTTATATTCAGTCATATACCTGAGTCGTTCATTCCTTGCTTGAAAGACATATCCAGAGGAAGGTGCGGCCTTCTATGGTTAAGAAGCATACCTACCTAATATGGAACAATTCAAATCCAAGCAGGCACGATGGCTCACTCCTTCCTTTGCATTTGTCAGACGCTGAAAATGGAAGGTGCGACCTGGCTTAGCTTAGGGATGGCGTACCTTCTTAGACGGAAACCCATGAGCAAGGAAGGGGAGTGAGTGGCTTGAGAGTTGTTTACTGCAAATCTATGGAGCAGGCAGCCTGGATTCGTTTTTTTGCTCTGCATTGACCATGGACCTCCATCCTATTAAGTGGTTGAAGTCAAAGTAAGCGCCCCATGATAGCAGCATAGCCGGAGTTTGGCATAAGTGGAATCTGCGCTGATTGTTTCGTTTCTTAACAGCTCATGGCTTTCTAGAAGGAGACATAATAGCCTCACTTAGTGCAGCAGGGTGGGCGGGTGTATCTTCATATAGCCATGCATAGATTGAAATGAGGAGGAGCAACCTAGAGGAGAATGAATATGGACATTATATTATGTATAGCTCTGCAAATAGGTATGTATATCCTTTAGATATGTAATGATCGTTTTGGAGGGATCTGTAGTAAAGGGGGCATTGTTGCTAGATGAAGATGGAGAGATTCGGGCTAGGGGGGTGTTCAAGATAAGGTTGGTATATGACATGAGCACATGTATGCAAACTGTGTTAGTACTTAGTGTTAGTGGGCTTTTAAGAGTGGTAAGATGAGAAAAGGCTCTAGATACTGTTTTCCCGCCTGCTTGGATGTGATTAAGAGAGTCAGTTGGGTGAGATAGATGTAACTGCCGGCCCCTAGCAAAAAGTGTGACTAGCAAGCGTTTAATGGTGGTTTCATTCGCGCCCAATAGAAGCGTTAACTTCCCTTCTCCCAATAAACCTCTGAATACTGGGCATGAATGATTGGCTCTTTCTCCGGGGCGCAGTGTCTGGAATGTATGCTGCCTGCGCCGCACACGTACCCTACCCTCCCAGTCAAATTATTCCTCTTTAACCCTCCAGCCCCTGGACTCGTCCATAGGAGCCACGAGCTAGCTCTATTTCATGAATATATTTTATTGTGTGAATCTCATCACCACCATGCCTCCTAGTACAGACCCACAAGACAACATCACCACCAGCGGACCCAGCGAGCCTTCACAGCCAAACGGGGAACAAAGATCAGAGTCTGTTCCAGCCGGCAATGCTGACGCAGCCGCAGAAAGAGAACTGCGAAGGGAGGAAAAGAGACGCGCGAGACGAAGAAGAGAACAGGCAAGATACATACTCCGGAAGCTCGAAACCGGACAGCAAACGCTATACCTGCAAGAGGTGTACGTGCAATCCAGCCACTGTCGAGCTTGGGAGCGCTCGATTGCAAAGGTGACGCGCGAGCCGAATATTCGGTCTTATTATCGATTTGCGTTGAAGGGTGGCAGGAATTCGTACGGTGGAGGTAAGCAGACTTTTCCTTTCTTTTCCATTTCGTGTCAATCAAAAATTAGAACTGTCATGGTTGCTAATCAGCCACTTATCTAGACCTGGTCGAGTACTACCACATCACCTGCATGGAGCGTCTTATCCGCAATCTCGGAGACCTCGCCGCAAACGGGTATCTCAAGATCGATGGCCGGGTATCCTTACGCGAAGAGGGCAAGGTCTCTGAAAAATGCGCATGGGAGGTCATCCAAGACTGGTTCAAATATGGCGGTCGCACGTTCGACATAGAATGCTACGAGAGGTTTGAGAAGGGCAAAGAAAAGTGGTCTGAGGATAGTTATGATCACTGCGTCCGGCATTCGCTCACGCATAAAGCAGCGGAGCCTGTAAAGGACTGCTGGTACTGTGAAGGCGCGCCCCCTGAGCCAGCGAAAAGGGACTATTGTCCTGGGGAGCCGAATGCGATCAGGCTGAGTCAGTTATTGCTGGCTATTACTGGCCTTCCACATATTGATCATTGGTGGCTCTGGTCACGGGAAGAAAGAGGTGGTGGAGGTGTAAGGGATCCTGCTTGAGTTTCTGCTGTGATTCAAAGTAGAGCTTGATGGCCAGGCATAGAGAGCACCACACCATACCTTTGGAGCATGAACTACCATGCACTATGGATGATATTTGAGTGCTATAGATGCATGTAGGACGCCGCTGACAAACAGAAAACACAGTTATTGAGGGATAATCTCATGGTTCAGACACCAATTAAATTTCTTACTTTCCAGTGCTATATGTCTATCTGCGAGATGTTCATGCACACTGCACTCAGCGCCGTGCCTATAATACAGCGTTGCCTATCTCAATCGTTACTCCCTTTTATAAAAAGACAAACCTTTTCCCCTTGAGAATAGCCCCGTTCCTCGCACACCATCGTGTCCCCCAGCGCACAGTAATAAGCACTCAAGCAAGACTTGACACTCTGGCAGAGCATCCCATAAGGCAGGATATTTCGGTCAAGGTAGCAATTGCACACTCCATTCAGACACCCAAGGGTCCGGCCCATGGGGCAGTCACCCACGCATTAGACAGAGTAGTCATAGGTGCCTCCGATCAGGACTTCCGGAATTTTGGTACCCATTGGAGTGGCGGTGGTGGTCCTAGTGGTTGTGGTGGTGCGAGTGATGGCGCCGTCCCAGTCCCCGTAGTAGGGGCTGTCCGGGTTGCGCGGGTCCAGGAAGTCCGGGTTCTGCTTGAGCGGGGAGCCGGCGCAGAAGAAGCCTGCGCAGCTGCTGCCACACACTAAACTAAACTTTTTATGCACGCTTAAAGCGATTAAACTAGCAAGTGGTTATGTGGGCGGTTGACTACCTTAAGAATAAATTAATGTGGCGGTGGCCCGAAGAGGCCGCCGTTCCCCTGTAACCTCCAAGGCGTTGTTCGACTCCAACCATTAACTATCACGGAGCATCTTGGTCAGTCAATTCTGACACTTTTTTTTTTTCACAAACACGGCCAAGACTATTTCCATATAAGTCACGGCCAGCAGTGCCTCAGTTCCAGGTATCTTTCAAGCACTGCCTGTATCCACTCACCTCGCCCACCTCACCCATCCATCACCCATGCTATCTCACACCAGGATCATGTTCCGCAAGCTACGTGGTATTAGCAGCTGTGGTAGCCGTGGCGGCGAGCCCGCGCCATTAGCACCGGCCATGACAGCAGAGAGTGAAACTATTAACCCATCCCCTCATGCCATCCATATCAGCAACGTGAGGCGGTCACTCACTAAGCTACCCTATAAGCCCGGTTCTAATGCACAGTCTGTGTCCATTATCATCATGAATGCCAAAGGCGCCACCAACTCCGTGGATCTTTACAGGGTACGTATCTACCCAGCGCAATATGCCCAGCGCAATATGCCTTGCTCTGAGTACCCCCAGGCTAAGCTCACCCCATGTGGTTTCATTAGCTACTCCAGGGAGAGAAGGATTACAGTGAGTTTAACCCTACAGGCAACTTCAAGATAGATTACCTTTGCAATGGTTACACCTATAATATCCACTTTATTTCAATGCCCAGTGACCCAGGGTCTAGCCTAGCTGACCTCTGCCTCATACAGCATGTCTGCCTTATCTTTATATAGTACTTCATTAAGCAAATCATGGGATGAAATCATTACCACCTATAAGAGGATATATAGCCACTATAAAGATAGGGCCCTCCTTTTCTTATGATAATAATTACCACTATAAGTAAAGGTAAAGGTGAAGACAAAGCTGCTATATTACACATAGAAGCTAAGGCACTTATAACCTAGTAGGACTATTACTTTATTAAGTTCTTATCTATAACTAGGTGCAGCACTTATAATATAATTAGCTTACTTATTAAGCTAGCGCACAGTGCTCATAATCAATATACTATAGATCAGGTGGGTTATACCCAGAGATATAAGAGGGCGAAGGCATTTCAGGCATTATTTTCCAGCTAGGGATAATACCCAGCTTAAGACTGACATCATCATGTATGGATGGATGTGATATACCACCGCCAAGATAGTTAGCAAATACAGTAAATACATTCAGTGGGACGCTGCTTCACCTGCACTTGGTTCGCCCCCGTAGCCAGTCACCAGTCTTGCATCTTGACTCAAGATGAGCCCCTGTCTGTAAGAATGCTGTTAGTGTCTGACATAATATAAGTCTTGTTGTCAGGTAGCAACAAAACCTGCAAGCCCCTCCTACCCCACCCAATTTCCTCCGTCTTGAAGGATGCGAGTTTTCAACGAGGACACCATGTTTCACTCCTCGTCATACTGCAACCCCTTGGAGATCTTATAATCTGATGTTTACTTTTCGTTCCCTCTGGCTCTCTGCCGTACCGTCACGATGACCTCCGAAAGTCAAGCGTCACCCGTCGAGACGACTCCTTTCAGTGACCGATTGGGAGGTCTTGTTAGGCAGGCCTGGCTTGATGTCAAGTCCGACGCTCTTAATACTCCAATACAGTCAATACGGCCGTGGGCGCGTTTCAGTCTATCAGTATCATGCAAGCTCGTCATCGATTGGGTTTTTGCCGAGGTTAGCCATGAGGGAAGTGTTTTCAATTATGATCACAACTAACAATTTGCACGTTGACCTTCAGATTACGAGAGATGGCCATCTTGCACGAGAGTCTTTGTCTAAATCATACGGATACATTTTTCATCAGCCATCGCTTATCTCAGTCACACCTACGGTTTTCATTCCATTGCATATAACACCTGGCGCCTCAGCCAACATAGGAAACAAGGAGATCCTTGAAGGATACTATTATACAGTACTTCAGCAAGATATCATTGAGGTCACTCCCGAGGGAAAGATCTTTGGGTTGGTGATGTTCAAATAGAGAAACCGCGTATACCTACCGAGTGTATGAGTTTGTGGACCACGCATCTTATTTAGCGATACATAAATTGATCATCATATATCAGATGCGAAAGCTAAGTTATCAGATGGCGATTTCTTGATATGTACTCGATTCAAGGCTATTGTCTCCAAAATTAAGTTGCAAAAGCGGCTCTTCCGAAAGGACATCGGATAATCCGAGTTGATAATATGCATCTAGAGATTCATGGCTGTCACAGGGTACGCCGAGATCGCACGAATCAAGATCTGATGCGCTCATGTGGAAAGACCCAGGAGGATAGGGAACGTCTGGGAGGTGACCACCGACTAGTTGAGGTCTCTCAGACTGATACTGATCTCGAGCGTACCCGGAGCAAGCTTGAGTAAGGTGGCCCCTTGCTTTTGACTGAGTAGTAACAGATGATTAAGCCATGGAAAAGGAAGGAGATGATAGGTAAATCGCGTTGTGGGCGTGTCTGCGGGGTCCAGACTCAATCCTACTGCTCATTAGTGAGCTAGCGGAAACCATGCTGGGGAACCCCTGGTCCAGAACGTATTATAGAGAAGCCCAAATGACGCAGAGCCCGGATAATATTGATAAACACGATCCCCACTTTGCTATGAGATGCCTTAAGAAGTCGCCCAACCAGATCCACAAACTACGAATTAGGCTTTATTGTATTCTTGAGGTGCACCGTCCTAACAACAGCCACCGCTCATGCCGTGGTCTTGATATGACTGATGTCAAACACTTCTTTAGGGTATTTCAAATTTCCAAGTAGGTGTCCCGACGGGGCATGAGGATAGTCTTCGGCGGATCAGAAGAACATGTGGGTTTAGATATGATCGACGGAATCATGACCATCTTATAAATTCAGTTTCAAACAGGTATTGCTCAGAATACACTCGAGGCTCAGTTTCAGCTGCACGGGCTTCCGTCTCTCTCCCACTTATCATTAATCTTTCCAAAGCCAGTTGGCGAAAATTTGATGTTGCTAAGGACCGAAGATGATAGAGGCTTGTACGAGCTGCTTCCATTGTCATTGCGTTTCCCGCTTTGTAATAGAAGATGAGAAAAGGGTCTCAATTTCAGCTCCACTGTGGAACCAAGGATCAGTGAGAATCGTATGGTTGGGTAACTAGGAAGCTTGGAAGATGGGAACCTATCTACTGGGTGTGTCCCATGGCCAGAGCTATTACCCAATCGGGCAGGGAGCGAAGCTCCAGAGAGAGTGGCTCAGCCCTCGACATGTTAGACTCGTCTCCGCAGTCAGGCTTTCTAGTGACGCTTATCTTAGGGCGAGAACTCCCAAAGTTCTCGGGAAGTCGCTCCTTGATATAACACTCATTAGTACAATATCGCACCATGATCCGTGGCCGCAGCTTGGGCATGCGCTGCCTAGCTTGTTTCACCCACGGATGGCTCTCAACGGGTAAATACTGAGACATCCTGATAAACACTTCTTGCTCCGACAGATGAGGGACCCAAGCGGAGCCTGGGTTTATCGCAAGAAGGTTGAACTTTTCATCTCATGCCGACTGCCACATGTACGCGAGGATGGTCCATTCGGCTTGTCGTTTCCATACTTCCACGGCCGTTTGGAATCGAGAACTGGTAAAAGTTTCGGAGAGCATTTGCACGGCCGGTTCCTTCTCCAATGCGTGTTCCCAGAATAATGCTTAAATTCCCTTAATCGAGCCTCGTCGTCAGCGTCGACCAACTGAACAGGGGGTCAGAGCTCAGAGCCGCTTCCATGGTGATATGCAGCGAAACCGCCGCCATGGCGATGTCTAGCCTGCTTTGACTCTCCGCACGATACGCAATGTCCGGCACGTCCTTAATTTTTACGCCGCGATAAAGAAGCCATGGGCTGTCGGATGCATCAGCACCATCCAACAGCGCCCCAGCAGGCTTGACGGGATTCGTTGCCGTCCAGAAGAAAGTCGGGGGTGTCTTATTCTGCTATCCGATGCGGGAAGCAGTGCTTCCAAATGAGACGGGGTAGTTCTAGAGGCGGCTGCGAAAAGCAGTAGAAGACATCCATTTGGTAGTTGCTGCCGAAGTAGATAGAAGACAGAAAAGGTCTTGTGGAATAATCGTAGATCAGATCTGTCGGCCCTAAATCCTAGTGGTTGGACCGATTCTAGCCGACCCCGAGAGTGGGTGGTTACTGCCATTCAGCGGTGATATATCTGTC